AATAATTCCACTTTAGTGGAAAATTCTTTTTACGACTCTTGGTGGAGCGTGGACCTCCGTGACTGCTCCTATTGGTTAAATGGATAGAAGTATGGGCAATGCCCATGAAGAGTTTTTCATTCGGTAATATACATTTTATATAATCTTAATATTGTTGGCTTTTGTTATATTAGTATTAATTGTAATAAGTTATTTCCTCCCTTTGAATAACAGCAAAAAGATTAATCTATATAATAAATTAATCCACCCCATAATCAGTTATTAGTATGTATCTAGCTAATATCTTATTGCGTGTGTTATGGTTGTCCATACTGGAACATATGTCTATACATATATAGTATAGTTATATGTGGTCGATAGAGGTCTGATCTACCCACATAACCCGATAAACTTGTTTCAACAAATACTAAATAGTAAAAACCAAATAATAGAAGAAAGTATGATTATCGAAGAACCTCTCTTTGGTCCAAAGAGCTATACTTCAACCAATGAAGTAGTCACTAAGGTCCACACATCATAAATAAAAAGAAGTATTCTTGACATTTCCACTTCCGTGGAAATGTCTATTTATATACATAATGATTAATACATAGAATGCCCTTGCAAAGAAGTATCACAAAGAATGATTCGTCACATATATGATTATACTTCATATTGATGCTATTTCTTGATTGATCTAGATCGAAAGATCATCGCCAGACCTTGATGGACTGACGTAATGTAACTCTTTCAGTGAGTAAGCGCTAGATACGCTTCGTTTCTGGTGGGGTATAATTTTTCATTTTTGTTTGCAGAGCTAAAGATAACAAAGTGCTTCGTATTAAAAAAAAGCTTTTGCAACTAAAATGGGCTTCCCAGGTCTCTTGAAATAAGATTTTCCTACTTCTATTGAATAAGTTTCTATCGAGATGATAAAATCCTATTGGACAATGCACGTGTGTGTAAGTAAATATGATATAACAAGTAGACAAAATAGCCAAGTAATAAAAACCAAATAATAGAATAGAGTATACTTACAGAAGAGTGTCTTTTTGGTCCGATACTTCAATCAATGAAGTATTCACTGAGGTCCACACGTAAAGAAGTACTCTCCCACTGATGTCTATATAACGAATAATATATAGGATGAAGGAGTGTCACAAAGAGTGAATTGTCACATATATGATTACACCACATACTGATGTGCTTTCTTGATTGGCCAAATCTATAGATTATTTTGATGACAGTTCACACTATAGAGACGGATTCTCACTCGAAAGTCCTTTCATCTATGAGTAACATACAGCAGGTTTTACAAGAAATAGTCAGCCACAAGTTGTACATTGAGGGTCTTCTTGGATCGGTACCAAAAGCTCATTGAAGGCCTGCCTTGGTCAAGCCGATTAAATGGCGAATATGTAAAAAGTTTGTAAATCGAAAATGGCTGCGAAATCTCGCACACTGTAGTCTAATGGCTTGTTACCCACCGGGACAAGTTAAATGAGCCGAAGCTACCAACCATACATACTACGAATCAGCTGCTTACTCAAGAACTTCATCATGTAAAGCTCATCATGTAAATATACGTCAAAAAAAAAAAAAGTAAAGCTCATAAAGCTCATCAAGACGAAATAACTCATGTAAGCTCATTGAAAATAACTCATGGAAGCTCATTGAAAATAACTCATGGAAGCTCATTAAAAATAACTTAAGATACCATCACTGATAGGCAAAGTGACAGGCCACTAAAGCACGAATGGTCATCAGGGTAGTTGGTTTAGTTTGGAGTTGTGGAAGACCGGGCTCGGGTTTAACGAGTAGACCCGAGAGATTAAGAATTATTTTAACAAGACAATACCACAAGACCACCGCCATGTTTACGAAAGACTGACCCCCTGGTGAAAGTTTGGCTGCAAAACCCCCCAATTCAGATAAGACATTCTGATTAGATTGATCAATGGTTAGTAAGAATGCCATGGGCTTTGAAACACTTTGCACCACCGTTGCAGATACGAAACTAAACCAACAAGCTAAACTTCGTGAACTGAGAAGAACCAAATCCCGAGAATGCAAAGCTCAGTGGCTGCGGCTAACATAGCCAGTACTTCTAAATAAAGCTACCACGAAGAATAGATCTATTGTCCAAGCTCCTCGTCCAGCCTTACGAGACGGAGATACTGAGAACGGGTGCGGATGTTAAAGCCACTGCCGCGAACCATCAAAACAACAAGGGTGCGGCTTAAGACTTAATTGGGGTAAAACCGTGCTTACCTAAGCGGTTTTTTCAGGAACATAAAAATTAAAATTAGAAGTTCGGACATACGAAGAAGGATTTAACGGAGAAGCCGTTTTGAATCACCGCGGAAAAGAATGCAACGAAGAAACGGTATAGCAACGAGAAATTTTTTTTTCTTGCAAAAAGATATATAAAGAAGATGAACGGCAGCTAATGAAGAGCTAATGGAGGGTTAGTTGATTAAGCAAAGTAAGCAATATGGAAATGTCATCATGGCAGCCTAGTCTGATTCCGACTAGCACCCTGTTAACTTCGATTAATCCCACGCATACGCTGGGATTAATGGCAACTTATACCTCAGCAGCAGCCAAGTTATCAACCGAGACCGGGAGAAATCAATTAATTACGTTATCTAGACAATTTAGAGGAGCCCAAGCATCGTTGGCGGTGATAAGTGGTGAGCAGTTGACTGCCACTGCGACTGATGATCAGGTTAAGGCCCATGCTACCCAATTAATCTTCAATAATACATTGAATTTGAAAAGCTTGGAATGGGAAGAGAACTTGTACGATACCAATCTTAACGATGGAGGAAATATTTTCTATATGGTAATATTTGCTATTGTGTTTGTCTACACCACTGCTATGATTATCAAGAGTAGATTTCATTGGTATAATATTACTTATTTTTGTGGGTATGGATTAGAATTTGCCGGTTTTTTGGGAAGAGTATTATCATTGGATGATAATCGTAACAAGGATTATTTCTTATTACAATATGTTACCTTAACGATTAGTCCTGCGTTTATTATGGCGGGGATATACTTTTTATTTGCCCAATTGGTGGTGATACACGGCCGACAATTTAGTGTATTAAAACCAATGTGGTATTCATATTTTTTCATTACTACTGATGTATTGTCGTTAATTGTTCAGGCCATTGGAGGAGGAATGGCTTCACTGGCGCTGTCAAATAATCAGGATGCAACCCCGGGTACCAACACCATGACTGCCGGGATTGTATTTCAAGTAGCTGCCATGAGTGTATTTGTATTATTTTGGATTGAATTTTTGAATAGATTGTATTTCCGTCATGAACCAAATGATTCGGTTTACAGTAAGAGAAGTTTTGGAAATTTTTTCAAATTATTATTTAACACTCCTGGTGCTCAAAGATACAAGTGGGAAACTCTTGAAGAGAACTATAACTCACGCTATGCTCATATTAGAAAGAGAAAGTTGATAGGGTACATGCCATTGGCCATTAGTGTATCGGTGATTGTTATTTACATTAGATGTGTTTATAGAGTTGTTGAATTGATTCAAGGGTTTGATGGGTATTTGATTGTTCATGAAGTATTTTTAATGGTCTTGGATGCTGCAATGATTGCAATTGCTGGATTAATTGCCATTCCTTTCCATCCGGTGATTGTGTTTGGGAAAGATAATGTTATTAAAGCTGCTCATATTAAACGGAATCATGATGAAAAGACTGATTCTCAATCATTACAAAGTACCCAGAGCAATCAAACCACCCAGAGTAATCAAAGCACCCCAAGTAATCAAAGCACCCCAAGTAATCAAAGTATAAGTAAACAGTAAATATATATAAATCTATTCTAAATAATCTTTTATTTCTTTATCACCATCGGTAATCAGACTTATTTTATTCAAAATATCTTCAAAATCATTAAATTCAGTATACGGAATCGATTCTCTTTTACAATAAGTGATTAAATCTTTACCGTGTTTGGCAAACAACAAATTTGTTTCTTTAGCCGCACTCAAATCACTAACCCCGTCTCCACAATAAAACAAAGTAGGTGGATTAGCAGAATAATTATGAATTTTCAAATATTCTTTAATTGAATTGGATTTATCGTGGCCAAAATCGGATGTGGGATCTTTATAAATGATTTCCCAACCACCCTTGGCGTCGTGTATTTCAACGTCGTTACTAATAATTTCGATATTCTTAATGGCTTCTTCTCCCACCAATTTTTTCAATAATGCGTGAATGATTGGTTTCATGCCTGAACTAACAACAATCACCGGAATTTGGTGGCTTTCGGCCCATTCGTAGAATTGCTTGAATCCTGGATCCAATTTAATGTGTTGTAATAAGAATTCAACACATTCGGGGAACGGGGTGGGAATCGATTCCAACATTTTACGAAACCCTTCTCTAAACGAAATCTTCCCGTCTAAAATATCATCATTAATTTCTAATCTCTTGGGTCTTCCGAATCCTAAGTTCTCAGTTAAATAGTCATTGGAATCTTGTAAGGTAACAGTCCCGTCCCAATCGGTGAATACAATTGCTTTTGGCATTTTGGGCTGCTGAACTCAAAATCCTTTGGCAAGACTATTCGCTTCCTTATATAGCAATCCTTGTCTCAGACAACGAGGTCAACAAAAAAACACCGGTACCTCCCCATTATTACCCAATTCGTCCATCAGCCACGATGACTCCTTAACTGATAACTTACCTTAACCTTAACTTACCTTAACTTATACCTTAACTTACCTATACTTAACTTGTATCTTATAACTTCTACCTTATATACATTCCATAACCAATACATATAGCTCATAACTCCCGAGTTATCCAACTAATATACATAGTCTACTTATTATCCATAGAACTAATCAACGTATAACTGAAGAAATCAAAACAACGTTAACAATTGCTAATTCCTCAGCAAAACACCCAGACACCCGATGAGTGCAAATTTTCCACAAAATATCGAATAGCAAAGTTGCTTTGGTTCTCAGCCATCATACCATTACTTCGGAAGTCCTGATTACGTAGAGCAATGGATGGGCAACAATAAACAAGTTATAATATATATAATAAAGATAATCCTAGATCATTATTAACCAGGATATTTTCTTCTTTATCTTCACCGTTGATATTACGGTTATACCATTTCTACAGTTTGCACACTACAGGTTACGGTAGTTTACAGTTTTCCGTTACTCATTAATAAAAGTACATCTCTATCAATTTATTGAAAGAGATTAGTAAGTCATAGAATATTCAAGATTTCGTCACCAAGCATATATCCAATCATGTTTGAAAACTTGAAGGCGTTTATCAGACATGGTAAACAGGCCAATGAGTTCAAAAAGAATAAATTGACCCAGGCCGATATAGATTTTATTAATCACCAGAGAGACCTGGACTTTACCTTGAATACACAAGTGGATGAATCGGAAAAGTATGGTTTTATTGAGCAGCAGCAGCAACAGCAGCAACAACAACAGCAGCAACAGCAGCAGCAGCAGCAGCAACAACAACAACAACAACAACAACAACAACACCATCAACATCAACAACAATATCAAGAAAGAAAACAGGCTGAAGAGCGTGCTTTTAAAGCCCAACAACAAGCTGAAATGCAATACGCTCAAGCCCAATACGAAGCTACATTAAAAGCAGAAGCCGACCTTGAGCACACCAGAAAGGCCGAACAAGAACAAAAAAACTACGATTCGTACGCTTCCCAGATAGTAGAACAAGAAAAGATACAACGTCAAAAATCAGTAAAATACCCTAAATTAGAAAATTACCAAATCTTGGAACAAATGGGAGAAGGTGCCTTCTCCATTGTTTATAAAGCCAAACATTTACCCAGTAATCAATTGGTTGCCATTAAGATATTACGGAAATTTCAAATGGATCAAAATCAAAAGCAAGCGGTTTTGAAAGAAGCCACCATCATGAGACAATTGAATCATCCCAATATCGTTAAATTTGTTGAATTTATCGACTCGGACGTTTATTACTACATTGTTCAAGAATTAGCCACTGGAGGTGAGATTTTTGCTTCAATTGTTAATTATACCTATTTAAGTGAAGATTTATCCCGTCATGTTATAACCCAAGTCGCTCATGCTATAAGGTACTTACATGAAGAAGTTGGGATTGTTCATCGAGATATAAAACCAGAAAATTTGTTATTTTTACCAATTGATTTCATCCCCCTGAAGGACCCTCAATCCAAATTAAGAAAATCCGACGATCCTAATACTAAAAAGGATGAAGGTGAATTTATTCCAAATATTGGTGGTGGTGGTATTGGTCAAGTTAAATTAGCCGACTTTGGTTTATCAAAACAAATTTGGGAACATAATACTAAAACCCCTTGTGGTACTGTTGGTTACACTGCTCCAGAAATCGTAAGAGATGAAAAATACTCAAAAGAAGTTGATATGTGGGCTCTTGGTTGTGTTTTGTATACTTTATTATGTGGGTTCCCTCCCTTTTATGATGAACGTATTGAAACTTTGACTGAAAAAGTCGCTAAAGGTGAATACACTTTTTTGAAACCCTGGTGGGATGAGATTAGTCATGACGCTAAATACTGTGTTTCTCGTTTGTTAACGGTTGATCCTTCAAAACGTTATACCATTGACGATTTCTTAAATGACCCATGGATGCGTAAAGTTTCTCAACAAAAGGTTCATCTTCCTCCTTCTTCCACTACCAAGAAATCTTCCAATCATCCAATGGGTAAATATAAAATGGCTTCTAATAACGATTTATATTCTCCTGCTGCTGTGGCTTTAAGAGATGCCTTTGATATTTCTACTGCAGTTCATAGAATGGGTGAAGAAGCTGCTCTTGCTAATAATAAACACATTCCAAATAGTGACATTCATCAACTATTAGAAGAAGAAGAAGAAGAAAATGAAGAAGAAATCGACCGTTCAGGCAAAGTCATTAACTCTCACCCAAATTATCAACCTCCTCAACAACAAGAAATTCCAAATGATTTATTCGACTTAAACTTGGGTGGTGCCTCCATCTTGGAAAGAAGAAAAAATAAACCAGTAGCTTGCAGAGGTTAACCCATTTGTATCTTTCTTTTCTTTGTTTATTTAATTCTTGTTATAATCTTTTTTTGTTAAATATTTGTATTCATGATTAACGTCTATTTATTATGCGTATTAATAGAGAGTATCTTATTAATTTTTTTTTTTTTGTCTGTAGGTATGGGTCGGGTGTAAAATAAAAAGTGTACTTATCGCCTTCAAGCAATTCTTCTTCTTCAGCTAATCAAATTCAGGAAGATGACTGCCTCTGATAAGTCGGAAGTAGGTGTATTAGAAAACTCCAATGCTGATTATCCTCCAGATTCAATCTTGTGTGATTTCAGCCTTGATAATATCTTAAAATTCTCAAATTGCACGATTTCAAATAGTATAACCGCCAAAAAGAAGAGAAAGTTGATTGAAAACTTGAAGATTGATGATTTAAGTTATTTAGCTAATGGTAAAGCAGAAGCTACTCCTAAAAATGTCGAAACCCAAACCGGTACCTATACCACTCTACTAAATAGAAGTATGAAGTTTGAATTTGATCTACCGTTGCAAGTTAAAGAAGATGACCTTATCAACTCAATAGGTTTTGTTAAACATGATGATGCCACTTATAAGTTTTTAACCAAGAATTTTCACTTAAAGTTGAAGAAGGCAGAACCCTTGGTATTTGTAAATAATAAAACTAATGGCCAGTTTGGTGAACATAACTTATTTAGTTTATTCTTGGGTAATAACGAAAATTTCACTAAAATAATCAAACTAGAAATTGAATTATTAAATTCAATGATGAAAAAAATCGATTCAGCTTTAAATTTTTCAAATTTACTTTTGAAAATTGATTTGAAATCAAATAAAATCGCTATTTCTATTGATTATAAAATTCAAATCTTAAATAACATTGAATTCATTTATCCAACTGACATTACCGGCAAATTGTCGTTCTTATTTGATCAATACTACGCGATCTATCCAACTACTTTTGACATGGAAAGCAATATTGAAATTAATAAATTTGCAAATGAAGAAATCGGACCAGCTACTTTTTATCAATCGATATCGGAGAACACTTCAAGATTACCTAATTTGCAATTTGATTTTGATTTACCAGAGTTACAAGTGGAATTACTTAATTTTCAGAAAAAAACTGTTATTTGGTTACTAGATAAAGAAAATGTCAAATATAATACTGAAAACGGTAGGGTTGAACCATTGAACTTGATTGATGAGACTTTAATCACCAATTTGAATAAATATTTCAACAATGAATCAGTCGATCTTGAAAAGGTTGATTCAAAAGTTGAAATAATCCTAAATAAATTATGTTTTGGATGGAAACGTTACATTAATTATTTGAATGAAATCTTATGGATAAATAAAATCACTGGTAATTTCACTTCGCAAGATAATCTTTATAACTATATTTTATACTATTACAATAAGCAAAAAGAAAATCCACAAGCTTATCCTAAAAGTTTACCAGCTCAAGGTTTATTGGCAGAAGAAATGGGATTGGGGAAAACTGTGGAAATTACCTCCCTTATTCTATTGAATCAAAGACCCTTGAACGAAGTTAATGAAGAAATCCAAATGCGTCTTACTAGTGACGGTGACTTAAATCATTTAATTCAAGCTAAAACTACTCTAATCGTTGCCCCAGAATCTATTTTGAAACAGTGGTTTGATGAATTACAAAGATTAGCTCCAAGTTTACGAATTACAATTTATAAAGGTATGAACGACTATGTTTCAATGAATAAAAATCCGAGATTAATTGCCTTATACTTGAGTAAATTTGATATTGTGTTTACAACTTATGCAACAATTTCAAAAGAATTGGATTATGCTTTATACACTTCAAGACATAAATCAACAAGACTCGGTAAAAAAAGATCAGCTTCGAGTGCTTTCAATAAAAAAAATGATCAAAACCCGCCTTCTTCATCTGGGTCAATTGATTCAGATATTTTAGATGAACAATCAAGATTAGAAGATTATAAATCTAAATTTCAATTATCTTTACCGAAAGGATTTCAAGATCGTGATCATGTATCCCATGAAGTTTTCGAAAAAATAGCTGAACAAGAAGTTCTTTTAGCTTTGCAACACATCAAGACTCAAGACTTACATCATCATATAAGTTATGAGTCTCCATTTCTGCTTTTACAATTTTGGAGGGTTGTATTGGATGAAATACAAATGATATCTTCTAGTGTTTCTCGCGCTTTTCAAAGTGCTGAGTTAATCCCAAGATTTCATGCTTGGGGAGTTTCAGGTACTCCAATCAAGAAAGATTTTAATGACTTACATTCAGTTTTAAAGTTTTTGAGAGTCGCTCCTTTCAATTATAACATTTCAAAATATTCTTGGAATTTTGTTAATCAACAAAAGAATTATAATTATTTCATAACTCTATGGAATAGTCTTAGCTTAAGACATACTAAATTCATGGTTCACGATGATCTAAAAATTCCTGAACAATCAAGAACTTTAATCACTACTCCTTTTACCGCTGTTGAACAAGAAAATTATAATCAAAACTTGGAAAAATGTTTATCGGAAATTTGTCTCGATATAAATGGGAATCCAGTTATGGATGATTGGTCACCTAGCCCAGGAATTTTATCAACTATGAAAAGTTGGTTAATTAGATTACGTCAAATTTGCGGCAATGCTCAAATAAAAAATATTCATCAAGGAAAACACAAGCATAAAATTAGTAAACATAAGTTAGGTTATCTCCTCCAAACTGCTCAACAATTAAAAACTTTGGAAAATGTTTTACATGATATGATCAAAAACTCGTTTGATGAAATTGACAAAGACGAAAGAAACATTATTCAAACAATTTCTCAAGTTGCTCACCTTCAAGAACATCTTTTGGTTCCTTATGAGTCCGTTAAAGTCTTAACTGCCACAGCCCACCAACTAGAGAAGTTGGTTCACAAGTTGAGATTAGTTCATATAGAAAATGTGAGGAAATACTATACCATTAGAAAACAGTTACGTGATCATAATGTCATTGACCAAACTGGTGATGTTAAGAACGGAGATCTCGAAGGAGATAATGCTGACGAAGTAGATGACTTATTGGACGATGAAGTCAATATTCCAAGTTATGAATCACCCATACCGGATGATAAGTTCGATTTATCTCAAGCTTTTGAGCTATATTCCTTATTTAAAGAGAATAGACTCTCTAGTAACTCAAAGCTTAGGGCTGGAATATTGAATTTGCATAAGTTTTATTTCTTGCTTGGTTCTGCTCACTTTCAAAATTATGATGAAGAATATCAGAAAAAAGTTCAAAAGCAGAAAGATTCCAGGAGTCAAGATATAAATCATCTTGAAGATCTTACTATGCAAGTAATTGAAACGCTAAAAGAATCATTTGGAAAGTCAGATGAAGTTGTTTCATTTTTGAGTGGTATTCCGGTAGAAGCGCTACTGATAGTACCAAGAGATTTTTTAAATGGATATCAACCTATTGAAGACTTACCAGCTGACCAGATAGTCATTGAAAAGGAGAAGTTTTTAGAGCAGAAGTTTTATGATTTAGCTGAAGATTGTCGTCGAATTATCTTGAAAAGTTCGATAAATGGTGTTAAAAAGGCAGTTTCTCAAAAAATACAATCTAGATCAACTTACCAAATATTTGAAAATGATGGTGATGCCGCTTTACCGAAATCTACTAAATTAATTTTCAACAAGATTCCTAAAATTGAAATTTCAAATTTTAAAGCTTTGGTGGGTGGTGTCAAATCAAATTCATTCCTAACAAGAGTTGAAAGGTTGATTTTCAGTTTGAATAAGCAGAGTGAAATACTCAATGATTGGGTATCCACTTTGATTGATACGCTTTGTAAACCTTTGTTGACCGATGGAAAGAATCCAGATGGTGAAGAATACGAACAATCCTTAAAAGACCAAGATTTAGCGTCGAACCTATTACAAATAATACCTCGTGCATTGACTGACAGATCTGAGTTTATATTGGGCGAGGAAGACTCGACCCGTATCAAAGACATCAAAAAACAGCAGGATGGTGATTTCAAGCTTGAGCTTCAACGTAAAGGAGATGATAATTCCTTAAAAGAATTAGATTCAATCAGAGAGTCAATCAAGCCACTGACGAATGCTTCATTGCAAGAATTGATAGACGAATTGAAAGATTTGGAAATAGATTTGAAACAAGATTTGAAAGATGTTATTAATCCTGAGATTGTATCAGAGGAGATTGAAGCTGTGAAAACATTTAATTTCAAACTTCGTAACATTTTGGAAAGTGAAAAGTTAGCACAAATTTTGCTACAAAGGGAAATTAATACCAATCTTAACTCAGTTTTCAATGCCCGTATTGAATATTTCAAGCAGTTGCAACTGATTTCAGATAGTGTTGCACGTAAGGAGTACTCTTTTGGTCCAACTACAGTTGTAAGTCAAAAGATATTTAGTGACTGCTCAATGCTCATCACTAATCTCAATGATTTGAGTAAAAAAATGTCAAGAGACGTGACTAAGTTCAGGTATCTTCTGAGTTTGTCGAATGATGATAATGATGGTGTTTCAAATGGAAAAGATAGTGAAGATCTTTTTTGTATCATTTGTCGATCTGCAATTACCGTTGGTAGTTTAACACCATGTGGTCACAAATATTGTAAAGATTGTTTAGCGGAATGGTTGAAAAGAAGTTCATCATGTCCAACTTGCAAGTCCAGGACTAGTACTTATGCATTGCATCACTTCACTCACTATAAGCCTAATATATCAGCACAATATGTAAATGATCAAAATAACGAAAGTCATGAATCTTCACAGATTCATTCAATTTACAAACCAATTGAGAACCAGATAGTCGATGAAATTAAAGATATAAAGTTGAAGAATTCTTATGGTTCGAAAGTTGACTTGATAGTTAAACAGACCATTTACTTGGTTAGAAAAGATCCAAACGTACAAATTGTCATTTTCAGTCAATGGCAGGCATTACTATTAATTATTGGAGCTGCTTTGAAAGCCAACAATGTAAGCTTTATTGGATCCAAGGGTACATTGGTACCTGAAGTTGGCGCTGGTCGCCATCCTAAAGGTTATAGTGATATTGAAGATTTTAAAGACCCATCAAAAAAGATAACTTGCTTTTTATTGAATGCAAAAGCCCAAGCTAGTGGCTTAACCTTGGTGAATGCTACACATATATTTTTATGTGAACCATTGGTAAATACCTCGTTAGAACTTCAAGCAATAGGTAGAATCCATAGAATTGGGCAAAAAAAGAAGACTACCGTTTGGATGTTTGCCATTGAAAACTCAGTAGAAGAAAGTATTGTGTTAATGTCAACTAAGAAAAGGTTACAATATATAAATAAGGAGAAAAAAAAGGTTGCTGGTAAAAATGAACAAACAACAATCAATGATCTAAACGAAGCGGAATCAATGACATTAATGCAAAGTGAAGGAAATGCAGCATTAGTTGGTAAAAACTTTGGAGATGGTGAAGAAGTCACAAATAGTGATTTATGGGATGCATTTTTCAGTGCAAGAAATTCAGAAGGGGTCAACCCAATGACTTGAAGGATATTTAATAGACTTGTAATTATACGCATAACGAAATACATATTTATTTATTAAAAGAAAATGTAAGGAAAGAATTAAAGAAAAGAGAAGCAAAAAAATATCATAAACTACACTAAAAAACTAAGTAAGTATTATCTTCGTAACCGTTATAAATAGCACCTTCTTCAACCAATTCTTGACCAACAACCTCGACTTTTGCTGGTGGTAAATTAAGTTTTTGGGCAATATAAGCAAGGGGAACACCTTCATTCATAGTGGCAGTGTTAGCTCTAATGATTTGATGTATTTGATCTTTTAAAGAACCAGCAGGGGCACCACTACTAATATGATCACCATCACTGACGAACAATTTATTATCATCATTTGAACCTGGCGCGTTGAGTTTATTGAAAGCACCTTGAGCTTCCAAGTGGACTTTGATTGCGCTCAATTGATGATAGAGAACTTGATTATGATCATTGACTAATTTAATATTTGATTGATTGATACCTTTTCTATTTGATTGCATTTTCAAAACCCCTGTAACATGAACGTATTTACTTTCAAAAGGTTTGTAATATTCGTATTCAGAATCAACCGAAGTTTCTTCATCATTAACCCATTTTCTAATATCGAAAGATCCGGTACCGTCTTCGATAGTAAAGATTAAGGCAGAAGAAGTATTTTCGAGTTTTCTCACCACACCAACAATCGAAACCATGCTTAATTCAACATTATTTATTTTCCATTCACTATCTGGAGTATCTTGTTGAGCTTCGTGAATTTGTTTAATTGTAACTGGAGTTAAAGTTGAACGGGTTTGGGCTTTTTGAGAATGTTGTCCACCATTATCCATATTGGTTTCACTAAAACCACCGGCCGCATCAAAGCCACCATTGAAAGCATCATAATCGGCGTAACTCATGTTCAAGTATTGTATATCTTCAAGAAGACGTTAGTGCTTTTAATTGAAAAGACGCGTCCTTGATTTAAATTTTTTTTGTTTGAAGGTTTTTCGATTCCCACACGTCTTTTTTATGGTATCTACAAATAAAATTCTAACTATATGGATATGATATTAATGAATTATGTATAAAATATATAAAGATTAAATGATTAAAGTGAACGAAGGATTAAACAGTGAAGGAAATGTGAATTAAAGAGTTTGAGTCATTGACATAAGCTTAAAATTCCATAGAATATTTAGAGTTTTTTCTAATTTGTTTACCAAATAAATAGAATAAGAAGGGAACTGGGATGGCAACTACACCAACACAACCTAACAAGGTCATAGCCCAACGGATTTTCATATTTTCCATCATTGCTTTAGCGAAAAGGGGGAAAGCAGCACCAAAAGAAGATCTTAAAAGGGCATTAGCAGACATTGCCGAAGCAGCGTAGAATAAGTAACAATCGATCAAATAGGTCATACAAGGTAAAAAGATGGTCATTAAACCAAACCCAATAAAAGATAAACCAATGGTAGGAACAATCCAGTGAACTCTTGGACCAAAATCACCAGCCCAACCAGCCCAAAATAAACCGGCAGCGAAGAAAGGAGCACCAACCATCATTGGAACCAATCTTTCTTCAGGAACAATTTTACCATTATTTTTAGCCATCACCAGTTTAATTCTTTTTTCTAATAATAAAGAAACAGCAGCACCGGCCAAGATACCAATAAACATTGAAATATAAGGTAATTCAGCAACACCAGCAGCAAAGAAATACTTCCCTTGGAAGATAAGAGGAACTGCAGTTAAACAAAGATATAAGATACCATAAATGAAGGCATTGTATAAAGAAATCAAGAATAAGATTGGTTCTTTGAACATTTTAATTGGTCTCAAGATATTCTTTTCAAAAATTTCTTTGAAACTTAAGGAAAATTCTTCATGAGGAGCAGCAATACCCCAATTACCGGTTCTTCTTCTTAAAACTTCGGCTTTATTAACCATGATAATACCATGATGAGATTCGTCCAAGAGGAAAACGGTTGCAGCCAAAGAAGCCGAGGCAATGATACCCACCATATAAGAAGTCCATCTCCAACCTAGGGAAGAATTTTTAACAATGAACCCCCCGGCAATTGGGGATAACATTGGAGCCCCGAAAAGCACTGCTGCGAAAATATTCATAGCTTTACCTCTTGAAGCTGGACCATAAATATCAGCCAAAACTGCTGGAGTAATAACCACGGCACCACCACCAGCACAACCGGCGAAAAATCTACAAATCATAATGGTTTGAATATCTTTAGCGGTGGCCACTGCAAAAGTAAAACAAACGTATAAGAAACCGGATAAAATTAAGATATTTTTACGACCATAAATTTCTGATAATGGACCCCAAGCAATAGGACCAAATGCAAAACCAAAAACGAAAAGGGAAGTACCCAAAGTGGCAACAACGAAACCAACATGATATAATTGCATAACCACTGGAGAAGCTTCTGCAAACATTGCCGAACCCATTGAAGCAACTAAAGCAGTGAAACCAACAATTGAAGTAGTGAGAACTTTTTTACCCAATGGCCAGTTATGAGGATGCAAAGGGTCATGGGGACCATCAAATGAAACCATATAAGGAGTTCTATCGGGTAATGGAGGTGGGTAATCACGATCCCCACCCATCTTGGGTAATGGTTCATCGGTTTTATTTGCTTCGGCAATCAATTCATCAGCATTGGTCAATCTTCTACTAATTGATCTTGAAATTGCTGCATTTGATTCATTACGACTTATGATATCATTTTCTTCTCCGTTTGGAATATCTTCAGCGTCTTCAAAGCTGTTTTTTTCAAAGCTTTGGTCATTATTCGACGAAGAGTTATTCTGATCGTTATTCCCGGTAAATGCAGTTGGTGCCAGTTCATCTTCGTTAGAAGAAGAACGTCTTATTTGTTGAACCTCCGACATGCTTTTATCTTTTTATTAACCCAAATCTTTTTCCCAAACAATTTTTTGAAAAATTCAATGGCTAGCCAAATATATTTATACTCAATATGTGAGTAATTTAAAATTTAACAATGGTCTAAATATAAGGAAAAAAAAAAAGAAAAATAGGAAAAATACAAACAAAAAAGGAAAAATGTAATGAGATGGAAGCTTTTTTTTATTTTTTTTCATTCATTTTTTTTTTCTTTTTCCCTTAGAAAATGTTTTTAGCCACTGAGCAACCCGAAAACACTTGGCTATTCGTCTTAGAGTGGACGTTGCTTAGTGAGTTGATTTCACGTCTGGTAAATACGGCTGCTAAGAATGGGCAGCTCCTAGAGTAAATACGGCCGGAATCACCACGATCCTCATTGCTGTTCCGAAAAAAAACATCGGTTGGTTGTCCTGTGAAAAATTAGCCGACTTTCTGGGGGTGTACGGGGGTGCGACCCCCAACAATTGCGCTTTCTTCCCGATATCCGGTCAATACGGTCTAGGGAAGTTCCGACCAGAAGCTTTTTTTAGGTTTTTTTGATGCGTAGATCGGCACTGATCGGCTGTCAATCTGAGGACAGAAGGGAAAAATAAAACGGCTGCATAGCCAGGACTGCATCGGAGTCTCGCTGACGTCGGAGGTACCCGGTGATATGCCAGTTTTTCCATCAAAATTTGCTTTATTTTGCAATTGACAGGGGTTCACTCTGAAAGGTAAACTCCACAAGCCCGGAAAAACTGGGGATAAGGCTATCTCCGGGAGCATTTGCCAATTTGCTAATCCGTGGTTGCAAAACACCTGGACAGCATAACCAGTTGAGAGTTAAGCCTGGGGAAGAATATGCGATAGAGCGGCCTGGCATTCATTAAGCTCCAATACAAGCACTAATTACCCTACGGTACCACGCTGGATTCACAGGACAACCATGAGAAGCTCGAGTGGGCAGCAGGGCAATTGCAGCAACACAAACTCCAAGCGATTGGTGCACATAACTCGTCAGTTGCTGATCTTGTTTCAGCGTCATTGCTCTCAGACCACGGATCTTTTGCAACCATAGAATCTGGATTGCATTCCGAAGCTCTGGTTCCGAACACCCGTGCACCAGAAATACGCGTATAGTAGAAATCATAATAATAAAAAAAAAAAAAAAAAAAAAAAAAATTTTCGACTTGGGTTGTCCAGCCTATTCGACCATGAACGATTCCAATCCAGACCTCTACGAGGTCCAGTCCAAGGATGATGTGTTTGAGCTATCGGAATATGTGTCTGACTCCATACAGCCGCAGAAATTTGTCTCGGAAGACCTTGAGTCGGAGGATATTGAAGAGGCAATCCAAGGTGACACCAATGAAAACGAAACTACAGAAGCTGCTTTGAAAATGATGGATTTGGATAGCATATCGAACCAGAGCTCGGTCAATGTGGTGCAGTATGACCCGGAGTCCAAACCCAAGCGCTTGGGGAGACCAAGAAACAAATTGAACTTATCAACAGATTCAAATACGTCGAGTGAAAATTTGGACAAGGCAGTGATGTCTAAATTTAGATTTGATCAATTGCCGGTGGAAGGACCAGGATCAAGAGGTGGGAATATTGATAAGAAAAGAATCCCGAGGGGCAAGCTTCTCGATGGGAAAAAGAAGAAACAACAATCTTTATTAAATTTTGTCAAAGATGATGAAAATAAACAACAGAAACAAATAACAAATGATAATTTACAAAAAATCAAATTAACAAAAAATAAAGTAACCCCGACTTCAGTATCAAGAACCTCGGTTCTCAGTAAAGGCTCAAAAGGGTCTCGTCAATTACCCGGTCCTCTCATTCACTTATCCTATGACCTTTACGATGATAACTTATTGAATGAACATGAAGACGTATCGAAAGAGAAATTGAGTCTTGGATACCCAATCAAACCAAACCCTTATGCTAATGACATTGTTTATATCATCAGTTTCCTTAATAAGTTTCAAAAAATCTTGAAAATTGACCCCATCAGTCCTCATGATATCGAAAATGGGTTGAGTCTACCACAACAACAGTTTACATCTAATAGAATTAAATATAATCCAAAAGAATCAGAAACAATGGCTTTTGACTCCAGCTACGTATCTCCATTAGTGAACTCTTTATTTTATGATTTACTTACAGTAGTATTGAATAAAAAGAAAAAAATCCACGATAATAACTTATCAAAATCAATAATTGAGTTAAAATCGCTAATTAATTATCTAGGATTGCCAAAAGAATGGAGAGATGATTCACAAATTTTGGTTAAAGAAAAATTTGTAAATGATAATCAACCGGTTGATCCAAATATGACTGATATTTTGATAAATGAAAAAATTAATTATAATTCTCCAGAACCAATCGAAAACCCATTCATGTCGAAAGAATTCGAAGCAAACGGATTAGAAAGTATCTCCAATCCAAAAGACCGTTTGATATTACTAAGATGTTTATGCCAATGGTCTTTGATCATTTCGAATGATATCAAAAATTATATAACGTCAAGTTTACAAAACCAAGATATGTCGGGTGATAAGGAAACTTTTTATGGTTCACGATCAATTTTGAAAGGATTCATACCAACAGAAAGCTTGAAAAAGGAAATTGATTCGAAGTTGAAAAAGAGGAAAAATTTAAACAACCTTGAAATTAATAAATATTTAAATCCAGTTTCAAATCCTTTGGATCATAGTATGAACTTAAGATTGGATGAATTGTGTATTGCTGATGTTGGTTTCCATATCGGTAGATTTTTTCTAGTAAGAATGTCAAATGAGAATAATGGTGGTTTAAACTCAGTAGATAAACTAAACTATATTTGGTCAAATAAATCAAATGAGTATGTTGAACTTCCTTCAAAATTTAAACTTTTCGTTCAAGATATTCACTCAATGTTAACTGATTCATTAGATAAATATGGTATCGAATTTGATGAAGATGGTAATGAATTACCCAGCGAAGCCAAGGCCAATAATATCTACTGGTATGAAGTAGCTTCAAATATTGATGAATTAAGTGATTTCATTCATTTTCTAGAGAAAAAATTGGGGGTTAATGACCCGGAAGGTGATGAAATTTCGAAAAATTCGATCATTTATAAACCAGTGAAAAATTTATATAATTATTTATCATCAAGTTTTGAATTGATTGCAAAACAAGAAGAATTAAGAACTTTTGATGGTAAAACCAGATCTTCAAGGAAAAAAAATATAAATTATAGTGATGTTGATTCAAGTAATCATTTCAAAAAATTAATCGACCCTAATGAAGATGCCAATGAAGACAATGATATACCACAGATTGATAACGACGATAACGAAGACTATGAAGAACTTGAAGAATTTGACAATGACGACGGTGAAGATGACGACTATTCTGAATAGTTAAGTTCAAGTTATTTCTTTTATTTTAATGTTTTACTTAATTCTTTTTTTTTTTTTTTTTTTTTCATATATATATAAAAAATTATCTTTATAAATACAAATATATAATATACATAATTTTCTAGTACTTTTGAGCACCCAACATAAGATCGATTTTCAGTTTTAATAAATCTTCATTTTCTTTGAAGTACTGAGATCTTCTAACAACCTCTTCATCATATCCTTCATCACTTTTCAAAGCTTTCAAAGTTTCGGCTTGTGATTCAACCCACTTTTCAATGAATTTAACTGGATCATTACTCAATTCTCTATAAAAGATCTCTCTCTGGTTTGCATTTTGTAAGCTGACAATACCCAAGGAAATTCTTTGATTCAAGCTTTGAATCATTGAATCGGCTTTAGTCATGCTTTCAAACGCTTTTTTATTTGATTCAATGATTTCAGCCTGGAATCTTGTTATTGATGCAGGCAATTCAACTGGTATATCGATGACGACCTCACCCAAAGTTGATGATTGTCTTGTATTTATTTCATAATCCAAAATAATTGGTTCTCTTGGTCTGAAATGAGGTTGTAAAAGTTTATATAAATCGTTGAATTTAAAATTATCGACTTTTAACAAAGATTTTAAAATTTCATCACTTTCGATTATACTTAAGTCTTCTTCTTCTCCGTTTTGATTAACGCTTATACCATTACTATTGGCAATACTTGAAGCGCTTACTGCGGGAACTTTCGGGAAAGAATCGCGGTTTTTGAATAAATCTTTATACAAGACATATTGCCAAACCAAGTAAACTAATTCTTGTTGAGTAGCTTCTTTCTTACCAATGAATTGAGCCATTTCATCACTCAATTTCAACTTACCAGATTGATCTTTAACCATTAAAGCTATTTTAGTTTTAATATTGAAAACACCAGGTCTTTTAACATCAAAACCATCAAATTGTTGACGGGCTTGAGCCGCTTGTAATGAATTAATGCCTGGTATTTGACTAGTTTCATCTCTGTATTCAATTAAATTTAATTGGGAATTTTGTAAATCTGGGTAGTCTGAATTTGGTAGTAAATCAATCGATAATCCCGATAAAAAATTACTAAATTTTAAATTTTGCTGTTCGCTATTATTTTCATCACTTATAAATCTACCTTCAACCCTTAATGTCCACAAAGATTCTGCTGCTGTAGGGTCAGGAACTGGTTGTCCTTGTTCTTGTAACAATTGTCTTTGCCATGGTTGATTTTCGCAAGTATTATAAACAAATACCCTTAAAATACCAGTATCATTCTTGAAATTGGATGGTTGTATCGATTTTGCATGTATGGCCTGGAAATCCAATCCTTTTTTCGTAATCAATAAATCAACCTGACGCTCAGCTTCTTGTAACTTCTTATACATTTCCAAATCCGATACTTTATCGTATAATTGTGGAGGAATGACTGTATCAGTTGGTGAATATGAAATCGATGGTGCTGGTCCAGTATTGGTACGAGGCATCGCATTACTTGGAACACTTCCTGGATGCGCCTGTTGGGCACCGGCCATAGTTGGGTGTATTGGTGGCATATTCCTTTTAATCTTACTTTGTTGATAGCCTGTTAATTCAAAGTTTCACCTTCTGTTATCAAAATGTTTTCGTTTTTTTGAACAGAAACAGAAAAAATGGAAATAAAAATGTCGCGACTTTTCAACAAAATGTCGCGCATCACGTGACACGGATAAATGTCGTAAACTTTTCGGGATAAAATGTCGCTTTCCCGTTAACAAAGGTTTGTATTTTGACCAAAAAAGAAAAAAAAATTGGGCAATCTTTAAGTAATAGAAAGACTTGATATCTAACACCAACCAAACCAACACTCAAAGGGCCCTTTCACGAGCAAGCTAGAGCAGCTAGTTGAGTGACAGCAGGATAGTGTTACATGGAAAAGATGGCTGTTAACAGCGGATTTGAGTCGGGGACCAAGATCGTCTCACCCAAAGGTATCAAGGTTCAGAAGAGGAAGGTTAGAGCCACTAATATAGCGAATGAGACCGGTTCGTTATCTAATAACCCTAGCCAGCTCTTGAACCATGCATCGCATTTGAAGAATGCCCATATGAATGAAATCAAAAAGAGGAAACGTGATTTTTTCAAGAGAATCAATTATCATCATACCTTGACGGTTGCAATTCTTCCAGTTCTTGCGTTTATATATTTGATTGAGTTCCAGGTCCCATTGATTCCAATGAATACCAAAACGTTTACGTTTGCGTGTATCTATTTCAATTTCACCTTATTAGCATTCACCTCGGGATATCATAAATGTTTTGCTCATAATGCATTTCGAACTAAGTATAGATTTTTACATTTATATTTTCTTATATTTGGATCAAGTCTTGGATTGGGCTCGGTCAGACTGTGGGCCGCATTGCATAGAGCGCATCATCAATACACTGATGATACTGAACGGGATCCATTTTCTATTAAAAGAGGTTTATTATGGGCCCATTGGGGGTGGTTAATAAGAAAACCTAAGATTGTTAGATTTTATGAAGAATTCGTTGAGCAAGAGTTCCCCAAAACGATTCAAGCTAGAAATATAGTTAATGAAGTCAACAATCCACATGCAGAAGACATTGAATTCGAAGAGGCAGAAACGGTTAGAAGTGAATACAATAATACAATTCAATATTTAATCTTATTGCAGGAAAAATATTACCATTTGTTTTTTTACTTGACAACATTCATCATACCTATATTGGTAACGGTATACTTCTGTCAAGATACCTGGATTAATGGTTTATTATATCCAGGGATTTTAAGAATGTTATTATGTCAACAATGCCAGCTTAGTACTGAATCTATTTGTCATTTCCGCAAAATTCAAGTGACTATTCCTTCACAGCCTTTTAATGATAAGAATAGTTCTTTAAATTGTAATAATCCTTTGATTTCGTTATTGACCTATGGTCAATCCCAGCAAAATTATCATCACGAATTTCCTCACGATTATCGTGAATCATCATCTTATTTTGCATTCGATCCAACAAAATGGTTTTTATGGACTTTATCAAAAATCGGTTGGATAGAAGAACTTTGCCAAACTCCAGAGAACCTTGTCATGCAGTTGAAAATTCAACAACAACAAGAAATTATCAATAGATTGAAAAGTCAATTAAATTGGGGTACTCCGATTTCAAAGTTACCCTTGATTAAACCAAGTGAATTCAATCAAATTATCTCATCCCCTCAGCATGATGATAGAATCTATATTGTCATTCAGAATATTATTCACGATGTAACCCCCTTTGCTGATCAACATCCTGGTGGTATCCCCCTTTTAAAAGCTTCAAGAGGTAAAGACGCTACTAAAGCTTTCTATGGTGGGGTCTATGGTCATCTGACTGCTGCCGTTAATTTACTAGCTACCATGAGAATTGGAGTCCTCGATCAAGGTAACGACGAAGAAGTTTGGAGACGTGTTGTTCGTGAAGAAGGTGAAGTCAATGAAAATGATTCAAGAAGGGAAAATAAGCTGCTGTATAGAACTGCAGAAGCTGCTTAATCATATAATGAATCTTTACTATTTATTAATTTAATTCTTTTTATTTTGTTTTTATTTGCGTTTTATTCTAATTATTTGTGGGATCACTCGGTCAACCTAATACACCCTTGGCTACTCTTATATACTAATCTAATATATGACTTAATAACGAATTAATTAGTAAACCTCGTGATAACTACAAGTGCACTAAAAAAAAAAAAAACGATTAAAAAATGAACAAAAACTTCAGTATTGTAAAGGTTTAGAGGTTTTTCATTAGAGAATATAGTAAGAATGAGTGATAACGTAGTTCTTTTCCACACCAGGGACTACCGTGGGGCCACGGTTGAAGATCTAGACATAGCCCCTGCTGTTTCAATCAACCCCAGCACTTCATTAGATCAGGCATTAGAGATCTCGTTTGAAAATGAATTCACCTTTTTACCAGTTATTCATGAGTCTAATAAGAGATTATTGGGTATTTTAAATATCGAATCGTTGAAAAAGGATCCATCCAAGTATAAGAGAAGTTTTTTAAAGCCAGTGGCAGTTAATTATATGCTTTGGTTCCACCAAAAATCAAGAGAGAATTATGAACGTGAGCAACAGGAAGTCAACAATCAAGGAACAACCAAGACTTCATTAAATACTACAATGCTTAAACCAAAATCACCTAAGGGGAAGAAATATTCTGTCATCACACCTATGACTCCATTAGAAGAATTAGCCAGATTTTTTAATCAAGGTAATTACTTTGCTATAATAACAAATGATAAAGGAAATTTTGTCTACGGAGTTGCAACTCCTGAAGATTTGATCAGGTATGAAAAGTCAAGACCAAGATTGTGAACTTTGTACATAGAGATTAATACTACAGTCATTTTTAAACCATATAACTTGTATTTACTATTGCAGAATAACTCATTGTGGAATTTCTAATGCCAATTTACCAGTAGTCTTTCTGCTTTCTAAATCAGTAGCAGCTTGCTTGTATTGAGACAAAGGATACGTTTTGGTGATTTCTACTTTGATATCACCATCTTTGATATACTTAAGGAACTTTTCAGTGTAGAAGTCCCATTCGTCTTGGGTGACCACATAATTCATAACTGTTGGCCTTGCCAATTTGATATTCTTTGCAGATAATCTGTTGATGGAGAGTGGGTCCACTGTACCCGAGCTATTACCAAAACTTACAAGCGTTCCCTTTCTTGCCAAAGCTGCTAAAGAAGTCTCAAAAGTATCCTTACCAACACTATCGAAAGAGGCAGCAACACCGTTGTCATTGGTAATTTCTTTCACTTTGGCTAAAACATCATCTTTTGAAGAGTTAATCAAATATTTAGCACCTAATCCTTTTGCTATGTCCAACTTCTCATTGGTGGAAGCAACTGCGATAACATTAGCACCAATCAAACGTCCTAATTGAACAAGAATCTGACCAACACCACCAGCTGCAGCCCATACCAAGATATAATCGCTCTTTTTAACTTCATAAGCTTCGTGAACGAAAGTCAACGCAGTTAAACCTTGAATGAAAAACGACCCATAAAGCTTTAATTGATCGTCACCAATGGATTCGGGTAATTTAAGAACTTGAACCTTCGATTCATCAATTTTGCTATATTGAGCAAAAGTAGATGGATTAACATAAGCAACTTTATCCCCTACCTTATACTTGGTAACTTCATCTCCAACAGCGGCGATAATACCACTTGCTTCTCTTCCGAAAATATAAGGAAAGGAAGCAATTGGGTAGATTCCCTTTCTGAAATATGATTCGATGTAATTCACACCAGCATACTTATTCTTGATAATCACATCAGTTGGTGACGTGATTTGAGGAGTATCTATGTCGGTATATTGAATAACTTCAACGGAATCACCAATCTTTTCTGTTAAGGCTGCCTTTTGTTGGGAAGGAAGTTGGACACTGGAAGACATTCTAATTGGGTTGAACACTGTAAATGGTTTGAAAGTCGTGGAAACTCTTATTAAGTTGGATGCGATTGACCTACGAATCATGAAGATTTGTCCAACGCAAGTAGGGACCGATCTGGGGGTTTATATATGATTATTTGATATAAAAGTATGGCTTCAAGTACGATTAGTAATTTTTTTCTCCCGCTTTACGGGGCCGGCTGAATTTTGCTTTTGGCAATTTGCAGCTTTCGTTTACAAACAATAAATCAAATTATATTTATTGACACCAAGAGAAGTAGTAACATTATCATTAAAAGGAGAAGTCATAGATCACCATTTAACAGTCATGACTAGTCAAGGCATAAGTCAAGACCAATCATATTCATAATGAGCAAGCCAAAATCTTCATCATACTTAAATGTTTTGGATTTCTGTCTTAAGATTTCCCACTTTACATAGGAGATCGTGCCTTGTTTTCTATTGGGTTCCCAAATATGATTGCCACCAATTTGCCTTCTTGTTTTCCGATACATATTTCTGATTTCAGTAACCCCGTCCATGCTCCAAAAGGAGTCCATCATATCAGAAGATACACTAAAGCTTCGCAAAATGTAAGCTCCCATTAAACAGAATAGATTCACATTCAAATGTTCGGATGTACCGACTATTCCGATAAATGTGGATCTGATCCGATTGAAATACTGTCCCGATGTATCATTGAATCTTCTTCTGCCTCCCTGGGCACACAGAATGGCCAATCTTATCAATAGAAGCATACTCCGCTTACTATTCAATATTGAGTCGTTTTTAATGAGAAAATCAATTAAATGGTACTCAGTGGAATTAAATCGGCAATGGGCATCCCGATAAGCAATGGTTCTTGCCAAAATGTCGGCACGGTTATTGGACTTGATTCGAAAACGATCGTTTTCATAAACCACTCTCAAACCATCTTCTTCATCGGAATCACCAGCGGCATCGTCTTCATCGTGGACCAATTCAGGTTGTTTGGGTTCTGCACTTTCCAGTTCATTCTCAGTATCTACATCTTCAGCCCCGGTATCCAGCTCTTCACTTTCAGTACTAACATTATCAGAATCATAGGCTGAATGGTCCGCATCCACAATTGGCATGGTGCGGTCGTTCGATACCAGGCTAGCACTGGCAAATACATAACTTCCTTCGCTTTCGATGGGCGAACTGGGAGTCGAGATTCCCGAGAAACTGGACGTGGAGCTATTCAAACTTAGTAAATTAAATGAGTCAGTGACTGCTTCATAATCATTACAGTCGGTAAACTCCTCAGAGGAACAACTTTCTGTGGGGGTTTCTTCTGATGAAAGACTTTCAAAGTCCGTCCCCAGGGAAGGGATCGCATTGACGTATTCAGTCATAAAGTATTAGTATTTGAATACTAGACCATGCAACAGCCAGTGTATACCTTAGCCAAATGATAGAGCATTCAATTGCAAAGTAATCCCTTTTTATATTCAACTGATAAGGAAATCCTTAAAAGTTGACTGAGAAAAGAGAAAAAAAAAAAAAGATATCAGCTGCACATCCATTCAAAACCAACTTGATACTTCAACTAGATGAGCCAATAGCCCCCGAAACCCTTGACACTTTGCAGGAAGTAGCAAAGATGGTGGCCGATCACGATGATAGCGATTGTAGTTCGGGGTTGCCCACATTAAATTACTTCCAGCTACGTTATCTGACAAACTTTAAATTTTCTTTTTCGGTTTAGTAATCCTGGTTTTCCTTTTATTAGACTTTGTATTCTGGGCTGGTCTGTTTGCTTTAGCGCTTTCTGCCAAAAGACGTTCAGCCTCATCCCCGTGTCTAACCTTTTTATTCCCATTGGAGTCTTCTTTAAACGCATAACTGATTGATATTTTGGAGTTCATTAGGATACTGTTATTCATTTTTGCAATTACCTCGTCACTGCTGGCAAAGTCGTCATAGCTCAAGAAAGCATATTTCTTAGAGTTCCCAGTATCGTCCCGGACTAGTAACGGTGGTGCTACGAGATTGCCAAATTTCGAAAAAGTATCTTCAAGGTATTTTTCATCAATCAATGGGTTCAAGTTTTTAATAAATAACTTGGCCCCAATGTCGTTACTCGAGGTTGTTGTAGGACCTGTAGTAGCACCAACTTTTTGGTTGGATGTTATCCCTGACCGGGACTGGTCGTTTTTTCTTAAATTAAGCATTTTCCCAAATAGTCTTATACCACTCAATACATTTAAGGTATACTCTGCATCCTTTCCTGTTCTGAATTCAACAAAACCAAATCCCTGGTGGGTTTTCAATAATCGATCTTTTGGTAAATTGATTGATTTGATGGGCCCAAATTGGGTAAACAATTCGTACAACAACGGCTCGTTCACCTGAGGATCGAGGTTCCCAACGTATAGGGTAGCCTGGGCATTCTTCTCCGAGTCGTCAGTCTTTCTGAAAACACTTGCCATCTCTTCAGCACAGAGTAGTTGTGCTTGTTTAATGCCATGATTTCTGATGACTTAAAAATTCTTCAGAGAAATTTCGATGTGCGCCCACCGTTTGCAACAAGACTTATAATGTGATGATGTTATAATGCTATGCTATGCTATTAGATTACATGATGCTACGTTATGCTATTTGTCGTCGTCGAAAATGACCTTTTTCGCCTGTGGCTCTTTCGATGATTCCTCTTCTGGTTGGTCCGAATCAGAGTCACCGCTTTCGCTGTCGCTGTCACTGTCACTGCTGTCACTGTTACTGCTGTCACTGTCACTGCTGTCACTGTCACTGCTGTCACTGTCACTGCTATCCTCCTTCAACCCGTATGCCTCTGCTTCACCAACCACATGCTCTGACCAGGTCTCGCTATCCAAAGTGATAAAGATCTTGGGGTATTCCAAGACAATTTTATTGGCCAAAGCATCTGCCAAAGAGCCAGAGGGGTCTAACTTGATAATTGATTTGTTTGGCTGAGCCAAATTGACCACATTGTCCAAGTAAAAACATAAGCTATCTTTGTCAATCGTGTCTTCTTTCTCCTTCATGATATTATTCAAAATATTCATCGGTACCGCATCTCTGACAGGTAAGGTTTCTTTCAACCGGTAACTTATGAAATTTGAATACTCCTTGCCCTGTTTGTCTACCAAAACCCACTCAATGGTCCAGGTGAATGTCGACAGCTTCTTATCGTAACCAGATTTATTTGATGCCGATCGGCTCATCCCCATAGGTAATTGTATAATCAAGGTATTATTTCTCTTAATGGTTGTTTGCGGTGAGTTGGAGTATGCCTTATTAACTCGAGCCAATCTTCTGTCAGCGTCCTCATTCTGCTTAAACCTCTTAACATTCCTATTTGTTGGATTATACTGACGTTTGAATATATTCTTTGCATTGGTCTTCACATCACTCTTACCCAACTGAATATCTCTTCCGAAATTTAACAAGAAATTATAGTCCCTATTTATATGAATCGAATCTTCACTCAACTCTTTCCTCAGTATGAATTTACCTTGGTCTACCGTCCCAGTACATTCATTTTGCTTCTTATGTCTTCGAACACACTCAAGTGAACAGCTCTTCATTCCACATGCTGGACAGGTATATTTGGACTCGTTGACCTGGCATATGGAGCAGATACCAGACATTCTTACTCTTTTTTTTTAAAGTCTCTTCTAAAGATCTCTTTTCTTCTAAAGGTCTCTTCTAAAGGTCTCTTCTAAAGGTCTTCTCTTTGATTTTTTGTATTGCGCTTACATAAGCGGAATCTTTTTTTTTTTTTTTTCATTGGAATTTTTCACCATTTTTTTCATTGGCTTCTTCAAAGAAACCCATTTCTAGCAGAACACAGTACACTGGGCAGTATGTTTGGTTCAACCTTTAGAAGAGATATGTGTGTTTCCAGGACATTTGTGAGAAGTGCATCCAAAAAAGTCAAGCATAGAATTCCCAGCAAAATCCCGGTTCAATTATTGAAAGATCATCCAGTTTACGGAACCAAAGGAGAAATCATTAGTGTTAGTCCATCTTTTATGAGAAACTATTTGCATCATGGGGATAAGGCTTGTTATGTAACCGAGACCCAAGGTCCTCGTATACCAGTTGTTGAAAAAACCAAGACTGCTACACCAAAGACCATTAAATCCCAAGTTAAAGCTGCCATTCAAAATAAAGAAGCTCCAACTAATGATCGTGCCGATTCCATGTCATTGAGTGACTTATCGGCATTGTTTAATAACATGAGATCCAGTAGAAGCTTGAAAAACAACACCGAATCATCCATCAGTATCAATACCGACGCAGTCCCAGAAAGCACCTATTCGTCAAGTGATTTGAAAGAAAGCATACCCAAGGTGCATACCTTTACTCTCGAGAAAGATGCCCCTGTCCCAATCACTAGAGAATACTTGACCACTGCCATTTACGAAATGGCTGGTCTTAAAATCCCAGTCTCTGATATCAAATTGACTCAAAAATCGGGTGATAAAGACGTTATTTCCGTTATTGACCAAGAAGGGTCATACAACTTGATCATTAATGTTCCTGCCGAAAAAACTAAATTCACTTCAACTCTTGTTGTTAAGAAATAAGAACTTCTGTATATACTTTGTAAATAATTCTTTTTGACTATACTTTTGTATGTAGTTGCGATTTATATGGCAAAAAAAAAAAAAAAAAAGAATTGGTGCAACTTTAATACCCTTCTTGTTCTATCCAACCATGTCGAACCTACGCTATAGTGCTGCAAATACCTCTAGAGTCAATAAAAAGAATCCCATATCTCCTATCAAGAAACATAAAACCCAGTTGAAGAAAATACTTACTCAGCAAGAACGCTATAAGCAAAACTTGAAGAAAAATGAGCTAAGTCCATCGCCAAATATTACTAAGACAAAGGAAGATGAAAAACTCGTTATTGAAAACTATGACGTGCAGCTAGATTTTCAACTTTCAAGTAATGATGATATTCTAGTTGCTATCGATACGATTTTGGAAAACCAATGGGCAGAATCGACTTTCTTGCACTCGAGATTTCATTCAAATGAAATTGTTGAAAAAACCAACCCAAAGGAGAACCTACTATTCCTGTTGAGTGGATTATCGATGGAAACCAAGGCTGACATAATCAAGTACCGCAAGGCATTTTTATCTGAGGGATTGGTTACTTTGAACCAGTTGTATTCAATATATGATCATCAAGGTCAAACTTTTGTAGATCGAAGTCTTGAAATAAAGATCAGACAAGGAAAATTGAAAAAGTTCATTATAACCAATGCCTCGCCTATTATATCTCGGTCTCCTCAAAAATGGCAGAGTGGTAAAACAACTTACGGGTTTGAAAATGCTGAAGTTATAGCCAAAACTCAAGATTATTTAAATTTGATTAAACGAGATATCACCAAACTTGAAAATTCGGATGATGACTTTTTGTTATCGAGTTTGAAGAAGTTCCATACTTTTGTTGAGAACAATCCCACCTCATTATTCATTGGTGAAAATGAGCTTTTAGATAAGAAGGAGTTGTCGTCACTAGTTCGTTTAGGTTACGTTACTTTAACGTCTAATCATTTGAATGAAATTGAGTCTCATCACTATTCAATTTCATATCCAAATTGTGGTACTTTTTTAAAATTGGTCAACTCGGGTAGATCATGGCTAGTTAAATTATTGACCAAGACTAAATTTAAGCAAATATTAGAAGAGTCTTTATTTAATAAATGGGAAGGGCTAAATTCACAAGGTACTAACAAGATGAATAATTTCAGAAAGCCTTTTTACGGTTACGATTTACATTGGATATTGGCCGATAGTTTAGGGGCTGGTATAATAGAAGTTTTCAATACTCCTGTCGGCAGGGGATGGCAATTAACAGGTAAATTATGAATTAACGAATGTAATTATATATTTATATAGTAATAAAAGTCAAAAAAAAAAAAAAAAAAGCAAAAAGGCAGTAGATTAAACTTTAACTCTTTGCTTTTTTTGAAGTTTTCTTTGTTTCTTTTCATTGGCTTTCTTTTCAAGCTTAATTTGTTCATCTCTAGATAAACTTCTAAATTTATCTTTTTCTTGTTGTTTTAATTTAGCTTTTTCTTCAGCCAATTCTTCTTCTTTAGCAGCATCGATTAATTTTTGAATCTTATTAACTTCAACTTCTCTAGTTTTAACAATTTTTCTTAAAGTTTCATTTTTGAAAGTAATTTCTCTTGCAGATAATTTATCAACAGTATCGAAGATAGATTGTAAAACTTTGGATAATTGTTGTAATTGAGATTCGCCAGTAACCAAGTGAGTTGAGATGATGATTCTACGTTTTGGTAATAAATCACGTAAAGATTCTGGTCTATCGGATGGTTGATCAGTAAATGAGATAAATCTCAAATAGTTTGCAGCATCTAAAGTTAAAGAATCTCTTAAATCAGGAGTGATTACTTTTTCTTGAATTTCATTAACTTCAGTCATAACGACAAAAGATTCTGGGATTAAAGGAGAATCAGAAGTCTTGGTTAATGATAAGAAGTAATTGAATTTTCTGTAATCATTCATACCGATTTTAGAAACAACTGCTTGGATAAAGTTATCGTAAGACGCATTACCAGAAGGGAAGATCTCAATATCAACTCTGTCAGTTGGAGCAAGAACTGATTCAGTGAAATAACTCATGATTGTTTCTAAACAGAAAACAAAAATATTATGTCTTGGTTTCAATTTGAAAGTAATATTAACTTTATCAATATTTGCTCTACCGGTGGCATAAGAAGAGTAGTTTTCGGCACTATCCTTAATATACAATTCATTACTAGAAGTCCCGAATTGATAAAAATTTCCAGTGAAAACTTGGTCAACACCTTTCAAAAATTTGGTGACAATGCTATGATTATAGTAGTCTCCAAATTTGAATAAAATAACGAAAACAATGGTGAACCCAAAAGTAAGCATTTCCAAAGTCCAATCGTGCAATTGAAGACGTTGTAAAATCGATAATTCATTCAATTCTTCCAAAGTATATTGAGTATATTTCTTTGGAATATTAGCAACGATAGAGGTAGCACTGGCTGCGACACTTGAAGCAGTGGAAGCAGCCTTTTCGGCAGCAGCCGTGGTCGAAGACCCAACCAACAATTTCGAAAGACCTTCAAACATTTCCAACACGAAACTCTAGGAATTGAAAGATGATTTAGTTATTGGTTTTTCAAAATTTGCTTCGTTGGATGGAAAAAATTGAAAAATTACGAGATTGTGGAGGGGTCGTGCGGGCACCGGGAATTTCTATTCTCAAAAAACAAAAAAACATCCATACACCTACAACTAGATACAAAGTCTATAATACATTTATGGTAATAGCTAATCCTTTCTCTTTTTCAGAGAGGGTTCGTCTTGCTGTTGCTGGTTGTAGTTGGCAAACCCTTCCCTGACCGCAGAAGTAACAAGATCTCTCAAGGCTTCTTCGGGGTTTTCGCTATTCAATATAGCTTCAATCTTCTTACGTCTTTCTTCGTCGTCCACAGGAGCATCCTCTTCGGTCTCGTTTTCCAAAGTGTATCTGATCTCATGTCCGTCAATGTTCCCTGGTCTAGGTAAGGACTCGATGAAGGCGTTCTGCTCAGCTGCGGCATTGGCGGCCGGCTGACCGTGAGCAAGAGAGATCAAGTATTGGGCTATATCGGGGAATTCATTTTCTTCTTCTATATAAGCAGCCGGGGTTTGATTATCGTTATTCTTTATTTTATAGTTGGCGTTCAATTCTTCCACAATGTACTTGGCGGTCTTCAAATCCTCAACGTGATGCAACGGAGTATCTCCTTCGGTATCCTGGATATTAATATCTCCTCCCTTTTCAATCAAGTACTTTAATAGCAGTATATGACCGTACGATGCTGCCGCGTGTATTGGAGTGTACCCATTTGGATCTTTGGAATTGGCACTGAACGCCCCCGAGTCAATATGAGACTTGACGATCTCCACCTGGTTATCGGCTGCTGCCACCCAAATATTAGACACCATGGCTGTTGTATCTAACGGTTGGTGTATCAAGAGATGAGATTGGCTTAATTTTTTTTTTTATGGTGGGTTTGGTTGGCGCACTTCGAAATCAATGAAAAAAAAAGATTGATTGACAGTTATAGTAGTAGCTTTTAGTAATAGCTCTGAGTATATCAAGTAGATAAGAGATAGAAGGATGAGCGGAGAAAAGGACCAGATGACCACGTCGCCGCCGGAGAAGCTCCAGGGGTTTGAATGGTGGAGAAGATCGCTACAGTATCGAACCGGGTTGGGTTTGAGTGCCCAAGAAGCAAAGCAGTTTGAACACGATTGGCTAGCCACCAAGAAACCGCTTCTGAATAACGCAGCAGAGGAGTACCGGGACTGGGTGCTAAGGTACTCGCCCACCGTGAGGTTTATGATGGACCACATCCGGAAGCTTGGGTTTGATATTAGCTCTAAACATATAGTATGTGAGCCTTGTGGGGACAATTTGAAGAGTGGAGGATTTCATGAATCCGAAGGAATATTACTTTGTTCCGATCAAATCAGAGATAAATGGCATTTAGAAGATACTTTGGCTCATGAATTGGTTCATATGTATGACTATATCAAATTTGACGTCAATTTGAAGAATTTAAAACACCATGCCTGTACTGAAATTAGAGCCTCCATGTTAAGTGGAGAGTGTCGAGTGATGAACGAGATTCAGAAAACTGGCTTATCTAACTTTGGTGAAAAATTCCAACTGTGTATAAAGAGAAGAGCAGTGCTTTCGGTTACTGCTAATCCTTACTGTGCAAATAAAGAAGAAGCAGAAAAAGTCGTCAATAGCGTTTGGCAATCTTGCTTTAATGATACCAGACCTTTTGAAAGAGTTTACCGTTAGTCCTTGTATATAGTATAATAAATATATCTTTTGAAATCTCCTGGGTCCGGTTCCATTGGAAGCGCAATTGAATTGAGACCGGAGAAAAGCTTTAGGAACGGAACGGAATCCTGTCGGTTGGCATGGACCAAAACGTCTTCAAGATGACCCCGTTTAACTCAATGTCCATATAGACCGCTTTGCTTGTAGACACTGGGCCAGGACTTTGGAGATTGTCGTATAATGAGATGATGGTTTTATGACACGATGCTGACAAGCAATCGTTAGAGACGGGAAAAGAAAAAAAAAAAAAAGTACGATATAAAGATAGAGGGAAAGTTATGAAATTCAGCTTTTTCCAATCCTAGTCACAATCCTATTGATCAGTACCAATCAGTCTACTAAGCCAGTAGCGCAATTGATTTGGTGTGTGCTTGTTTTTGACAATAGTTGAGTGCTAATGACTGCAAGGAGTAATACTCTGGAAAATTTATCGATTATTTCTGATCGAAATGAAGGAAGACGCAACTCACTCGGATTAATCGATGACTATAATAATGATTCTCCGAATGAAACAGGAACCGATTCTGAGCAAGTTCCAGAAAAAGTGGTGAAGTCTTCGGATAGCAGTTTAGTTCAGGATTTGGAAACTAATTTAAGGAAAAGAGATAAGACCAGCAAACCATTGACTGTGGTGAATCTGGATTCTGATTTAGACTCTAGACCTCTACTGGATCTGGAAGAGATTCCGGCTACTGATTCTGATCATAAACAAATTTTCAAAAAATTCAAAGAATTAAAGAATTACAATTTGTCAAGACTTAATAAAAGACCAAAAGATGGCGAAGACGATAAATACAAGTCAAGATTTGGTGATATCAAGTTTTATATTCATTCCACAACTATATTTGATGCACCTTATTTTAAAAAATCTCAATTCTTTGGATGTTATGTTTTATTTTGGTTGGGTACCGCCTTTTTAATGTTTAATAGTTTAATCCATTCATATTTTGAACATTCAGAATGGATTTTCAATTCCCCCATCATTAATATCATGAAAAAAGATTTATTTAAAGTTGGATTGACGGATTTGGCAATGTACTTGACAACTTATGTATCATTTTTCATTCAGTACATGTGTTTGAAAGGATGGATATCTTGGGCTTCTACTGGTTCCACAATTCAATTGATTTATGATTTTTTCCATTTGCTGTTTTGGTTGGTTTTCGCTTCGGATCATGTAATGGGGTTCCCCTGGATTGCCAAAGTTTTCTTGGTTTTACATAATTTTGTTTTTCTAATGAAAATGCATTCGTATGGCTTTTACAATGGTTATCTCTGGAGTGTTTTGGAAGAGTTGAAAGAATCAGAAAGGCTCTTGAAAAAAATCGATTCAGGAAAATCTATAGTTCCCCAAGGTATGGATAAAGATCATGCCAGAAAAATTTTAATCGATAGTATTACTTTTTGCAAATTTGAATTGGAATATCAATCTCTGGCAACTAGTTTATCAACTGATGTAACGGTTGATCCTAAAGATATCGATGAAAATATTGAAGATTTACAAAAAAAATCCATTGTGAAATTTCCTGGAAATATTAACTTATTCAATTATTTTGAATATACCATGTTTCCTACCGTTGTTTACACTCTTAATTTTCCGAGAACTCCTAGGATTAGACGCCGCTATTTATTTGAGAAAATCGTGGGTACTTTTGGTATTATCTTCCTTATGATCTTGGTTGCTCAAAATTCTTTATATCCTTTGGTTATAAAAGCTTTAAATGCCCGTACTTTACCTCTTGATGGGAAAATAAAGGCTTATCTTTTTATTTTATTAGATATGATTCCTCCATTCTTATTAATTTACTTATTGACTTTCTTTTTAATTTGGGATGCAATCTTGAATTCAATTGCAGAACTAAGCAGGTTCGCCGACCGTGACTTCTATGGGCCTTGGTGGTCCTGTACCGACTGGTCGGAATATGCAAGAATTTGGAATAGACCAGTTCATAAGTTTTTGCTTAGACATGTTTATCATTCTTCAATCAGTGCATTTTCAATGAACAAATTATCAGCTACAATGTTCACTTTTATCTTATCGAGTTTGGTTCACGAATTGGTTATGTTTGTAATCTTTGGAAAATTAAGAGGTTACCTTTTAGTATTACAAATGTCCCAAATTCCTTTGGTTATGATAAGTAGAACCAAGTACTTGAAAGATAAAAAAGTCTTAGGAAACGTAATCTGCTGGTTCGGCTTCATTAGTGGCCCTAGTATGTTGTGTACCTTGTATTTGATTTTCTAATCCGTGTCGTCGTGGCTCTTCTTCCTATATATGTTTATACTTATTTATCTAATATATCTGGTTAACGTTACTTTTCACAGCCAAAATGAATTGTAGAAGAAGTTCCGGTTTGAATGTCACGTGCAACTCATCTCCGGCCCATTTTTTTTTTTGTAAAAAAAAAAAAACCATTGATTTAACACCTTTAAGAAGGCTCCATACCCTTTACGAAAGCTTGATACCCTTTACGAAAGCTTGATACCCTTTACGAAAGTTTAAGTACTCAAGAAATGTCAAGACCAGAACAGCTTGCACCCCCAGAGGTGTTCTATAACGATACCGAATCGTTTAAGTATACCTCATCGACCCGTGTACAACACATCCAAGCTAAAATGACCTTGAGAGCCTTAGAATTGTTAAATTTAGAAAGTGACACCCCCCATTTCATATTAGATTTGGGATGTGGTTCTGGATTATCAGGAGAAATTCTCACAGAAGAAGGATATAATTGGGTAGGAATGGATATTTCGCCTAATATGTTAGCAACTGGGTTAGATAGAGAAGTTGAAGGGGACTTGTTTTTAAGCGATTTAGGTAATGGTGTTCCATTCAGAGCTGGTACTTTTGATGCTGCTATATCTATTTCTGCAATCCAATGGTTATGTAATGCTGATTCTTCTAACGTTGATCCAAAAAAGAGATTATTAACATTTTTCAATACTTTATATGCATCATTGAAAAGAGGTGGGAAGTTTGTAGCTCAATTCTATCCTATGAATGATGCACAAACCGAATCTATTTTGGATGCTGCTAAAGTGGCCGGTTTTGGTGGTGGTTTAATCATCGATGATCCAGAATCTAAAAGACACAAGAAATTCTATTTGGTTTTAACTGCCGGTCAATCTGAAAGAACTATCAATTTGTCAGGGGCACAAATGGATGCTCCAGAAGTTAAAAAGAAGATGAATAAAAAATTAATGAAGAAGTTAGAGTCTAAGAAAGAGTTCATCAATAGAAAGAAGGATATTATGAGAAAAAGAGGTAGAACCGTTGCCCATGACTCCAAGTTCACTGCCAGAAAGAGACGTCCTCGTTTTTAGATACTCTTATCTTACTCTTTTCTTGTCTATATGGGTTGTCTCTAATATCTGTTTATGGGAATTCATTGTACATTACTTTTTTGCATCTTAAAAGGACCTTCTCCTGAACTTGTTTTCGCTCAGACTTAGCCAGTTCAAATCTTGAAGAGTTCTTATCAACCTCTCTTGCTTATTAATCATTTATATTGTATACTAGACTATCATTAATCAATAAATACCTTTATTAACAGTTAACTGTGGTCGTGCGCAAGTTATCAATGAATCAAATTTTTTTTTAGCACTGAAAAAAAAAAAGAGAACAGTGAAAAATCTCTACTTCAGCGAATATCAACTATTTCAACTTGGTTGCCAGGATGTTCAGTTTAATAAGTAGAAGAATAGCTTCTGTTCCAAGCGTGTCCTTTTCCAGGGCCTTCACCACATTGAAAGGAGCAAAACCAACCGTTTATGAACCATTACCACCAAAAAGAAACGGGGAAAATGTCTTGACCTACTTACAAAAACAATTACTCGATAAATACGATCCTACTGGGAAAAGAAGAGCTTTAGTTGACTCTAAAAATGGACTTCGTTCCGGGGACATCATCAAGGTCACTTATATGGATAGAACCAGTACTGTTGGACGTATTTTGGCCATCAAAAGATCAGTTAATAACGTTGGTACCAATATATTAATCAGAAATAAATTTGGTAAATTAGGTTACGAAGTCAGAGTTCCATTGTACAATCCAAACATTAGAAACATCGAAGTTCTCCATAAACCATCTAATTACCTTCCGAGAAACAAACAATACTATATTAGAAGAACCAAACATGATGTTGGAGATCTTGAATTTTTCTTAAGAGAAAAGAATAAGGTAGCATCTCAACAGGCATAAATATCGTAATTTCCAATCTTGTATATATTATCTATCTACTTTTATATAAACATGTTCAATATATCATTGATTAAGCAAATCCATTAACTTTGAGTTTAACTCACTACCAAATTTTGATTGAAATGATGCAGATACATTCATCATCAAAGATTCAAACGTTTCGTAATGCTTCTCCTTGGATATAACGTACCAACCAGCTAGATCGACCGAGACTTTGATTATATCGTTTTCGTTGGTCTTTATATGAATATGGTTAATGTCTTTATGGTTCAGCTTTCTTGAAAATGCTCTAGCATAATAGTCAGCAGACTCATTCAAAATCCCACCAACTGGCCCACCACCCGTTAAGCAAAGCCGGCATTCAGGAAAGAACGTTTTATACTCCTCAAAGATCTGAGTTAGCTCTTTTTGTTGCTGTTTCGAATCCATAATCAATAAACAAGCACTGGTTGAAGGAAAAAAAAAACACAACTCCGTTCAATTCAGTTATTTCTACTCTAACTTCGAATAAACGCTTTACACTTTTACAGTTTCAAATAGATTTAGCCACAACTGATTCCCAATGTTCCATTGAGTATGTCAACACCGGGTGCCCAGTAACGTGCTTCAAGTTAATGATTACTATACGCTTCTGACCACTTGTAAACCTTCATCAGCCTGAATACCGTAGAGAATCAAACTGACTTTTTATAAAGGGCGGACATGCGATTGATGTTAAGGAAAAAGAAGAAAAAGTTGAAAAGTATCATTTTGCTGGTCAATTTATACTGAGAAGGAAAAATTTTTTTTGATTAATTTGACATCCGGGTAATTTTCCACGCTAAAAGAATGAATTTTTCACTTGAAAGGTCTAACAAGTAGGTATTAACAGGATAAATACAGTGGCAAACGGAGCAAGATGCTGGATCTTAAACCGGAAAAGCTTATTGGGTGCTCGCTCAGGATAAACCTCAAAGACCAGAGACAATTGGATGGGGTTATGACGGTTATTGATCCATTTGGAAATATTCTATTATCGAATACTTGGGAAACGTCTATTGACAAATTGAATGGAGTCGAGCAGCACAAGAGAGAATTGGGGTTGGTTAGTGTTCCACGAGAAAGTGTTTCGAATATCCTGGTGGACAAAAAGACCCACAAGGTTGTATTTGGTAGTACAGAAAAATAGGTAATGGTGTTTATTGAATATACTTAATATTGGCTAATAACTTTTTTGGTGATTTTTTTAACGTTTTTGTTAGCAATGGGTCTTTTGATCACCACTTTCCTACGGACTGGGTTATCCTGTGGCGACTTCCTGTGTTTTTTGGAGACGTTGACTGGTTTTCTAATGGTGATGACATTCCCATCTGCATCAGTTGATTCTTCTTCTTCCCATTCGCAGTCCAGGTCGATTTCCTTATCTGACTCACAGTCTGTTTCTGGCTCATCAGTTGGTTCGTCACAATCAGTTGGTTCGTCAGTTGGTTCGTCAGTTGGTTCGTCAGTTGGTTCGTCAGTTGGTTCATCACAATCGGTGGGCTCACTTGGTCTAGGAGCTGGGGTGTAGGGATGAGGAATGGGGCCGGGCTGGTTATGCTCCAAGCAAGTTCCCCAAAAATGGTCTCTGGCACTTTCAAAAGTTCCGTAAGGACAAATATCCACCAAACAACCAACAAGCAGATCCTTTTTAGCACAGATGCAAGTCAAATCATGATGATTGTTGGCACAGGTCCGAGAAATCTCACTAACGCAACTTAAAAAACATGCTGGAGGAGTGGCAACAACCGTATTTGCTGATAAAACCACTGCCAAAGTGACCAAGAAGTTTCCTGCAAACATAGTATCGATCAAGTAAGTAGTCTAGTGAATAGTATGCTCGATAATAGCCACGTAGAGAAACCCAAATAGCTCTTTGTAGCCGAAGAATACTCCAATCACTGACTTAAATACTTTTGCTTTTTGCAATTTTGCAAACTAAAATTTTGTGGTTGCAACTTTCTGTGAAAAAATCTCAAAAGCTGCCAAATTTCAGTGGAAAGTCTGCAAAAAACCGCCAAGATGACAGCTTGAATCGTACCACTTGGGTGCAGCTGTAGTTCTCGATGAAGGTTCATCTGGGAAGGTTCATCTGGGAAGGTTCATCTGGGAAGATTGGCCAAGATTGGCCAGCATCTTGCCCTCTGTATTCTACGCATAGCTGAGCTTCAACGTGCTGATGATCGCCAACGTAACAAACACTTGACCAAGCCCTGGTTAGCGCTGGGTCAGCCTTGTCTCAATACAAAACACCTAGTTCACGTGAATAGCATCGTTTGCTCCTTCGCTTTGATGTAAAAACCATTCAAATGTGCCATTTGCGCATGGAGAAAACAAAAATCACCTACAAACACCTGTGCCAGCAACACCGTGAACTGAGACTTGCTAAATACATTACACCAAATCTACAGAAGCGACTCGGTTATCTTAACAAACGGTGAAACTGTTGAAAAATTGAAAATTCAAACCGGAAAAAGGAAGAAAGGGAAAAAAAAAACAGAGGCAGGTGAGAAAAGCGAAAAAAAATCAACGTAGAAAAAAACAACCAATTTCCGACAACAATCGACTTTAGACAATAACTAGTTATACTAACAACAGCTTATTAAAGAGTTGGACGAGTGTGGTAGTTGTGCTATTCAACTGAGTGTATTGGTCAAAGAAGCTTGGGATAAGTACTTTTTAAGTTTTTTTATTTGTTTTGCTGAATTTATAATCCTTTATCTCCATCAAATATTCATAAGCATGCAAGGAAGTTATAATAACAATGGTCTTCCAAGGCCTTATTATATGAAGCCGGTTCTGTCAAAGAAACACTCGCCTTATGATAAAATGCCCAATACTTTTTTCACTACTAGTAAGAGGAAATTACTTGGGTATATGATGATATTGTTTCTCTTTGGGTCTTGTATGTATTTAGTGTCACAAGAATTAAAACCAGGACCTGATCCGGTTTACGAGCTTGTTCATTCAAATAGTCAGCAGGCAGCAAAAGTGCCAAATGATAATACTAATATTGACCATATGGTTGATTCAATTAAAAATGCTGATAGAGAAACTGAAAAAGCTGGGTTGGCAGGTAATTTGGCTCAGGGTTCCAAAGGAGACATTGGACACGGAGTTGTTGAGGCACCTAAGGGAGGTATTGCCAACGAAGCCCCTGTGGTTGGTAACGATGCTGATTCTGTTGTCGGTAATGGTAAGGGTCAAGTGGATGCTAACGGTAAGGCCAAACCAAAATCTTATAGGGCAAACAAAGGTGATGAACCAGAGGTGAAAGAGCCGATTGAAAATCAAGCTCCTTACAAGAAAGATTCCCCTTCTAATAAGATAAGTGAACAGCCAGTTAAAGATGCTTCGTTCAAGTCATCTAATGATAAATCAGTTCAGCAGATTATGGATGAAACGGAAGCCGATGCCGATGACTTTAAAGTCAAGGCTAATAGTTAAGCCATCCATAACCGCCCTCTTCTCTTTTTTAACGCAAATACGATGACATGAATATATAAAGCATTTAATGACTTATGAAAGTCACACGTCTTTATGAACACGAATGAAAAATGATTAGAATAATCAAGACATTGAAAATTGAAATGGGATATGATTACACCCAGTGTACCATTACAAATTATGAACGCATTGATCCACATGCATTGAATAATTTATTTATATACAAATACATTTGATAATACAGTATCGTTGTAGAAACCACGTATGTTTATGCACCGGAGTATATCATGGATGTGATAAAGACGATAAGAAAAAAAAAATAAGGTCTTACTGGGGATCGAACCCAGGTTGTCAGAATCAGAATCTGATGTGATACCACTACACCATAAGACCGTTCGACTAGGCCATAAAACCAATATTCCGCTTCGTTAACAAGAAATAGATGCCTATCAAAGATTGTGTTTCAGAGAAAAGAAAAAATCAAATTGCAAGAAAAACTCACGAAAACCCTTTGAAATGTAATGGTTAAGAGTGAGAAGAGTGTGAAAACTGAAAACGGATCTTGGATTATCTTTATGCAGAAAAAAAGATTCGAGTATCACACAATTAAAAGAACATTTTTCTTTTTGTTATTTTTATGTATATATCGGGTTATGTGGGTTGATCGAGCCCATAATCAACCACCAGTATCCATTNGTATTAGATACATAGTTCTAGTACGGTTGACCATAACACACGCATAAGTAGCATTAGTCAAATACATACTAATACTTGGTAGCACAGTGGATTAATTCGATACTNTCCATTGGTCGACGACCATGCTTCAACCAATTAGAAGCATCACTTTGGTCCACGGCCCACGTCGAGTAGAAGATTTTTCCATTTAACATGGAAATGCCTATTTATTTATATATGCACATTATCAGAATGCCTCATTTATGGATTGACACAAACTTTAAATATAATTTATGTCTTCATTTGATGATGTATTGTACCTATCAATATAGATAGGCCAGTACATCATCTGCAGACCTTCAAGGTCTGACAGCTTGTAAGTAAACTTTTTAGATTGGGAGACAATCTCACCATTGCTCTGCTGGTTGGAGCTGGAAACTCTTCGACAGACGGAGAAGGACCTGCTCAATGATACAAGGTAATGTAAAATCAACACAACTAATGATTTTTCGAAAGATCGAAGCTAATAAATTACTTTTCGATTCAGCCAGCTCCTCTCGATCAACAGTCCTCTACTCAAGAAGCAGAATGACTATAAATCAAACTTAGAGGAGAATACCTTTGTTAGCCATATTTTTTTATTCTTTCTAGTTTATCTACTCTAGAGGAGATATACTTTTTCACAGTACCTGTTTGACTATATGGAACTGGAAAAGTAGACCGTACTTTCGATAATCACGTCCTGAACAGACAGTGGTCCTGTTTATGACTCCCTGAAAAGACAGTGGTTTCTGAACCATAGGCTGCCAAAAGAGAAAAAGCGACTGAAGTGAAAAAAAAAAAAAAAATCAAAAAAAAAAAAAAGCGAAGCTCATCTCAATCTGCAACCATTAAAACACACCGTTTCTTCTATTAATCATTATTTACTCAACCGAACTCATGGGAAAGAAAAAGTCAAAGTCCAAGAGCAATAGCTCTTCAGAGTTAGAGTCTGCCATTTCACCAATCATTGAAATAAACTATCAGGACCCATTATTTTCTCTTGCTGCTCATCCCACTAAACCTATATTCTTATCTGGTTTAGCCACTGGTCATCTTTATTGTAATACATACGATGCTGATAAATTGGAAGAGACTCAAACCGCAAAGAGGGAAGAGTTTGAACTTCTTGAAAAAGAAGCATTTCAAAAAGGTAAAGTGAGTAGTATCAATAGATCAGTTTCTCAACTGAAGAAGAAATGGTGGGAGATTATTCAGAATAATACTGAAATTCCACAAGGTTCGAATTTATCTACCAATTGGAAAACCAAAAGACATAAAGGGTCATGTCGTTCTGTCATATTTGACTGCTTGGAAGGATCTGTAGGGGAAAATTTATATTCGGTAGGAACAGATCATATAATCAAAAAGGCCAACACTGAGACCGGGAAGGTTATATCCAAAATCAGCACTTCTGATCATTACCCAAACCCAAAAGATGCTACCACTAAGTTATCCCACTCAGCAACTCATCCATTTTTATTGACTGGTACTGAAAATGGCCATGTCTTGGTCTATGATAGTAAAAATCTCTCTTCAAATCAGCTTAAGTTTAAAGTTCTGAGCGCTCATGAAGATTCCATTAATGATATATTACCAATGCCTGCTGTTTCTGCTTACCATTACTTAACCTTAGGCTCTACCACATTGTCGCACTTGGATATTCGTAAAGGTATTATAACACAATCCGATGATCAAGAAGACGAACTTCTTTCCATGTGTTATGCAACTGACCAAATCAATCAGAATCAAAATGATACTGTTTTGGTGTCACACGGGGAGGGTATAGTCACAATTTGGAAAAACTCCAAGAATAGTTTCAGAGATCAGTTGTCTCGTATTAAAGTCAACAAAAATGCATCAATTGATGCTATTATACCTACTATGAACTGTGACGATGGTGATATGATTGATTCTGTTTGGTGTGGAGATAGTGAAGGTTTATTACATAGAGTCAATTATAAAAGAGGTAAAGTTGTTGAAACAAGAGTTCATTCATCTACTTCTGGTAAGTATGGTGCTGTTGATGAAGTTGGTTTATTGGATATTGATTATGATTACAGATTGATCAGTGCAGGTATGGATGGATTGAAAATATGGTCTGGCCAAGATTATGAGGATCTCAACGGCGATAGCGAAGAAGACAGTGATGAAGATAGTGACAGCGATAGTGGCGACGAGATTATTGGATCTCAACAAGACGATTCCGATTCAAAAGACCAATGGGAAGATATAAGCTCCGATGAGGGTTCGAACAGTGGAAGTGAACCGGAATCCTTGGGTCCTTCTGATTTTTCCGACTCTGGAGACGATGCCGAAGAAGAGCAACAGGATGATACAAAGCACGAAGATCAAGATGACGATCAAGATGACGATCAAGATGACGATCAAGATGACGAACAAGATGAAGAAGAACAAGAACAAAAACCACTCGACATTGTCAGAAAGAAACGTTTTGATCCATCTAAATTAAACCCATCAAAGAAAAAGGTTATTGATATCAACAAATTGACAGCAGAAAGTCAACCAAAGGAAGAAGAATCGGCTGAACCAGAACCAAAAAAGAAGAAACAAAAAATCAAGCAGCTATCAGCCAAACAACTCAGAAATGCCCAACAACACGAACAAGGTATTCGTCGTTTTGAAGGTTTATAAATATATTTTGCAACAAATATAGAGTACGATTTTGCGGTAAATAAAAAGTGTGTAGAGAACAAAAGTCGCCAGACAAAAAATGTAGTCAGTTGAGACTAAGTCCATTGAAGACATTTTGATAAGGAAACATATGCTATAAGATTAAAAGCTAGTTTATCGATTAAAGATTGCGTTTTATTGATCTTGCGTCAAGATGGATGTTCCGAATGTATCGACGGTACATAATGTCACGTTATCTCGTCGGGGATATAGCATCACTGGGAGCTTGGTATTATCCCGTTATCATCTTGTTTTCAGTTTTAATCCGAATCCAAAAGACCAACAAGCTGCTTTGAGAGAAATATGGATATGTTATCCAATAATTGATAAGATGAAAAAGTCCAGGGGAAGCTCTTGGATTGAGAAGCATAGCTCGAATGGATCTAATAGTAACCCAAATTTTAATGACATTGATCTCTCCACACCTCGATATCCTATTGATGACTATGATCATTATTCCTCGTCACACATAAAGCTTCAATGTAAAGACTTCACCTACTACTCATTTGATTTCATTAATGATATGATATGTACCGAGGTTTTCCGAAAATTAAGTTTGTTAATTACAGCAGCAAAATCGAAACATAGCATACGAGAGTTCTATGCTTTCGATTATAAACCAAATTTGATTGAGCAACAACTACCGGTGAAAGGTTGGGACTTATACGATCCACTAAGGGAATATGAGAGACAAGGGCTTATTGGAGATAAAGGGGAAGGTAACAGTTATTGGAGAGTTAGTGAGGTTAACAGAGAATATAAGTTTTGTCCATCTTATCCCAATACTTTGATTATTCCAGCGTCTATATCAGACAATGTGTTGAAGCATGCAAGCAAGTTCAGATCTAAACAGAGAATCCCTGCAATAGTATATAGACATAGATCAGGAACCAACGGCAACGTTATTGCTCGTTGTTCACAACCTCTAGTTGGATTGAATATCCAAAATCGGTCAATACAGGATGAAAGATTAATTGCTGAGATTTTTGAAAGTCAAAAGAGGGAAAGATCTGATAAGCTGAATTATGATAATGACCCATTAAAGAGTCAACCGCAAAAAAATTTAATTGTTGATTTAAGACCTATAACCAATGCCATGGCACAACACGCATTGGGAGCAGGTACAGAGAATATTGATAATTATAGAGGTAGAATGAAGAATGAAGATAAAAAGGTAGCCAATGGCTCCCCTAGTGATGACAATACCAAATCAGATGACTCTGCAAATGATTCTAAAGGTTTGTATCATGTGGATAAAATTTTTTGTAATATTGATAACATTCATGTTATGAGAGACTCGTTAAATAAGCTTATCAGCATATTGAGTGAATTAGATAAATATCCGGTATCGACTAATGCCAATAAAACACCGATCCCGTTACTTCAACAATCTTTGAATAAAACCCAATGGCTTCATCGTATATCTATAGTGCTCCAATCTGTTGATCGAATTACTAAGTCAGTGCACTTAAATAATACTAATGTCGTGATTCACTGTTCGGATGGTTGGGATAGAACATCTCAAGTATCTGCATTACTGCAACTATGCTTGGACCCTTACTATAGAACCATAGAAGGGTTTATGGTTTTAATTGAAAAAGAATGGGTTAGCTTTGGGTTTAAATTTGCTACAAGAGGTGATCATGGCGGGTGTGTTGGGGCATTAGTTCCCAAACAGTCCATGAGCCAAAACCTGGGGGATTCGTATTCCAGTAAAATATCCCAGACAATTGAATCAGCGATTTCCGAAGACCCCCAAAAAATTAACGGAGGAGGGATGAGTCTGTTCTTACAAAAAGCAGCTAGGGCAGCCAATCACCTTAAAAATACTGCTCAAAATGCAGCAGCTTCGTCATCGTCATCAGCATCAACCAATGGCTCCGATGTTGATGGAGATGGTAAGTCATCGCCATTTTCAACTTCTTCTTATAGTGCCAGCAATGAAAAATCTCCAATATTTCATCAATTCTTGGATTGCGTTTACCAAATTTATCGCCAGCATCCTTGTGAGTTTGAGTTTAATAGTAGGTTTTTGAAAAGACTCTTCTACCATTATTATTCATGTCAATACGGAAGCTTTTTATGTGATTCAGAAAGAGAGTTAAAAGAAGTTTATCAAGTTCAAAATTCAACAGTTTCAGTGTGGGACTACTTCAAATCAAGACCAGCTGAATTTTGCAATAAACTGTATAAACCCAATTCCAGATCTCCATCTCCGTCATCGGATGATTCTAGCTCAAGCCTGAAGGATAAGGATGACGACCTGGTACTATTTTTCAACTTCACGGATGTCAAGTGGTGGTATGAGCTTTATGGGAGATCAGATGAAGAAATGAACGGCTTATCCAACTCTCTAGATCGTAAATTTGCCCAAATGAAGCTTCATAGCTCATCACCTTCACCTTCGACTTAACAAAAAGGGAAAATACCGAAGGAGAAGTCATCTAATATCGGAAACTTGGCTCCCTTTATTCACCTTAAAGTATATGAGACCATGACTATCATTTCTGCATTTCTTTTTAATCAGATTTTTAGACAAATACGATAATTTTGCATTCATTTCACTCTGTAATGCCGATGTCTTGTAGTTTATATGCGCTTATAGTTCTTCATCTGATAAAAAGCCTGTGTCGGTGAAAATCACCGCAAAAAAAAAAATAGAAAATCTGATCGGATAAGATAAAGCATAGGGCAAAACGAAGAAAATACAAAACCCGAACTGCAACGTTGGGTAAAAGCCAGTTTAGACTGCTAATTATTAGTTAATAGCTAGTAAGGAAGACAAATTCAAGAATACAATCAAGGTATAAGTAGGGGCCAAGAGCAAAAAAGAACTGATTTTGGAAAGAAGTAAAGAGTTTTGAAAAAACTATAGAATGATTCCAAGGGCCTTTACTAAATCGAGGACAAGTCACTGCTGTTGCAAGCTACGTCAGCTTCAGGCAAGTAAACTCTATTCTACTTTTGCATTGGGATCGGGCCCTCATGGTGTTGACGGAAGACTCCCTTATTATCCATTTGGATCAGAAGTTGAATCTCGAAAAAAGGAAGACAGACCTTTAGATAGTCAAAACCCACACATAAATCCATCGAGTGATACTGGAATTGCCATTACTGATCCATTCATACTTTACCAAAACTATATAAACCAAGGGCTCTTAGAAAAAGATGAGTTACAACTTCGAGTGATGAAAGAGTTTCAAAAATTGTACCATAGGGTAGTTGATTACACACCACCAGAGGAACTTTCGATTAAGATTAGTTTATTATTGAGAGAGATCGAATTGAAGAATGCAGAAAGTGCAGCAAGAGAACTGGGGGCCCGTGGGAAGTTTTCTCCTTTAAGATTTGATGCTATACATAACTTATTCCGTAAAGATCCTGAAGCAGAGAAGAAACAATTGGTTAAGGTCATAACTGATGAAGAAGAGTTGGCAAACTTTGCCTCGCCTCAAGGGATCTTGATTCACGGAGAAGTTGGATGCGGTAAGTCTATGCTAATGGATATATTTGCAGCCTCATTACCTCACAAACTGAAGATGAGATGGCACTATAATAATTTCATTTTATGGGTCTATAGTGAGATGCATAAGATCCAGAAGCAAAAAGTCTTCATGGCAACAATTACCAATGGTCAAGGGAAGCAACGAATGACTATGGAAAACGAATTCATATTATTTGAAGTTGCACAAAAAATGATAAATAAGAATACGGTCTTAATGTTGGATGAATTTATGTTACCGGATATTGCTTCCGCTAACATAATTAAAATTCTATTTACTTATTATTTTAAACTAGGTGGTGTACTTGTTGCTACATCTAACAAATTACCGGAAGAACTTTATTCCAATGAGTTCCATAAAACTAAGTTTAAAAGTTTTGTTGCAATTTTGAATGCCAGATGCCAAACTGTTGATATGCGTTCCGATAAAGATTATCGTTCGGTGTTTGCATCTAACTCTTTGAAAGATCCTAATCTAGTTATAAAAGAAGAGGATAGCGACAGCCACGAAAGTAATTGGTTGAAACTCATCAAAACCAAGGCATTAGGATTACTGGAAGATTCCGAAATTGTTAAAAATGACGATATCAAAATGGACGACTCAAAATTACAAGGTGAGCCATCTTCATTCACTGTTTACAATAGAACCACCCATTTACCGCTTACTTTCAATTCGAATAACGTGTGTTATCTTAATTTTGACTACATATGTCAAGGGTTGTTCTCCTCGTCTGATTATATAACTTTGGCTTCAAATTATAAGACGATAGTTCTAGATAATGTACCAGTGTTAACCACCAAAATGAAAAACGAAGCAAGAAGATTCATTACTCTTTTGGATGCAATTTATGAAGCAAAATGTCAGTTTTTCATGAGAAGCGATGTACCCATTGATAACTTATTCTTCCCCGATGCAGTTGCCTCTAAAAAGGATATTGACGAAGCAGGAGAAAACAGATTACAAGTACAAGATGAAGAAATGTTTGCTAAAACGGCCATTGCTATGTCTAATCCTTATAGACCAAACATAGCATCGTATGATCAAGAAAATACTGAGACGTACGACGAGTTTACCAACAGTATAAAGAAGGCATTCGTTGGAGATAAAACGCAAAATGGAGATCCTGATAATGAAACAGATAACCGCAAGATTGATTTCAAAAACATCAAGGCCTTCACTGGTGAAGACGAAAAATTTGCCTATAAAAGAGCCGTTCTGAGAATCAGAGAAATGGTCGGCTCAGAAATCTGGAGAAGCACCAATAGATGGGTTCCTATCGATCAAAGCATGAGGCCCTGGGAATCTGTTGGAGGCGGCGACGAGTTATATTGGGGTAAACGCAGTATCAATGGTCAATACATCGAAGAAGAAGTAAGACAAGCCAATGAAAAAATGGACGAGCTTTTGAAACAAAAAAACTCAGTCACCAAGTCTTTGCAAAACGACCTACCAAGGAACGTCAGTGCCAGCCATGGCATTGCATTCCGTCAATTCAATGCCCGAATTGCTCCAGTCTTCAAAAACGTTCAACATTTCTTTGGATTGAACGGTTGGACAACAAAATGGTTGAGATCAAAGACCCGCAGCGACAATTGATTTAGACAATTCAGGCACTTCGTACTATCTTAGACCCTTTGTATAGTTAATTGAGCCACATTCGACTCGGATATTGTAGTGGTACGGTGGAATTGATGCAAAATTCATGATATTGCAAAATTCTCAAGGTACCTCGGTTTTCCAAAGACGCACACACCCTTTTCACCCGCGACAGAAAACTGAGAAAAACATCAAAAGAAAGACTCAGCTAATTATGTGGGGAGTTATAGTTACTAAAGCATTCTTCATAGACTAGACCAAATGTCGATATTAACAGCAGAAAGATTGGTCAGATTGGCTTACAAGTACCCGCTTCTTCATAACAGCTGGTTTTTAATAGCCTCAGCTTGTTTGAGTGTGGTGAATCATCCTAATGAGATTGCTCAGGTATTCCATTTTGCTTTGAGACAACAATTACTTGAATATAGCTGTGATAAATCACTTCTTACAGACAAATCACTTGTTCAGTTAGCGCAAGACTCCATCACATCTTCTGAAAAATATAAAGATTTTACGTCGGTTGGGGTAAATTTACCGGATATTTTGATTCCATATTCGTTATATGATAAATTACCGCTTGGATTTAAGTTTTCCAGGACCGAAGATATACATGCTACACAGATGGTTATTGCCAGTAAGATGAGGGAGGTTTTATTGAAAGGCGCCGCTTTGGCTGGGTTACCAAAGTCGATCAATGCGTTGGTTACATTGAAAAATGTAACCCCAAGTAATATCAAGCCATCTCATAATTATGAAAGACAACCTACAGTTCGCCCAGGACACGTCCGTCTGTCTAACATTGTACAAGAAGATGTGGCTGGAACCCATTTTGAAGAAACCTCTCCTGGCAATAATCCCGGAGTTACTTTTGATACTATTGATGGACCAATTTCAACCGATTCATTAAATCAAAAGGAAATAGTACTGAATATGAAGCGAGGATCGGAATTTTGGAATACTGTTTACTCTACTAAAGTCAACACCAGAATCAAAAGACAAATGTTTAACGCATACCCTGATCTTTGGCAATTTGCCTATCATAACGTTTATTCTCCGCTATTAAGTTTTACTGAAATTTTATCAGCCAAAGAAACCTCAATGTGTATTGTTTCTAGTTTGATTCCTCAAGACGTGAACCCGCAATTGAAGGGCCATTTACGTGGTGCCTTGAATGTTGGCTGTCTGAAAGAAGAACTAGAACAATTAAGAGGATTAGTTGTTGATTTATGTGATTGGTGTGGTAATGTAACCTGGCAAGGTGGTAAAGAAAGTATTGCAAAATTGTAATTTTTAAATTATCTTATAACTATATATTCAATAAACACTGTTTTTTTTTCTTAACTACATATTAGCAAGCATAAAGCGGGTGATTTATTCCTTTTAAGAGTATGATTCTATAATATACTTATATTATACAATAAATGAAGTGAAAACTATAGTTGAATTCTGTTTTGTCTTCTAATTAACAAGACTTGGATCCCACAGAAAACCAAAAATGCCAAATAAACGAAAACTGCGTTAAAGATAGTATGTGCCACCGCTGCCCCGTCTTTTGGATCATTGATAGATCCCATCATCGATTCATGTCCAGTTTGAAATAAGTATCCAAGAAATGACAATATCACAACAGCAAATGCTGATAAAATGGTGCAGAAGTATGCCTTACCAGTAGAAACGACTGCCTTCATGTTCCCTTAGTCTGTATATCTATCTTGTACCGATGTATTGATCTTAACCTGAAGTCTTGCAAGTTGTTTATCGCTTTACTTCGATAAAAAGCTCAATTTTAAAAAGGATGAAAAATGGTCCCGTTACCGTCCTGCACACAATCAAATATTGCAAAAGAAGAAACCGGTACACCTTATATAACACAAGCTATGACAGATACATTGACATACAAATACATTGATATATACATTGATATATAGAGCCAGGGAGACTAGGACTGGAACTGCACCCTGCGTCTGGACATGCGTTTGCCCATGGGGGTGTCTTCCTGGGAGGTTTGGGATCTTCTTCTGTTATTTGGGGTCATTGAGTTGTCGGTATCGTTACTGCTGTAGCCTTCTTCTTCAGGGTAGGTTTGGCTATGGCGAGGAGCCAGCAGTTCGTCTTCCAGGACCATCGGGGTAGCGACATTGCTCGAATGAGGTTCCGATACCAGGTCAGTTTTATTTGGCTTTCTTTTTTTCAATGTTTGAATTGTTTTATATACTTCTCGTAAGTAATGTAATCTCTGGGAGATGTTTTGCAAATCGTAATACCATAACGTTTCAACGTCATGGGGTAATGCTCCTCCCTTGGCGATGGAGTTGTGGTAGTTCTTCATCGACTCAATCGAGTCCCGGTAGGTTCTTTTCCTCAACTGTTCTACCCGGCAGGTTTCCTCATCTTGCGGTGAAGGCTGTGGCTGAGATTGTAGGAGCACCTCATGCTTGAAGGCTGTATTATTGAATGGTGGTTGTAGTCTCTCGTCTCTTGAAGTAGGGGACGGTGGTGTAGGTGTTCGGCTACGGTGTCGTTGAATTGACCTGGTGGTTGGCGCAACACCAGAATGGTGATCATGATCATTTTCTAGGGAGCTAAAACTATTTAATGCCGATTTATTATAATGGAAACTCACTATCTTGCTTGGTGAATCCTGGGATGAACCGTCTTCTCCGTTACTGTTACTAGTGCTGCCAATAGATCCAGTACTATTTCTCGTTCGTTTTGTAGGAGTTTCAGTTAACAAATACTTACTCGAGCCGGCTTCAACTTCGGTAAGCCTGGCAGGATCGTACTTGAATGTCACCGTATACTCTTCCATCTCCATATACGCTCCAATAATCGTGGGAAATGTTAGATATTACCAGTTGGAACAATTTTATCAGTCAAAATTTTCCTACACTTTTTTGTTCCTCAAAACCTTCTCACATTTTTTTCAACGTTCAACTACTTCTTTATTACTTTAACAGTTACTTCAGCTACTTAAACTTATCGGTGGAAGGATGACCACGTCTGGATTCAATGATCTGTCTGAAAACGAGCCCCTCCAGGCCACTGCAGAACAGCTTCTGGCGCTTATCGAGTCCTTTATTGAACTAGGAGTTCTTGTTCACGATAATCAGGGCACCCCCCAGTCCCATACTGCTTTGACCCATAAAACAAACCAGCTCATCAGTCAGTTGTCTGGGCTCACTGCCAGTCCATTCACCCAGCAGTACCCGATCCCCATCGATGTCATTAGCTATATTGAAGGGGGAAGAAACCCGGACATTTACACTAGAGAGTTTGTTGAAGTGACGGCAAAGAGCAACGCTCGTTTGAAGGGTAAAATGCAAGGATTTCAAAAACTTAAGGAAGTCTTGAGTGACAAGCTCAAGGACGAGTTTCCTCGTTTGAAAGATGGCATTGACGATGTGAACAGAAGAACTAATCTTCCTAATGAGTCCAATGGCAATTGAATCATAACTGGAAACACGCTCAATCCCGGAAACACGCTCAAACCATGAACGCAGGCCCCAAGCCTGAAGCCCTCTCGGTCGCTTAGAGGCTTCTGTAAGGCTCTACAGACTACCAAATAGAGTACCCGTGCAATCTTTTCTAGACCCCAGCCAGTCCTACCCCAACGACTCAAGCTCTTGTATAAATCTATATAACCCATATACACAAATAATGCAACCAGTTCGGTACCACCACTTGTAGAGAAGAATAGAACGAAAAGGGAGAAAGGGAAGAAAGGGAGAAAGGGAAGAAAGGGAGAAAGGGAAGAAAGGGAAGAAGAGTAAGAAAGGGAAGGCTGGTTGACAGCGATTTATTTTTTCACCTAATTTTTTTTAAGGCTGCGAAAATTAAAGAGCTGGTCTAATTTATTTATTAAATTTTATAATAACTACTGCAAAACATGTAATTTGGGTGGAAGATCTCCTTCAACGGGGACGGGGGCCAGCATTGATGCAGAATGGTATTGATCCCACCTCGTTTTTGCTAGTTGTTTACTCGTAAAATGAATGATACCAGGGTTCTTTGCTTGCTTCAACGGTTGCATTGATCGAGATGCTAGGTTATAAACATGCATATCAGGCGAATAAACACCGACTTGATGAGACTTCTCTTGCAACATATAAAGCTGTAATTCCAATGAAAAGTTTTGGGGGTGTTTTTCTGCATTTGCTAAAGCTCAACCATGCTTAATATCAACTTTCTCTTATCAATTCTTCTTGCACTTAGCTTAGTCCAAAAAGCTCAAGCAGAAACAGACTCCACTACAACCGTGACAATCACTCCTTATGTTACGGCCACTACTTACGTTGGTATGATCGAACAAATTTGGGAAACCGATTATATTTATACTGATGGTTCTGGGAAGTTAACAACTTATACGACTTTTGGTACCGTGTTTACTTATGATACCGATATCACTACACCAACTGCCGCTGCTTCGAACGTGGCTGCTACTAGTGCTCCTACCTTAACAGACTCTTCGGTCTTGTCTTTAGGAAGTCCGGTTTCTTTTCTTAGTTCGTCACCATCGGGTGTGTCAAGCATCCCTTCTCTGTCCGAAGTGATTTCCTCTCCTGCTTATGAGAGTTCTAGAGCTGTGTTGGCTCCTTATTACACTGGATCAGTCTCCTCGTCATTGATATTACCTCTGGAATCTTCAGCATTGACTTCTGCTCAAGCTTCTTCAGTATCGAGTTCATCGGCTGCTTCAGCATTGAGCTCCTCTGATCCAGCTCCTTCACCTTTAAGCCCATCAGCTTCTTCCAACTCAATCTCACTCACTTCTGCCAATTCTCTTGCATCAAGTGACCCCAAAGCATCATCCGAACCTGCTTTATTACTGGGAGCCTTCTCAACCACCGAAATACCGTGTTCTGTTCCCGATGGTGACTACACCACTTCAACCTCATCTACAAAAAGCACGTTAAATGATGGTTCTACAGCAGTACTTGAATACATTGTCTTATTCACTGAAGACTGTGGTTGCTAATCTTTCCCTCAGGCTTTTAGATCTGTACACTAGCTTTTCTTTTCTCTTCGTTCTTCCCCTTGGCTATTCTATGTAATATTAACCTAATAAATTTTCTTCTTATATACTTAATTCTAATAAATAATCTAATCAATAAATAAATGAATACTTTTGCAATTAGTAGTTGCTTGCGAAAGAATCGGACTTTGAACAAAAAAAAATGAAAAAAAAAAAAAAAATTCTGAGGCCATTAAACGTAAGACTATCTTCAAAGAAAAGAAAGCCTTGAAAGCATGATGATTTCACGGATTGGAATAGACCGTGGCATGAGGACCGTATCGTTCCACAGACCATTGCACACAATGGTACCTAGGGCCGGTGTACGCAGTCACTTATCAAGCATTAGACCAAATATTCATCTCATTTCAAAAAGAACAGTAAAAACCCCAACCATTGATTGGACCCCAATGAAGTCAACGACTTCGGATATCAGGCTTAAGTCGGAACAAGCAAAGACTCCAATATTGCGTAAGTTCTTTTTGGGTTTAATGATCGCTATGCCTGTGATTAGTTTTTTCCTTGGATGTTGGCAGGTTAAACGTTTGAATTGGAAGGTGGACCTTATTGCAAAATGTGAAGACTTATTGGCTGCTCCACCTTTGGAGAAATTACCACCAAACATTGATCCTGAAGTTATCAAAGATTTTGAATTCAGAAGATTTAAAGTTAAAGGGCATTTTGATTATTCTCAAGAAATGTTTTTGGGTCCTAGAATGAGAAATTCGGTTCTTGGATACTTGGTTATAACTCCATTCATAAGGTCTGATGGAGGGGATCCAATCTTGGTTGAAAGAGGTTGGATATCCAAAGATAAAGTTATTCCTGAAACTCGTTCAAAAGGTTACTTATCTCATTTAGCTCTACCCCAAGGGGAAGTTGAAATCCATGCTCTTTTCAGAGTTATGCCTAAAAGATCAAATTTACAATACGAACATACTCCAGGTGATAAATTGTTTTACATACCTGATGTTGAAGCAATGGCAAAGCAGTCGGGATCCTTACCAATTTATAGTCAAGTCATTTATAGCTTGAAAGATCATCCTGATTGGAAAGGTCCCGAACAAGTGAATGATGATAAAAAATCGGTTTGGCAGAAATTAGCTGGTAAAATAAAACCAAAGTCTGAAAAAAGTAACGAAGTTTCTACGCTTCTTGGTAATGAATCCGATGATGATCAAACTCTACAGTATCAAGAATTCGAATTCATAGATCAAGGGGTTCCAGTTGGTGCTGTTCCAAAAGTCAATTTCACCAATAATCACTTACAGTATTTAGTTACTTGGTTTGGTCTTTCTTTTGCAAGTACCGGATTATTAATCTATAGTTTCTGGAAAAATAGACAATTCTCCAGTGCTGATAAAATAATTGCTGCTAAACGTAAAGACATGCACAAAAAATTCTAACTTTAGCTGTTTAAATTTGTATATATCGGTTTATTTAATTTATGTTATATAGTGTTCAATTGCGACTTATTAAGCCAAAAAGTACTATTACGAGCGAAATGTCACTCAATAGCATTCCAAGTAAATCCCAATATCCCAATATGCTTACAATCAATGATCTGTATTGCTGCAATTGGGGTAAAACAAGTGAGCCCATAGATAAAAGTTTTGTAATTGGATTATTTTCGCTGGCAGTTTTGAATAAATGTTTTTGGGTTCCAATAATGAAATATGTAGTTAAAATGACCAATTCAATAGAAAGGAAAGTAGTAATGAAAGTATTTGTTGGAGAAGTAGCAACCAAGCCACGCACATAAGAGTAAGATGAAGATTGGAATGAAAGATCAGCAATGGTTAAATAATGGTAAAAAAAGTTAATTAAAATGGCAGTATATCTAACGATTAAAAACCTGAACTTCCATGATTTCTGGTTATAAACATTATATTCATTCAATTGTTGTTGATAGACATTCTGAGGTCCATTATTAGCCTCATTTCCAAAATTTGGCATACCATCACCACCATCTTGATTAAGGAGACTCATCATCATCTGAGAAATTGGGTCCTCTTGACCATTTCCAGCACCCCCTTGATTACCAGGAGCACCAGGAGCACCAGCACCAAAGATTTTGTTCAACATTTCGTCAAAATCAGGGTCTTGTTGGGCTTTATTTTGAGGAGTACCATCTCTTTCTTTGATGATGGTATCAAGGTCCAGAACTTCAGGGTCACTATCCTTATTTACAGCAGAAAGGGATGCATTAGACATTTGAGGAGTAAGTGAAGGACTTGGTGTGGATTGAGGTTTATCTAAAACCGATATAGAAGGCTGATCTGACTTTACCGATGAACCCTGAGATAAGATATTATTCAATCTTTCAGAGGCCTTACCCTGTTGCATTTTGGCCTGTCTTCTTTCTCTCAAAAGACGTCTTTTCTCATCTGCGCTTAATGGTTGCTCAGACATGGTTCCTGTTTAGATAATACAAGTATTCAAGTTCTTGAAGTGGATTTTAATTTTTCAAAACTTGTCTTTTCCTCGTTGAATTTTCTCTCAAAATTTTTTTTTTTTTTCATTTTTGTTAACCTTTTCATTCTTTGGATAATAAAAGCCTGTCGACCGTTCTCAAAGGATTGGCAACTGGAAGAATTATGGATCGAAACAATCAGGGAGTCTGTGACTCAAGTCTGCTTAGCTATCAAGAGCAATTGAGACGTCAGAAGATTCTCAATTCAATTGAGAACAAGGACTACTTATTAATCATTGCCAGTCAACAGAATAAATCAGTTCAACAAGTAAAGTACGAACTAATGGTTAAGCTTACAGAAAATTGAACTTATTGAAAATCGTAAATTTGAATCTAATATACATACTATACAGTTGAGATGGATGATCATCTAAAAGGAGGACGATTTGCCAATTTATCAACTCTTCCTCTTGATGAAACTGCAGATGTCCTTTTTGGTCTGTCAGATGGCCTTACGGTATTGCTACTATCGAAAAGGCCTCTCATGTATCTTGGAGGCTGGTTGAGATTGGGTCCTTTTTCACCATAGATAGACGATGAACTTTCTCTAGTTCCAGAGGTCCCCACTAATGGACGACTGCTTCTGCCTCCTGGCTGAGGAATTCTCGAGACTCTGGGATTGACTATGAATGATTCTGTGCTGTGATCAGTATCGTCAGAGTATGCAACGGTGTTCTGTTGTTGGGTTGGTGTATATCTTGTCGAGGGGAGTTTAGCTTTGGATAAATTCGATCTAGCCGGTGGTTTAGGTTGAGCAAACCCACTGGCCTCAACCCTTGGGGGTGGTTTTACGGATGAAGGAGTTTTCAACTTGGCTTTCAATTTTTCATTTTCTGATCTTTGAAGGCTTACCTTGAGTTTCAAATCCTCTATTCTCGAATCCAAACCCTCCACCTCCTTTAGCTTATCCCATTGCTCTTTTGAAGGGCGACTCGGAAAATTGTTACACCACATTGTTATATTCATTCCGTATAGAAAACTTGCAAACGGCTCGTTGAATCCATTCGATATGGCATCCTGTATAACTCGTAAATCGTACATGTGTCGCTCCATCTGATCCACCTGATCAAATAAGTCTTCGATCTTTTCCAAGTTACTCTCGGTTTCTAGTGGTAATTGATCTGGATCTACTGGATAATGAACTTTTGGGGATTGCGGAAGAATTTTATAAAGACCCGACGACCGACGCAGGTGTCGGCGCTCACTCTTATGATACGTCCTTGGTGTGGTTGGTTTAGACGAAGACGACATTCTTTGCTGCCTGGATGGCAATTAATCACTAGAGGAGATCTGTTCGTTAAAGAAATACTTTGACTTGAGTTTTGTTTTGATTTTTTTTTTAAGTCTTTTTTTCCTCTCTTGAAGCTACCGGTCAGTCGGAATTACCGGGGGTCTTTCCACTTTGTTTGCTCGGTTATAGAATTACGACCTTAGTTGATTTGCACGTTTTTCATAGCAATACGTGGTCGGAATACATCTTGTATCTGACCGTGTAGAGGCCGGAAGGTGTATTTTGCAGTTAAAATTTACGTTTATATTAGTTAGTATCTAAAGATTAATACAGTTTTACTTGTCATCTTGACCAATGATCTGTTGCCATGTCTTGCCTTCCTTCTTCAACTCGGCAATCAACTCATCTCTGATTTTACCTGGTAAACCAGGACCCTTATAGGCAAATGCGGTATAAAGCTCAATAAAAGTAGCACCAGCTTTACCAAATTCCAAAGCATCTTTACCACTAGAGATACCACCGCATCCCACAAGGACCAAGTCTGAGTCCTTGGTGTACTTGCGCAAATGTCTTAAGGCCTGTAAAGCGATGGGTTTCAAAGGTTTACCAGATAACCCACCGGTTTGGTCAACCAAATTGTTGTCAGTGGTCTTCAAGGTACTCTTTGGTCTTTGGATGGTGGTATTGGAAATAATGATACCGTCGACCTTGGCAGTTTTAGCTGCAGTGGCAATAGACTCGATTTCAGGTTCAGTTAAGTCAGGAGCAACTTTGACTAGCACTGGAGGCTTTTTACCCAATAAGTTATTCTGCAAGACATTTCTTTCAGCAACAACAGTAGACAATAAGCTTGTGAGTTTCAGTTCGTTTTGCAAATCTCTCAAGCCCGGGGTGTTTGGAGACGAAACATTAATAACCAAAACATCAGCATAAGGACCCAATCTCTCAACACCTTTGACATAATCGGTGACTTCATCACCAAACTTATTCTTACCCAAGTTGACTGCTAACAATTTACCATTTCTAAAAGCATTGGAAGGAATTTCAGAGTCTGGCGAGTTGTTTCTTTGAAATTTCTGAAGTAATTTTTCAAAACGAAGCTTCAAAGTGGCCACAACATTAAAGTGTCCGCTTGAATTAAAGCCATATCTATTGATCACAGCATCGTCTCTTGGCAATCTAAAGAAACGAGGCTGCGGGTTACCAGGTTGGGGTTCTGGAGTAATGGAACCAATCTCGACGTAAGAGAACCCACAATTGAACAATGATTCAATAGCTTCACCGTCCTTATCAAGACCAGCAGCCAACCCAATGGGTGATTTCAACTTGGTTCCAAAAACGTCTACTCCCAAGACATCGGAGGTGTCGTATGTTTCATCATCAAGCAATCTTGGGGTCAACCCATACTTCATGAAAAATATACCTAACTTATGACCTTGTTCAGCACTGGTGGAGGCCCTGATAATTGGGCATAGAACATACTCGTGGAACGCAGATCTTGCGTCTGCCAAATAGAACCCACCTACGGCTGCTCCAGCCAACCCAACTGCCCATAAAATTGATCTTGGAAGTACGCTTGACTTCAAGATTGGAAGTTTGGCATTGGTGGTAAACGTCTGTCTTTGATTATAAGCAACCTTTCTACCGATCTGGACGGTGTTACGCGAGAAAAAAGATCTGTTCATCATATCCCTCCTTGCTAGATCCCTCTGCAATTCACAATAATGCACTTGGACTAGGATTGAATATATAAAAGAATCAATTCAATGGTTTTTACACCTGGTGATACTGAAAAATTAATTAAACAAACAAAAAAAATTGGAGTGAGCATCAGTGAAACACCCGTACACACAATGAACTTGCGAAAAAAAAAAATTTAGACTGAAGATCATCTCATCTTGAAAGATATTGCAAACTTTTCAAAAGCTTCAGTTTAGGTGGTTCACTCTTCAACAGGCAGTATAAGCAATGGGAGCCAAGAACGCTAATTCTTCGGGCAAAGTGCCCGAAAGAGCAGGAAGCGAGAAGTACCAGAGAGGAGGGAAATTCAAGAAGACCAAATACAATTCAAAAAATAAAAGATTAAACTCTGGGATGAAAAGAATCGATAGACAGTATAAGGATGCAGTTAGATCAGCAGCAGGGACCGATTTGTTGTTGCAAGAAAACGAAGGTTTATTAGAGGCCGAGGGCCCAATGGAAAAGACCTTCAAGTTCAAGCAAGATGATATAGCAGAAGTGGTTGATCAAAGTACTGCTAATAAAAAATTTGAATTACAGTTAAATGAATTCGGACCGTATAATCTTGACTATACTAGAAATGGTAGAGGCCTTTTAATAGCAGGTAGAAAAGGGCATGTTGCATCTATGGACTGGAGAACAGGACAGTTAGATTGTGAACTTCATTTGAATGAGACTGTTCATGCTGTTAAATATTTACATAATGATCAATATTTTGCAGCAGCTCAAAAGAAGTATACTTTTATATATGATAAATCAGGAGCTGAAATCCATCGAATGAAACAACACATTGATACTACATTATTAGACTTTTTACCATATCATTTCTTATTAACAACCGCAGGAAATACCGGATTTTTAAGATACCATGATGTTTCCACTGGTATATTAGTTAGTGAACATCGAACAAAATTAGGACCAACGCAAGCCATGAAACAAAACCCATGGAATGCAGTTATGCATTTGGGTCATGGTAATGGTGTTGTTTCATTATGGTCACCAAGTATGACTACCCCATTAGTAAAGATGCAATCAGCTAGAGGACCAATAAGAGACTTGGCAATAGATAGAGAAGGTAAATATATGGCAGTTAGTGGGAGTGACAAATCATTGAAAATATGGGATTTAAGAAAATTAGAACCTATAGATACTTATTATACACCAACCCCTGCAACTAGTTTAGATATATCGGATACTGGATTATTATCAGTCGGGTGGGGACCACACGTTACAGTTTGGAAAGACATTTTTAAAACCAAACAAACTCATCCATATATGAATCATTTGATTCCAGGATCAAAAATTGATAAAATCAAGTACGTTCCATTTGAAGATATTTTAGGGGTTGGACACCAAAAGGGGATTTCCTCATTAATTATTCCAGGATCTGGTGAAGCCAATTATGATGCATTAGAATTGAATCCATATGAATCAGTTAAACAAAGACAAGAATCCGAAGTTAAAGGATTACTTAATAAATTGGCTCCAGATACTATTACTTTAGATCCAAATGTTATTGGTACTGTTAATGCTAGAGCCAATGGTATAAGAATAGGACCACAAGGTAATGTTATTGAAACCATTGCTCATGATGATGATGATCATAAGGGAAAGAATTACTTACAAAGAAAGAGTCAACTGAGTATGGATGAAAGAAGATTAAGAACCGAAAGAAACATCCAATTACAAAAAGAAGCAAGAGAAAAACAACGTATGGGTATAATCGAAGATGACGACGAAGAAGCGGATGAATTAGATTCAGCATTAGCAAGATTCAAATGAGTTTATTTTTAATAGAAAACTGTGTATATTATATAAAATCTAATATCTACAACGATATAGTCAATAAAAAGAGCCGTAAAAATTAAATAATTAATGGAGAAGGAAGATGCAGAGGTAATGAAGAGAAAGAGAAGTATGACAATAACCAAAAAAAAAAAAAATATATATATATATAAAAGAATAGGAGAAATGAAATGGGATCATGAATATATACGCAAGAAAAATGTAGAATCAATGAGAAGTTCTAGCAGTGATAGCAAAATTAGAGTAATCAACCGTGATGAGGTCATTCAAGATATTAGTAGGGCCACCATTCAAAGATTGGCTAAGTTGTTCATAATTATCTAATTCAGATTTGATGAAATCAATCACGAGTTTAAATTTACCAAGAGAGGTATTATTATGTTTTTCCAAACAGCTTTGTAAATTCATATCTTCAATAATTTTAATCAATTCCAAATTAGCAGAAGAAGAATTTGAAGAATTGGAAGGAGGAGAAGAAGGAGTTGAATTTGATACAAGTGCAGAATCAATAGAGTCATCGTCAAGAGGATGATCAAATCTTTGGCTTAAAACAATTAACCAGGTATTGGAAATTTGTTCATAAGCCATAGATCTAGTATATTGAAATTCATGATTAGTAAAATTAGGTAATTCGTGGATTAAGTTAGTAATCATATCCAAGAATTCAACCGAACGAGAAATGTTTGTTTCAATTGGAGGTAACAAGTTTAATATGAAATCAGACAAACAGTTTAAAAACTCATTTATATAAGGTTTAACTCTTAGATACGAATAATCGCTTTCAACATCGCATTTATAAGGTAAATGATTTATGATATTATCGAATTTCTCCCTGATTAAAGCAATAGAACTCTTAGTACAAGGTTTTGGTGATAATTTATGAATAGTATTAGCAGTTTCTGGATGAATCTTGACCAAATCTTCTAATAAAGTTTGCAATGACTTATGATCCAAAACTTCGATAAGTCTGTGGATGGGCAAAGGTTGGCCAACAATTCTTGGGGTCTTGGTCTTCTTATGTCTAGCAGGAGCATGGAATCTTCTATTATTGGATGCTGGCTTGTGAACTTTACTTTCTTCATCATGAAGTTTTCTTTTTCTAGCCACTGGTCTAACCACAGGGGTATATCTTGGTATGCTGGTATGGGTATTTGAATCATCATTGCTTGCAGAATCAAGGGGTTTGGCACCCCATGAAAACCCAGTAGACATCATCTTTGAAGGCTTCTAATAAATATTATCTATAAAAATTTTTCCAAAAAGACAACCTAACCGCTGTAAAATCTATGAATGCTCTAAGAAATATTGGTAAGCACCAGGCTCAAATAACTTATATGGACTCGATAAATGCTTCACGACTCAACGGACACTATAAACGGCTTGATTAGTCTAGTATCGATGGATAGCAATAAAGTGAATTCAGGAAGAAAAGAAAAAGAGAAAAAGAGAAAAAGATTTGATGTTTTGCCGGTAAATTCTCATTTTTGAAAAAAAAAAAAAATTGTACTCTGCGGTACCGATGTAGTCTACAGACAGTATAAAGAGTTTAGAGCATGAAGTTTCTACAGGCAAAAGTACAGTATAAAGTATAAATAAACCTATTTAATAGTAATCATTATCTTCGTATTCAGAGATCGAAGCATCATCTTCTGCATCGAAATCGCTTTCACTATCTTGATCGTAATCTGCTTCATTAAATCCAACATAACGATTTCTTTTTAATTCAACTTCATCATCGGGATTAATGTCTTCATCATCGGTTATATTATCAAGGTCATTTTTAGAGTTGGGAGTAGTATAAGGTTTTGGATCGGTTTCATCGTCGTCGATTTGTTCTTCTTTTTCTTCTAGTTCAATTTTCAATTCATGAATTATATCAAAACATTCAGCTAATAAAGCATTTAAAGTACCTTGACCTTCGGGAATTTGATTATTTATAATAAATTTCCCATCACTTCTCAAGTTATCTAAGGACGCCAATTTAAATTGAAAGGGATATAATTCTCTTAAATTATTTAAGCCATCAATTCTTTTAATTTCTAATAAGCATCGACGAACAGTTGATAATTGATTATGGATTGGTTGTAAAGATTCAGAAACCGGTTCTGAACTTTCTAATAATTTATAGATTAAAGAATAACATCTTCTTAACAAATATAATATTAAAATTTGTAATCTTTTAATATTTTTCGATGATGAAGGTTTTGAATTGATTTTATTATTGAGTTGAATTCTATCATCATCTATAACTTTAAGAGATTTTTGATAATTGTATAAATCAGTTTCTCTCATTGTCCAACGACGAGTTATTAATAAATTTTCTAAAGTTAATTTTAATTCGATTAATTGGTTATATAATTTTTTAAACATTTCAATATATTCATCATCGTTAGTTGATAATGATTGAAATAATAATGATATGTCACTTGATTCCTGTTGAATTGAAACATCATTAATTAAATTATTACAATCATCTAATAAACCATTTAAAATCATTTGGGAATATTTTAATTGTTTTTCAGTACCAACTTCACTAGTGAATTTCCCATCTTCATTTCTTTTGGATTCAATTATTTTCAATTGGGTTTTCAATTCGTTTAATTTTTTAGATAATTCATTACCTTTAATCAGTTTTTCATTTGAATATTGAGTAATTGGATTTTCGGTGGATTCTGGTACTGGGGTGACATCTTTTGATTTATTAATGTCATTGGTTAAATAATTTAACAAACTTTTCCTAATTTTAATTAATTCATTGAAAAAAGGTTTCAAATCGGATGGTATTGATTTAAAACTTTCTTCTAATTCATTATACACTTGTTGACACTTATTCAATTTATTTCTTAATAATAAACTTTCTTCTCTTTTATGAGATATAATTGAATGTTCATCTCCATTATCATCAATAATTTTTTTTTCTCCATTTGCTATTTGAAATTCTTCTTCCTCTTGTGCTTCTTCAATAGTTTGAGTTTCACTATTACTAATAATTTCTTTAATATTATCTAACCGTTCTTTGATTGGTCTTAAATCCTCCATGGTATACACTTGACACTCTTTTAAATGGCTCAATAACTTATTAACTGTACTTAATGACGAATAAGTTGCTGGAGCAAATTTAATTAATCCACAAGTTAAGAAACATAATGATAATAATTGCCAGATATCATCGATTATTAAATCATTCCCATTGGGTATAGACAAACTTATTCCTTTCAATTCTTCATCTTTTCTTGTTAAGGTCAAATCATGTAATAATGATAAAAAGGAATCATAAATTATATAAACTTGTTTAGAATTAATATATTTATTTCGATTATTCTTTAACTGGGATAATTCCTGATATATTTTTTGAAACTCATCGTTCAATGCTTTCTCGTACGATGGAATCGATTTATTACTATTTACCATCTTGTTTAGTAAAGCTCAACTTAAAAGAAAGGTTTATAGGAGTAATTAGAGTTTTTTCTGTTCTTTTCGATTTTTGACCAGGATTTTTTTTTCCTCATTAATTTCGCCTTCCACCCGTCAAATCCCGAACTACATAAAGCTAATACAATTATAAAGTTTAATTACCAGAGAAGGATTATGTAGAGATGATGAAGTATATAAAACCAAGACAAAATACCGTATTTTGCGAACTAAAAGAAAGAAAGAAGGAATGAATGTAAGAAAGGAACGAATGAAAAATAGACAGAAAGAAAGAAAATGCACGAGAGGAAACTGAAGATGTAAAATGAGTAAATTAAACAAGTTAAAGCATTAGGGTATCGTTAAATATAAATAATAAGAGGACGGTATGAATGTTTTTGAATGTTTTTTTTTTTTTGATGATTTCTTTTATTATTAATTATTTTGTTTTTTTTTTTTTTTTGAAAGATTTTTTTAATGATCAGGATTTGCAACTTGTAAAATTTTTCTTGAATAATCAGCTTCATCAGCCAAAGAACCTTCACTTAGTCTTCGTCTACCCATTAGAGTTGGATTTAATCTTGGATCAGACATGTTACTGTTTAAGGATGGTCCGGTTGCACCAGGAGCACTTATATCATCATCATTTTCGCTTGGATGAACAAACGGATTAGACATTGGCATATCAAGAGGACTGGCGACTTTGCGGGTTTTAGCCGTGCCGCCACGGCCCAAGCCCAAGCCATCATTGGCCTTATCGTAAAATTCTTCTTCATCTTCATCATCATCTTTATTTTTATGTCTTATAATGAAAAATGCCAAAGCCGCCAAGACAATGGCTCCACCTATACCACCAACAACACCACCTACTATAGGGCCCACTTTAGAGGACGAGCCCGAAGACTTATTGGAAGAGTCCGAGGAGTCCGAGGAGTCCGAGGAAGAAGTGGATGAAGGAGCAGATATGGTGACAGTTTTGTAAACCATTTTACCATTTTCTGATGACAGCGAAGTGGTGACAACTTCGGTTGTTTTAGAATCGTGGGAGTCTGACGAAGAAGGCCCACTAGTGATCGAAGCCGACGACGAAGAAGAAGACTTCGACAGCGAGCTCGAAGAGCTGGAAGATGAAGTTGAAGAAGAATCGGAGCTTGCACTAGAACTTGATGCATCCCCATCCCCTTTATAAACGCCAAACACGTCTTCACCACCACACACAGCGTCACCATAACCATAACAACTGGTTGAACATTTCGAAGCATCGGTTTCATGGGTAGGTTTGCCAAATAAACAGTAACATTCATTACCATTTTTCAAAGCTACGTAAGGATAATCAGAACATTCCTCGACACACTTCGAAGGAGTTTGATACATGTTGGTGCCTCGAGACTTGTCGTTGCCTATTGCGGAAAAACACCCAACATAATCATCTGCTTGAGCAACTAGTAGAACTGACAAGACACTTAATAGAAAATATAACTTCCCCAAAAATTTCATTATAGAATAACACGAGAGGATAGGAACAAAAGAACGGATCTAGCTAATAGTGAAAAACATCAAATCAAGGCTGAATAGAATACAACTATCAACAAATAGAATACAACTATCAACACTTTAAAGATAAGTTAGGCGAAGGGCGGCTAATCTTCTCTCTTTTTTTTTTTAATTCAGTTTTTCTTCTGGCCGCTTGTTTGGGCTTCCTTGAATCAGGAAAGTTTAGTAGGATATTAACGATAGACTGTACTATACTCGTACTGGGGAAATAGCCAACAAAGTAACTAAATGAAAGAATAGGTTGTTGATGTTGAAAGAAAGAACTAGTAATTAGTGATTTTTTTGAAAGGAGTGATTTTTTCCACAGGAGAAAAAAATTAAAATAAAAAAAAATCAACTAAAAAAAATTAAACTAAAAAAAAACTTAAACTAAAAAATTATGACAAAAAAAGAAAAGACCGATTTTTACCTCCTTCAGTTCAGTGGAATAAGGTGAGATGGGTCGCCTTAACGGGGGGTGTTTCTACAGACTGAGGTGATGGCCAATACCAGAGCAGGACAGCATCGGCTGGTCGTATTCCCAGGATCCTTGGAGCACTAGGTCAATTTAATTATAGTAATATCGTGTAGTTTTCCTCTAAAACAGTTCGTAACGCGTTTTTTGGTGTTGTCATAACAATTTCGATGGGCCTAGACTCGAGCACTCGCGTAGCCCGGCTTTGGGAGGAACCTCCGTGCATACACAAAATAGACCAGTACCTACAGCATGCACCCGTGCACCACGAACTTGGCAGAAAAAAAGAAGAAGCGTGCGGGCACCATTTGTGTGGTGTACCGGTCGGGGGTTAATGTTAAACATGTATTGACCCATCCCACCATTAGTGGGAGGGATAACTTATTGGCAAAGGGTATTAGTAGAACTGAAGAGAGGAGAGTCTAGGGAGCGATCTATTTACAAACAAAGCTGAAACTTAGGAGGATGAGAAGAATCATTAGATTGACGCTGATGATCCATTTGTTCAATTTGAATTTGGGCTGGCGTATGGACATGGTGGCCGGGTAGGGCAATTCGTACATGTGTCTTTTCTCCAACGATTGAAGGCCGTAGCTATCAGTTTGACTGCTTTCAATTGGGCTTTGACTTTTAATTGGGCTTTGACTTTTAATTGGACTTTGACTTTTAATTGGACTTTGACTTTTAATTGGGCTTTGACTATTTTCAATTGGACTTTTCTCAAATTGACGGGTTGAATGTACCAGGTTTGGCGGTACCAGGTTTGAAGGACACGACATTAACATTCTATCCTCTTGAAGTTTCACCAATTTACTAGGACTAACCATACACATTGATAAAGAAGCAGAGAAAAGATGAAAAAAAAAGTTGCTCGTTTATTCGTTTTTTAGCTAAATAAATTTTCGCTTCCGAACGACCCTTACAAATTAGTTATATACATTCCCAAGGTTAATACTCTTGATAACGGTATAATCGTCAATTCCGTATAAAGAGCCTTCTCTACCAAACCCACTTTCTTTGACTCCCCCAAAGGGTAAGGCGGCGTCGGTGAAGGCGGCGGTATTGACACTGACCATTCCGGTTTCTAATTTTTCCGTCATATACCAAATGGTGTTGATATTGGTTGCGAAAACATAGGCGGCCAATCCGTAGTTTGATTGATTACAGACTTTCAATACTTCTTCTTTGGTATCGAACTTAACCAAGGCACCTAAGGGACCAAAAGTTTCTTCGTGAATCACCTTCATATCATTGTTTATATTGGTTAATACCGTTGGAGCATAAAAGTTTTCCCCTAATTGAGTCAATCTACCACCTTTAACTAAAACATGAGCACCTTTGGCCACGGCGTCTTTTACGTGGTCTTCGACCTTGGCAATGGCTTTACCATTGATCAAACAACCATGGGTGACCCCTTTTTCAAACCCATTACCGATTTGGAAAGCGTTGACTTTGGCAGCAAATTTTTCGGCAAATTTATCGTAGATGTTGGCTTGGATATAAATTCGATTGGCACATACGCAGGTTTGACCCAAAGATCTAAACTTCGAAGCCACCGATTGTTCTACTGCTTGATCTAAATCACAATCGTCAAATACAACTATTGGTGCATTACCACCTAATTCCATTGATAATTTCTTCAAAGTGGATGATGATTGATTGGCTAATAATTTACCAACTGGGGTTGATCCAGTGAAACTGATTTTTTTAATTAATGGGGATTCACAAAATTTCTTACCACAATTTGGAGTTGATTCCACTGAGGTTAATACCACGTTGAAAACTCCTGGGGGAAATCCGGCTTGTTCTGCCAAATAAGCCAATGCCAATGAACTTAATGGAGTTTGGGCATCTGGTTTCAATATAGCAGTGCATCCAACTGCAAATGCTGGGGCTGCTTTACGAGCCCCCATTGCCGAGGGGAAATTAAAAGGACATAATAATCCAACTGGTCCAACTGGTTGTTTATAAGTAAGAATCTTATTATTTGGATTAGAAGGTTGAATGGTATGACCATAGATTCTTTTGGCCTCTTCAGAAAACCATTCAAAATAAGAAGCAGCATATTTGATTTCTCCAATGGCATCAGTTAAACATTTACCATTTTCCCAAGTAATTATTTTAGCCAAGTCATCTAAATTTTCAATAATTAAGTTATATAAGTTACGCAACCAACGAGCACGATCGTAAACATTGGTTTCACGATATTTTTGAAAAGCTTCATAGGAATTTTCGATTGCTTGATCGATTTCTTCACTGGTTTGATCCGGTAATTCAATAATGAATTCGCCGGTTGCGGGATCGTACACTTTGAAAGTGTTCTTGCTCTTTGATTCAATCCATTGTCCGTTGACAAATGGGCCTGATCTGATTAACTCGGGGTTGTTTAAACTTGGTGCCATGATTACCGAGTTATGCCAATTTACCGGGGCAAATCGATTTCTCTCGCTATTTATGTGATTGCTTAGCGGGTTCTTAGCGGGTACCACAATCTGTCACCGACACAACTACACCACCTCTTCTATACCAATCTATACCAGTCCATACCAATCTATACCAGTCCATACCAATCTATACCAGTCCATACCAATCTACTAATCTACCAATCCACACTCATCCATGCTATCCCGTTATACTGTAACTGGGGGGTCGCGTCACGTGACGCGACTAATTTATTTTCCACGCTAGTCACTCAAAACACAATTTAAGGATACTACTTCTTCATCATGTCAAACTATAATCCATTACCACAATCTGAACCGGAGTCTGGCCCGGTGCCTCCTCCTTATACTGAAGAACGTACTGCAGGAGATAATATCCCCGATGATTTCAAATACAGTACCAACGTTTCGGAATGTCTGGTTGACTTAAGACACATGTTTATACGTAAAGTGTACTCCTTATTGACTCTCCAAATCCTAGGTACCATTATTACCGGATTCATTATTCGTTCCAGTCCCTCTATTCAAAACTGGTGCTTCAACAACATTTGGTTATGGATTGTAAGCATGGTTGGATCAATCGGATTCTTGGTCAGTACTCTATACAAGGCCAGATCATATCCCACCAATTTAATTCTATTGAGTGGATTCACTCTATGTGAGGCCTACGGGATTGGGTTGGCCACCGCCACCGTGGAAAGTGGTGTGGTGATACAAGCCCTTGAACTAACCCTTTTGATCTTTGTTGGTTTAACCATTTTTGCCTTCCAAACCAAATACGACTTTATCAGTTGGCAAGGTTTCACCAGTATGGGCTTATGGGTATTGATCGGATGGGGGTTCCTTTTCATGTTCTTTCCCCAACATCTGTCAACTGCAGAATTGATCTATTCGGGCTTGGGTGCATTGATCTTTAGTATCTACATTATAATCGATACCCAGAAAATCATTAAAACTTGTCATTTAGATGACGAAATCCCGGCCACCATTTCTCTCTACTTAGACATTATCAACTTGTTTTTGTTTATCTTGCGTATCTTGAATAACGATAGAAGAGACTAATAAATACTCGGTCACCGAAACGTAATTGTAAGCTGGAGCTAATTGTAAAAAACGGGTTCCGGCCGAAATTTTTGTTACGAGCAGAAAACGTCTGCGCGGGTCGGGGACAAGTTGGAAAAAAAAATAACACCGAAAGCCAAAGCTGCGAAGATCTTGATGGGGACACGGCGGAAGAAGTCATTACTAACATGCGCCAAATTAACTCCGTAGGCCTTTGAAACTGTCAGATGTATATATATCCATCGATGCTGCAAAGCTATTTTTCTGGTTTGCCGAATTATCTTTTTCTGCCTGTCATTTAATGACCATACTATGTTCACCATGCTATCCAAGTTATTCAATCCTTTCAATCCTTTCAAGCTGAAGAGACGGGAGTCTGATCAAGCTCCGGAGGGAATCAAGAGAAGACACTCCTTCCCATTACATAATAGTCGTTCTGCTCCAGCACATAGAGGCTCGACTTCCACGCCACCTGGTCATTTGAAAACAAGCCAGCGGTCGCTGAGTCCGGAGGTGATGACCCGGTCCCGGTTGATGAAGTCGAATATATCGTCACTGAAGGCCTTGAGCAGGATCCCTAATTCTGCCAAACGGTTCAGCACTGATTCTTCTTCGTCTCCTCTTCTGACTCCCACTGCTCCGGAAGACTACTATCCCAATTACGTTGCTCGCCCTGCCGACGCGTCCCGCGGGTTACTGATGGATGGCACCATAGACGTCAGCGTACGATTATCAAGAAACAACACTACCAATTCGATTGACAATTACTACGATGGTAAGAAAATAGTTAGATTTCTGTGAGTGTTCCTTGTATATAGATTAACGATGTTATGACTTGACAATTACTCATGTAGGTGAGTGTAGATGATTGAACTACTATAATGAATACTATGAATACTATAATGGATACTATGAATACTATAATGCATACTATGAATACTATAATGAATACTATGAATACTATGAATACTATAATGAATACTATGATGAATTATACATGACTACCATATGATTAGAGACCTTCGTATAAATTTTTCGTATTTTCGTAAAACGGATGGCGGCTTTAAAAAAAATAAATAAAAAATATTTAGTTAACGGCTAACGGCGCTATCGGTCAAAGTAACAACCCGATTACATAAGCGGCTGCTGAACACTATACTGGAGGTAATCCAGTACGACAAACCGGGCATTGCAACTTATAGACCATCCAGTCTTCTAAGCATTCACTGTGGAAAATGTGATGGCACGGAGTGATCATGTACTCTTTCAATTTGGATTTATCTAGTTGGTGAATGTTCTTACCGTCGGCGTTGGTATTGATTGGGATTTCGATGTTATTCATGCAAATGGCACAATCAACTTTACAGTTTATGATCCCGTTATTTTCAACCAAATCATTGGTGCTGGTTAAGTTATTAAGCATGTCGGACAGGAACCCTTTCCCGGTTTCCAAATCCTTAATATTGAGTAAATAGTGATAATCATAAGCTTGCGGTAACCATTTTTCGTTAATCCAGAATCTTGCGCCAAAAATTTGTTGCAAATACAATAATCCAATTTGTAGTAAGATCCACAGAGTTAGTACAATGACCAAGACTGGATCGTAATGATGTCTTAATGGATTGTGTTTGATGAGACTCAAGTACCATACCGGGATGATCCTAATCATGGAAGTGCCCCAAATAAATTCCCACGAAAATGATTTGCGACGGTTTTTAAGAGTGTTGCGACTGAATTGGGGAATCCAATAAGAATTGATTAGAAGTAATCCTCCGTATTCGAAGATTCGGCGGAACGTTATTCTCCATAAGAATGAATTCAATATTAAGAAAGTCGATAATATAGTCAAGATGCATCCGGTTCCAAATACGCGATTGGCAAAAGTACTTTCGTCATTACCCAATGGTGCAGTAACCGGTTGTGCTTGGGTGGCAGCAGGAGTGTTTGTTGTTGGTTGAGTCACCGGTAATGGTAATCCTTCTTCTCGACTTCCTCTCATGATTTCCCACCAAGTGGTTCCGGTTTCGTTTGATTGCACCGTCATTACACTCAATAGAAATTTTAATCCAAAGACTCCGCACATTAAAAAGGCAATCACCGCAACACATGCTAATAATAAATACAATTCTTCAATCAAGTTGGATATTAACAAAAATAATAACGCCATTAAAGCATCCTGTAACGATATAATCGAAATGGTAGTACTGGAAACATTAGACAATTGACCAGGCGTTTTCATTTCTTTTAACTGTTTGACAAGTAAAAATAATTGAATAATAATTAATATTAATAATCCACTCAACATTTTTTTCAATTCAAAATTGGTAACTTCAGTTTTGTTCCCTTCAAATATCGTTTGTGGTTTGGATTGTAATATGATCCCGCAATCAGGAGAATAAAGTAACGATTCTTTAATACTCAATTTAGGAATTTCGTGCGGGATTGGTCGACCACTTGGGTTCATTAACTCTTCATCTATTTCGGCCAATTGCTTCTTCAGATACTCAGTCTTATCGAACTGGAAATACGATATATATTCACATTGCCCCTGGGATTTTTCAATATAACTATTCATATAATCCATATTAAGATCTTTTTCAAAGTTTGTAGTATTAACCAATTGTCCAATCAATTTCTTCGTTATATTGAATTTTTCTTCATCCATGGTTAGATAGCTTAATCCATAATTTCCTAGAAATTTCGCTGATCTACTTATACTAATTAATGATCCGGTTTTTTGAAAATATACCCCAAGACTTTCAACTTCATTATCGTTGATTTCGGGATAGTCAATCAAATTTAACTTAACTTTAACAACCACTGCATCATTAATGGAATCAGCCGTTATGTTCTTAACTTGATCCATCATCTCTCGATCTTTATAATTATAATCAAAACTCTTTAGTCCTAGAGAGATTTTACCCAGATTAAAAGTTATATTCCCTACTTTATTTATCACCCCGCTTGGTTCAGTTGGTTCGGGATTTTCTTCTGGATTCGCTTCATATTTTTGTTTTTGTTCTTTATATTGGCTTTCACTATATAATTCATAATGTTCTTGTAAATATTTAGGTAATGGCATTGCATATGGCTTGATCTTGTTGGCCTTCTTAATCACCTCGAAATCTCCATACACTTTTCCTGATATATTTAACATATAAGCTTCGGAATCTTCTTCATTTATTGGATCTAATGACCAAAATTGTTTAACTCGATTACTAACCTCATTGGGTAGTATGCTAAATTCTTCTTTTTCTTCAAAAGGATGTTTCCTATTATATTCATGAAATGGCCAATTCAGTTCATTCAAATTATTCAAGTTATCCTGATATGATAACTTAAATCCAGTTAAATTACCATATCCTTCATAATACTCTGATTTGGCTAAATCTTCCCGGTTAGCCCTAATGCTTGCATGAAACTTATCCAACGTCTCTCGATCCTTGTTGGAATGTGGTTGGTCAATCCCACTGGGTAATGACAAAAATATAAACATTATTATAAAAAACAAAATGGTTTGACGGTCAACAAGGGGCATTTTGGCTGGTGGGTTTTTCTTCTTCTAAGTGGTTGATATGTGCCCCTATTTCTCGGGTGGTATTTCTTTCAGCTAGTCGCTAGTATAGTTTTTATCTCTATATATCTTAAAATGGGTTGGTTCTAATTTGAACAAGTATCTTGTACTACGTTATATTTGTCAAATTTTGCCCCAATTCTTTTTTTTTTTTTTTTTTTTCAAATATCAATAAACCCGTACCATTTTTAACTACAGTATAGCGATAAAAACTTGATCTAAAATCATAGGAGTTTTATATTAAATTAACTATAAAAAATATTGTCGTTAATGACACCGAAAATTGAAGTAATCGAAAAGTAGAAATAATCATCAATTAATTAAATAAGATAAAAAAGGGGTGACCAGAGAATTAGAAAGTTAAATAAGTAATTAAAAGGTATATTTTGGAAAGACCCTGCTTTGCAAGAAAATGGTATATACAACCAACTAATTGTTTTGATACCATAACCATTGTAAGCATAGATTCAGAGATATTAAGTATTATACATTTGTGAAGATAGATTTTCGTGTATCATTAGCTTTTAAAGGATTTTGTAGTTTTTTTCTTTTTTTAAGTATTAAGGTATTTTGCAATTTTTTTGTCATAGATCAAGCATCTTATAATAATGAAGCCATAACAATAGCCAAGACAGTTATCAAGCTACCTGGGGCGGTGACGATATTACCGGCATTCTTAGATTGTTGAGCAACAGAGGCAGAACCTGCTGAGCCAGATGCTGAGGTTTCATTGGAACGTTGTTTGATATCCTCCACATTCTTAGCACCAACGGTAACATAAGCAGTGGTGGTTTGTAAGGCAGTGGTGGTAGCGGTGGTGGTGACGGTGGTTGGAACACAGTCGTCATCGGCACCAGCAGTTCCAGCAGCTCCAGCAGCAACAGTAGTTGGATACTTGGCTTCAGCAGCAGCAGTAGTTTTAACAGTGGTGGCAGCAGTAACAGTAGAGGTTGAACCAGAGTCAGCATCACAACTAACATCATCACAGTCGACGTTAGAGCATGAATCTCCATCATCTTCATCACTATCGTAATCGTCACTATCATAATCATCGCAAACATCGGTAGATGAACCTGAGCCAGAACCTGAACTTGATCCAGAGTTTGAGCCCGATCCAGAACCTGATGAAACACCTGAACCTGAAGAGCCTGAGGAGCCTGATGAGCCTGATGAGCCTGAAGATCCTGAGGAGCCTGAAGATCCTGAGGAGCCTGAAGATCCTGAGGAACCTGAAGATCCTGAGGAACCTGAAGATCCTGAGGAACCAGAAGATCCTGAGGAGCCAGAAGATCCTGAGCCTGCAGCAACAGTAGATGTAGCAGTAGATACTGCAGTGTCACAAGATTCGTCGTCGTCGTCATCAGTTACATATTCATAATCATCGTCATTTTCTGATTCGCTTGAAACAGTGGTAGTAGCAGTTGCCAATGCAGTTGTGTAAGTAGTTTGTGCACCATTCTTGACAGTGGTAATAGTGGTAGTATAGTATTCGGTGATGGTAACAACGTTTCCATCAGAACCACTACCTGATCCACTACCTGATCCACTACCTGATCCACTGCCTGATCCACTGCCTGATCCGCTGCCTGATCCGCTACCTGAGCCACTACCTGAGCCACCATTAGTTTGATCTGAAATAGTGGTTGTTGCTGCTGAAGTAGTGGTAATAGTTCCATCTCCAGGAGATTGTGTAGTGGTGGTACCATCGATACAGTCTTCATCGTCATCATCATCATCGTCATCGTCGTCACCACCAGCAGCAGTAGTGGTGGTTGATGAAGTTCTAGTAGTAGTGTTATCTTGAGGAGACCCTTTAGTAGTAGTAGTAGCAGTATCATCGTCATCATCACCACCTGGAATAGCGGTTGTAGTTGGAGATGAGGTAGTTGTATCATCGTCACAATCTTCTCCATCATCGTCATCATCATCATCATCTGGAACTGTAGTGTTGGTTGGAGATGAAGTTCTTGTGGTAGTAGTTGGAGATGAAGTAGTAGTACCATCACCTGGGGTGGAAGTAGTAGTTGTGGTATTATCACCACCATCATCATCATCACAGTCTTCTTCATCTTCATCATCATCGTCATCTTCTGTTGAAGTTGAGTTGGTACCTAAGATTTTATTGAGTAAAGAAGGATCTGAACTAGAAGAAGGATCGATACTTGAAGAAAGGGTGGATGAAGCTTCGGTTGAAGAGCTTGAATCATTTCCTTTTATCAAATTCATCAAACCATGACGGGAAGCAGCAGTAGCTGAGGCAGCGTCAACGGTTTGAGAAGTACTTGAGCTAGAATCGGAGCCTAAAATATCATCAAGGAAATCTGAGGAGGAAGAAGGATCAGCAGAGGATGAAGTCAAGCTGGAAGAGCTGGAGGATGATGAAGAAGCAACAGTTGAAGAGCTTTGCGAGCTGGAGGAATCAGAATCAGGATCCAAAAGACTATCCAAGAGACCTTTAGAAGTAGAAGAAGGTTCTGAAGAGGAAGAATCCAAAGAGGAATCAGTAGCTTGTGCCACAGCGTTCGCAACAGTAGGCACCAAAGTCGAAGAAGCTGAGGAGGAGGAGGACGAGGAGGAGGAAGATGAAGAAGTGGAATTGTTCACTGCAGAAGATTCATTAGTTGAATCAATAGAGTCGTTAGCATTAGTTGAATCAGTGGAATCAGTGGACTCGGTGGAGTCAGTGTTATCAGAGTCTGAATTCTTTGAACCGAATATAGAACTGAAAAGACCACGCTTGGCTAAGCCATTGTCATTAGAATCCAAGTCAATTTGCTGTTGATTAATAGCATGGGCCACAGCAGTGTACACCACTATAGATTGAAACAAGGTATTAACTTTCATATTAAATATCTTTCCCTTGAATTATATTTTGCAGACAAATCTTGATGATTTCAAACGAATGAATGGGGGTACAGGGTATAAACCAAGGAAAAGAGTTAGAGAAAGAAGAAGCAAATTACCAGTAACAAGTAACAAACTTGAAAAGTAGGGGTTTCCCATACTAGATATATAAAAGAATATAAACCAATGCTGCTATAAAACCAAATTTGAAAAACTTCCTAATTCGGTGCGATAATTAAATTAACATTTTTGCAATATTTTCGAGGTTGAACAATTGATGAAGTGCATGAAAAAAAATTACCGTATTGGGTGAGGACTGCACATACCCAGGGTTTACCAATGAGTTTTCGCAAGCTAATTGACAGTTTATGGTAAAAGCTACCCAAGGCCTCTTAGTAGAATATGGTAATAATTGAATCAACTTGGCAGGTGGTAAGTGGAGTAAGACCACTGGGTTCTTTTAGACAGTTATTGTTAGTTTTTGCAGAATGGCTAGAAATGTTTTGGATACTTCTGTATTTGGAGAATGAGTTATTACTGAAACAAGTTCTCTAGTAGAGGGTTGCAATCTTGGTTTTTTGCCATATGAGTCCATAGGGTTGGGCTAGATGTAGCGGGGTGGTTCTAATTGAGGAGCTGGTGGATGTAATGAAACCAGTGGAACCAGTGGATTCAGTGGATTCAGTGGATTCGGTGGAACCAGTGGAACCGCAAACCTAATGTTTAATACTGCCTTACAGAAACATTTGGTGAATGTTTTCACAAGTTTCCCAAGTCGAAATCCCTGGTGGCTCTTTTACAATTGCCTCTGTTAATAGTAATGTGGTATGAATTAAAAATACAAATATATAAAAAAGGTATAGAGAAAATCGTAAAAGTTATTAAAAGAAAAGGAAAGGGGGAAGAAATGAAACATTTTAATTGGTATCTTGAAGTCTTTTACCCAAATGGTTAAGAAGCTCTTCATCGGCCATAGCTAATAAGTCGGCTCTCTTCTTAATGGTTTTTCTAACCGATCTTCTAACTATTCTCTTTAAAGATTTCTTTTCCGATCTCTTTTTATTACCACAGCAGCAGTTTTGTTTGTTTGAAGAGGAACCAAAAATTGAAGAACCAGATTTAGAAGAGCCAGAGCTAGAACCAGAGGTACCAAAGAAATGATCAAGGATAGTTTCTGCAATTTCAAGAACTAAACCAAGACCTGATTCAGCACCATCAAATATATCATCAAGGATTTCGCTAAGTAAACCGGAACCTGAACCTGAGCTTCCTGAAGTGCTTGAAGAAGTTGAGTTACCAAAAATATCGTCAACAATATCACCTAAAAGCAGACTCCATGTAGTGTTACCAGAACTTGAAGAATCACCTCCGAGTAATTCTTCAATAACATCAAGAATGATACCAAATATGGTTCCCAAGATACCTTTACCACCGGAACTAGAAGAGGAAGAGGTGGACGATGATGAATTACCATCGAATAATTTATCAAATACACTTTCACCGAGTGATAAGAACTCGGAGGATAAACTCTTAGAAGAACCAGATGATGATTCAGTATCGTTGTCATCACTATCGAAAAGATCATCGAAGATTTCGCTTAAGAAACCGCCGGTTGAAGTAGAAGTGGATCTAGTAGAAGTAGTAGTGGCAGATGCATCATCATCGCCATCAAATAAATCAAGAATTCCCCCTAATAATGAACCACCAGTAGAAGTCGATCTAGCAGAAGTAGTGGTAGCGGTTGAAGAAGAAGATTCATCATCATCATTCAAGAAACCACCAATCAAGTTACTCAATAAGCCACCGCCAGTAGAGGTGGATTTAGCAGAAGTGGTGGTTACAGTTGCAGAAGAGGAAGAGTCACCGCCACCTAATAAGTCATCTAATAAACCTCCAGTTTCAGATGATGCAGCAGTCTTTTTAGCAGAAGTAGTGGCCTTTTTAGTAGATGAAGTTGTGGAGTCCTTATCGTCACCACCAAGATAATTATTATATAAATTACCTAATAATCCACCAGTAGAAGAAGAATCAGAAGAAGTTTTAGTGGTGGTAGTAGAATCGTCATTTTCACCAGCGGCAGCTTCTAAAAAGGTGTCAACCATATTACCTAAACCGTCAGAAGTTTCGGAAGAAGCAGTGGAAGTGGTATGAGTAGCATCAGCTCTTTTAACAAATTCTCTAGTTTGTAATCTGGATTCAAGACTTGAAACCAATCTTCTAAAAATTGATTGAACAATACCGGAGTTCTTAATGGTAGTATATAAACTACTCCAATCAATTTTCTTAACCACTGAAACAACCAATCTTTCACCAGCTTCAATGAACTCTTTATGGTTCATGAGATAATTATAGACTTTGCCAATAATACCAGAGTTGTAAATTTGTTCAACAATGTTGATAATAGTATCCAAATCTCTCTTGGAGATGTCTGATTTAGAATCTTCCAAAATGTCTCTTTTAATACTTCTTTTAATTTTAGAGTTAGAAGAGTCTTTCAAATAATCAATAAGAGATTCGTTATTATCGGAATCTGAATACATTGATTTGAAAAAACTTTTTGTTAACCCACTATTTTCAATAACATTAGCAATCGAAGAAACATTCAAACTTCCAGACGATATGGAAGAGGTAACCACTTTAGATAAAGAAGACGAGTTGGTTGAACCCAAAGTATCAACAAAATCGTTCAACAAATTAGAATTTTTTAACATATTCATCAAAGAATCTAATATATCACCATCTCTTTTAGTCAAACTGTTGGATTCGGTCAGTATTTCTTGAACAGCACGAATGGCCCATTCATGGTCAAGCTCTTGTGCATTTCTTTTCGAAGTCACATCAATTATTTCATTACTATTAGTATCAGATTTAGCAGCAACGAGTGAAGAAGTAACCAAGGTTATGGTTGTAAATATAAAACCAAACCTCATAGTGTATAAACGAAAGTTAATAGTTGGAGATAGTTACCAGTTTGTAGGAAAAGCTTTGCAAGCCAGTTTAGTGGAATTCTACTTGGTTTTAAATCATTCATGAGCTACTAGATGAACTCATTAGATTTATTAAGTTAGACATTTGTTACAATAGGTGCAACTCATTCCTAATCGGGTAAACTAATTTTGTTCCAACAGTGAAAACTTCCTATTTCGGTGCGAAACCTTTTGAACAATCTTTTCATTTTTGCAAACCATTTCCCAAGCTTGAACCACTGATGTTTATATTTGGCTGCATTGGGTTGTTGGGATGAGGCTAGCAATACTGAGCTAGGAATGAGGAGTGGTGGCTGCGTTTTGCACGTATCAAAAGAGTACCTGGATAGGTATTAAGCCTTGACCCGAATCAACGGGTGAATACATCACTGATGAATGGGGGTTGGAAGGCTTACGTTCTCGATCAAGATGACATGTTGACAGTTGAAGGACAAGAAAGATGTACGGTGAAAAAAATATTAACTAGTTGGCTGATCTAGCTGGGCTTACTTTAAGAAGATGCAAACTTACCAATTCCAGTAAGCCAAGTAACTATTGTTTTGGATTCTCCAGATTAGTTACGCTATGTGGGGGTACTCTGATACACTTAATCGGAGGGTTTTAGCAGGGCCTTCTATTGTCTATAGTATGATTGCAAAATTGGGATATAGGCTACTAAATTGATATATACGGTGCACCCGTGCAGCTTCTGACTAGTTGCAAACATGCAAACATGCAAACATGCAAACATGTATTGACTTTTCTATTTTTGTTTGGCAAAGCTATGGGAAGAGAGGACCCCTACTCTGAAGCTTTAACCATGGTGGTATTGCAACAATTAATTGTGGTGGTTAAGACACCCGTACCGTCGCTAGGTTTGTTCGGTTTTTTTTTTTTTTTTTTATTGATTGATCAACTTTCAAGCAGATACTGCTTCATCAAGGTTTAATAGGTACGCCGAACATTGGCCATGAGACCAACTTTAGTTAGAATGATAAGGCCTCGTCGCCCAGAAAGGAAAGCACCTCCATTGTTGCCACCTTTGAAACTCTACAAGGCTATATTGAGAACCCATGTACATAAGTTACCCATTGAATTAAGATCTTTGGGCGATGAATACGTGAAAGCCGAATTTAAAGCCCATCAAAATATCGACAACCCATTGCATATCGTTGGGTTTTTAACCCAGTGGCAAGATTACTTGAAAAATTTGGATGGAGGCTCATGGCAAGAAGGAAAATTGAGTCAAGAAGACTTGGATAAGATGTCACCGGAACAAGTGAATCAATTATATGAATTAATGTTAGAAACGAAAAGACTTGGTAGTGAAGGTTAGTGAGTGTATATAGCTATTCATAGTATTAAATATTTATTACAGTGATCTATTTATTACAGTTGTATTATTCATTATCGTCTTCGAGAAGATGAGAATCATCATCTTCATTTTCGGTTTCCTTTTCTTCGGGAGGATGATGTTGATTAACAAATTTGTATTTGGGAGCATAATCTGGCTTTTCAAAATTGTGAATTTCAAACCATTTTGGGATACAAGAGCTTTTATCCCAGGTAAAATCATCCACGGCTATACATGCACATCTTCTAGCAGATTTTATTTCTGGGTTATGAGGACAATCACCATTTGGCTTATGGTAGTATCCGGTATTTTCTAGGAATAATAATTCATCTTTACTTAATAGTAAAGATACGGCCATCGAATGAATTGGAGCATCACCCCATCTTGAATAATAAATTCCGCCTTCTTTATCAATCAAATCGAAAAATTTCATATAAGGTTCCAGTCGGTAAAAATCCATATCACCAATTTCAAAATTAGACCAAAAATGACACATATTGTAAGTAGTTCCACCATCTTCGGATAAAAACCCCATGTTATTATCTTTAGCAATGAGTTTCTTATTTTTTTTAGCAAACTTTTGAACGGTATCCCATAACCCAACCACAGTTGTATGTAGCTCTAAAGGAGCCATCGTAAAAGCATACTTTTTATTATTCTCATTCATATATTTGAACCAATCTTTTTCGAATATATCACAGTTGAACCTAATTTCTGGTTCAACTCTCCAATAAAATCTATAATTTTTCATTATCGGTAGTCTATAGAATAAACCAGCATTGAATCTGCACATGTGTCTGTAAGCTTCAGAATCCCCGTATTTAATTTTGGCTTCCTTCATCTGTCTTCTAACTTCAGCAGCCTTTGATTGATCAATCCATTTAGGGGATGACCAATAGTCTTTGGGGATCTCAACAAAATGAGCTTGTCCACTTACAAGGGACTGAACCACTTTGATAAATGTAGGATGGAAAGGTTTATCATTGGCAAAAACCCAATCATAATGATACTTTGAGTTAAATCTTGCTTCAACAGATTCAATAGCTTCAATCATTCCAACAAAATCTTCATTTCTCACTAAAGAGAAAAAGGTTGCATTTTCCCGTTTATAAAAAGGATCATATTCAGGAATGGTTATATTTATTTGACCTTTGGAAGCTTTTCCTACTTCTTTATTATTGAACTTGATACCATAACTTTCGAATTGGCCCATTTTGTCAAATTCAACCTCCTGCAAAAAATGTGATTGACCTTTTTCAATATCTTTAATATTGAAAACGTACTCTTTCATGGACATTTTACTTGGTCTATTATCCTTTTCTAACTCTTTTTCTTCTCCTTTTGGCTTATCTTTGGGCCGTTCGGTCTTTTCAATCTCTTTTGGATTTTGCTTTTGGGATCCCCCTTCGTACCCTTCCAACTCGTGCGCATTAAGTGGTGGTAATGGATCATTATCATAATGGACTTTGGACTTCAATAGCTCAATCTTATCATTTATTTTAACTGGATACGAATCTAACAGTAGCAAAGTTACCACATGTGAATAAGTCACAATCAAAATGACTGCTAGCAAGGATAGTAGAGCTACTCTTCTGACAGATAACCGTCGTCTTACTAACTGCCAGCCCAACATTATTTGATTATCTAGCTATTGGACCCGTTAAACTCAATGTGAAATCTATTCTTAAGCTCCTTTCGTCCACAAAGTCGAGTCCTCTTTCCCAATTCTCAATCAAGAAGTAATCATACGATGAGTAAAGTATCCGACAAGTCTGTTCTTCAGCATCTAGAGATTCCTTTTTTTTTTTTTTTTTCTATTTCCCCATCCTCCATATGCCTGATTTGTACCTTTTTTTTTGGCTTTCAACGAGTTTTTCTTTCTAATGAGAAGCTTAACAATGTAAGGGGAATCTTGATACTTTGTGTCGCGTGACTTTAATTCGAACAAGGCTCAAAGGGTAGATATCGGTGATTGAATACCCTGGGAAGAGGTGTTCGTAATTTGTATGCTAAAGACCAATCAAGATTACTTATGTATAGGATTTTTCAAACTATAAACTTTAAAAAAAAAAAGAAGTGAATGAATGAAATCAGCCTTTTCGATGAAAAATGAATTAAAAAAAAGTATCTATTTAAATTACAAACCTTTACCGTAATTACCAGAAGCGAAGAAATCCATGATGATCTTAACAATTTCTTCTAATGCAGCCAACCAAGTAGCTAATTCTTGGGCAACTTTATCTTGGTCAGAACCCAATTTTTCAAAAAAATCTTTTCTGTAAGGACAGGCTTTCATTGCTAATTTGAAAACTGGTTTAACTAAAACACCATGGTACTTGGATAAAGTTTTAGTATAAGCATCAGTGAAGGTGACGGTCAATTCTTTTGAAGGAGCATCAACGGTTTCTCTCATGGCTTGGGCAGTGAATTGTAAACCACGAGATAACCATAATAAACCTTGAGTAGCAGTTTTAGTCTTAGTATTAGCTTCTGATAAGATTAAATCTTGTAAAGTAGAAGCATTTGATGGATCTTGTAATAACTTGGCTCTAACTTTACCAATATTACCAGTCATATCTTTTTGAACAACTGCAAATGCAGATGATCCTAATAAGTCAAATAATTTGACCAAAGCTTCAGAAGCTTCCAAGAAGCTAGCAGTATCAATTTTTCCATCAGTAACTGGAACATCAGCGAATGATTTTTTACCATCAAAAAAAGTAGCCATCTTGTACGTGTATTTATTTGAATGTCAAGGTTAAACTAATGTAGTACCTAATACCTAAATATTTGACAGGGTAATTATGGAGATTGATAAACGAACGATTGAAAATGTTTTGTTGTCTTTTTTGCTTTTTTGTAACGCGTTATTACCAGCCGCACGTGATCTGCCAAATCAAAGTAAAACACCCGTACCGCTTTTCTGATGTCAGCCTCACCAAAGTTCCATTGGTTAACTCTTGTCAGTTTGGCACCTTTTGGTTTAGCTTATTCCTTTCAATTGACTTCTTTTAGTTGAAAGGGGAACTTGTTGTAGTCCTATTAAAATTCAGTGCATTTGGGCGATCATTATAAATAGCACTCAAATTGGCAAAAATACGCTACAAATTGCAAAAAAGTTCATGACATTAGGCATTTCATTAAATTAATTACTGATACATAAGGAGTAGTAAACTATAAATACAACTAGAGTAGGAAAAGAAAGTCTATTGAAATAATGCATAAGGAGAAAAGACACCTACCATTCCAAATCTTGAGCCCACCTAACTTTCCTCTTTTTAGAATCGGACTTCATAGCAGGTTTTTCATTTGAGTCAGTGGGAGCGTTTTCTTTATCGTCTGAGGCATCACGATCAGAATCGTTTTCGGATTCACGATCGGTTTCAGTTTCATCATCTTCTGGTATGACTTGCTTTTTAGCGGGTTTCATTTTAGACAAGATATTTTTATTTGAGAATATTGGAATATTACTGGTGGGGGGTATTGGTTGTTGACTAACAAGTTCAACTTCATTAGTATTGGTGTCGGATGGGTTTTTCAGTTTCTCTTTTTGTAATTCTTTACAATATTTGTCGAATTCAATTTTAGAATAAAACCCAATTTTCTTGATCGAATCCTTTTGGGATTGTTTGGGAGATTTTTTTTTGTGAATCGAAAAATATTTATTATGTAAAGCTTTGATTATAGCCATTTTTGATTTTGGTTTTTTATTCAACGGCTTAGAATCATTTGAAGTATCGTCATTTGTTGGAATTTGAACAATTTCATTAACGTCTTCTGGTAATGGGAACCCTTCACAATTGGAAGCATTCAATTCAGTACCAAATTGGGTTGCATCATTGATCAACCCAGTCAGAGAGTCAACGATAAATATATTATGCTTTCTTTGTTGATACTTAATACTTGGCTTAGACGGTATTATTGATTTTGGGGTGCAAATTCTTTTGGGTGATTTTATATGATTAAGATTATTTGATTGTACACTATGTTTAAGGAGATAATTTTCATTTGGTTTTCTCAAGTCAACATTGGTTAAATTTGATAATGGTTTTAATATTGGAATTTGCGATTTAGTTGATGTATTTGTTTTCTTCGGAGGGGCTTTGAAAAAAATTTTACCTGATTTCTTGATTGAATTGACATCCTTATTACGAATGGATTTCAAAGGATCAGGATATGGCGATAAATTTTCCTTGTTTTCATCACTTGCATTATTTGAATTTGATAAATATGAATTTAATTGTAAATCTAAGTTGTCAGGGAGTGATGATGTAGGATTTAAATTTTTAGTAAAGCGTCCTTTAAACACTCTACTTCTTAATTGGTCATCCAATTCTAAGTCTTCATCTTTTTCATTCAATTGATTCATTAATTTAGTTACTTTATCATTATTTAATTTTCTATTGGAAAAAATAGATTCTTCATTTTCTGATAATCCAAAAATATCATCAGTGTTGGATTGCTCACTTTTCAGTCTCAATTGCTTGGTAACTTTAAATAAATCATTAGTAATTGAATTGGTTTTCGAAAGAATCGGACTTAGTTTTAAATTTGGACTATTTTCTATATTTAAAAGATTTTGTTCAGAATTATTCGGTAGTTTTTCAATTGCACTTTTATCATCTATACCTTCCAATAGATTATCATAGTCTAGTTTCAATTCTTCTGAATCAAGTAGGTTACTACTATCGAATTCGGCAAACGATTGATCAAATTCGGACTGTAGTACCATTTCAACAAAATGCAACCAAAAACAAAAAAAGAAATATAATCAAAAATGCAAACGAATGCAAAAAAAGATTGGAAATGGGTAGTAAACGATTGGCAATCTTTGTTTTTTCAGTGAGGGATCAAACTTTAAACTTAAACAAAGATGAGTACAAAGAAAAGTCTGATAAAAATACCAAAAAACAGGGTGATGACAACAGGGTAAAGGAAATGAGTCAAGGGAAGGCTAAAATGAAAAACAAAACGAAAAATGACGAAGCAAGGTGATATTTATGTTGTCGATGACTTCAAAATAGGGGGTAATGACAAGAAGATGAAGAAGTAGTTAAAAAACAACAACAACGAAAAAGAAAAGAAACAAACAAAAAGAAAAAAGATTCAAAGATGGATCAATTCTTTTTGTTTTTTGTTTTTGTTTTAGATGGTTCAATGGACTTGAAAAATTGTTGTCTTGACTTCGAAAAGTTAATTGAATTGTCAAAAAGTATCAAAATTTAGGTTGCTCGTCAAAAACTGATGGTAAATGAGGCAACAAAAACAAAAAGACTTGACTTGAGACGAAAAAAATAAGCAAAATAACGTTCTGTGGAAAGTGAAGGGGTTCTTATTCTTCTTGTAAAGCGGCGAATGACGAAAGCAGGAGGGAGAAAAGAGCCAAACGAGTGCCTGTATAAGGAGATTGTATTGATGATCAAGGGTTCTGCTTTGTTTGTGTTTGACAAGCACTTATATAAAGACTAAAGGAAGAAGTAATGAATGAAATATATCTGGAAAAAAAAAAAAGTGTATGGAAGTTGACGATTTAAAGTGAAATTTTTTGAAAACTAAATTGTAATTGTCTTCACCGATCTTGGTAAATTGATCTTTGGAGAGAAAAGGGGAAATCAACCATATACTAGTGAAGGAATAGTTAAAATCAAAACATACAGATTCCAGAGAAGGATGTCTTAAACAGTTGAAAATGAAAACATTCTTTGGGTAATAGATGTTTATATTTGTACTAAATCAGGGAAAAAAACATCAACAGATTAATTTCACAAACTTTTTGCCGGTTACAAAAAAAAAAGCACTACAACACCAAAAGGACGTGGCAGACCCAGAAATTAGAGGGTTTTTGAGAAAATCAATCCTGAATGGGACCTGTATTAATTACTTAAGTTAGTTAATAAATTACTAATAATTTCTCAAGATTTCATTGAGCTGGTCTCTTTTTAACATGTTTTCTAACTTGAAACAAGCGGCGAGCTCGTCCAACTCGTTATAGGTCAAGTCAGCCAACAAGTCAGCGTATTCGTACTGGAAATATTGACTGAACAACAAATTTCTAGTAACCCGGGATATGTGATCTCTTATGGTCCAGACATGCGGATAGATGGCTCTTTGGTTCTCCAAGGGGATGTTTTGTTCAAAGTGCTCTTGTAATGAATCATAGAGTTTAGCGTATTTTGGATCAATATCGTTCCCCCATCTATCCAAGCCCAATTTTTTCTTTCTGATAAGGTAGTGCCCCAATACTTGGTACAATTTTGATTCCGGGTCCACGTAAACCAATCCTTGGTATCCGATATCTTTATAGAGCCAGATGTTCCAACTGATTGGGGTTTTATCACCGCTGGGATCGCCATGCGAGTAAATATCAAGCTGGTCTTTTAAAAGTTGATACCGTGCCTTGTTGATGGTATCGGGATCGCCGTCACCACGAACGGTGGACGCATACACCGGACCAAACTCCCCGTTCCATACCGGGACTTTATTCTTGATCATATAATCAATTTTACGAGTGTACTGATTTTCAAGTTTTGTCTTTTCAGAATCAGAACCGGCGTATAAAGTACCTTGTGGGTTGGGGAACCCGAAGTTTGAATAGTCATGAATCGAAAAAACAGAATTAGGGAAAGTCGTTGCTGGTGGGAATTGACTAAAATCCATTGCATAAGTATTTGCATCCAAAAACAAAATATGATTTGAATCGTTGGAACGAATTGTTTTTTCAAGACGAACATAAAAATCAATAAGCTTTGAATGGTCTTCGGACGCTGGCTCATTCAATGGGTTATAACCGGCAATCCATTCATTCTTTTCGTAATATTTAGCAATTTCAGCCCAAAGGTTAATAATTACATCCTGAAATATCTTAAAGTCCCAGAAAAGAGCCTTATGAATGCTAGAGTCACTATGCCAATCTTGGTTCTGGCCCCCGGGAACAGCATGCAAGTCCAAAATGGTATATATGCCGTGCTTGGAGCAAGTATCGATGATCTTATTCAACTTTGTGAATCCGTCACCGTTAATCTTGAATAAATCACCATCATCATTTAAGAAATGACGGTAATTAAAAGGAATTCTCACGCAGTTCAATTTCAACTCATTCTTGAAGAAAAGGGCATCCAGCTCCGTCCAATAATAATCATAAAACTTCTCAAAGAAGAAGTCGTACTTCTGCTTACCCATTTTTAACTCCAACACTTTCTTATGTTCAGTCTCATGTCCTGGGTATCCAGTAATGAAATTTTCCATATTAAGGTGTCCTCCGGTAGCACATCCTTTCAATACCACCGGCTTATCATTGGAGTCAACTATCTTGGTTCCTTTAACCTTGAGAAACCCACTCATCGTTCGTTATTGGAATTACCAACTCCATGACTCCCTGCTGCCTGAATGAAAAAGCCCTTTTATACCAGCTCTGCTTTTCCAATTACCCCCATCCAAGCACGGGTACGTTACCTGTTCTGGTGCAATGCTCCAACCTTCGTCCATCCCACCCAACCATTGTTCCCCCACAAAAGCAAGGCTTGAAGTATCTTTGAATTATCGAATTCTTAGTAAAAGTTTAAGCGGAAAAGCGAAACGCGGGGTGCGTCTTGCATGAAACCTCAACTATCTGAGACAATTGACAGAAGATCTCTTCACTAAACCAATGAACTGACCCACTGAAATGACCCACTGAAATGACCCACTGAACTGAACGGCCTCCTCCTACCGACACCGATGATACTGTGATAAAAAAAGCGACCCATCTGAACACAGAGGACTGGATTCGCCAAATGTAACCCCAAAAAAATGGTGCGTCCCCGAGACGCACCATTGAGTTTTTCCCCCATAAAAGAAAGGAAAAACAATCACCTACGGATTTTTTACCTTTTGCAGTCTCGGGTTTCATTGAGAGAATTCCCTCAAGAAATTTTAGGGGATGGAGTTCGCTTTGCCGGTAGTGGGTGGAGGAAGAGGAAGAGGAAGAGGAGGAGGAGGGACTGATCTGAGGAATGATCATATACTAGTACTCAGAGGTTGCGAAATCATTCTAATTTTGAACAAAGCCTAATTATAGACAAAGCACTCCACCAATTATTTTCTGGATTTGCTAGACTTTACGGGAAAAATACGACGTGGTTTCACGGTGGATTTCCAGTGGGGGAACCGGATGATCAGTATGGCTGAACGGCATCATCGAGTATAAATTGTTCTACACGAGACTTGAGTTTTGTTCTTCTATTGATACAAACAACAAGTATGTCTGATATTTCTAACGAATCTAAAGTTCTACTGGTTGAGGAAGACCAAAGCCTGCTTCATAAATCAACTGTTAAAGATTATGTTTGTGAAACTCGGCCTTGGTATACGGTTCCTCATTTACTTCACTTAAATTTTGTTTTATTTTTGGTTTGTCTTTCTTCTACCAATAATGGGTACGATGGTTCAGTGCTTAATGGGTTACAGTCCTTGAATTATTGGCAAGATTATTTTGGCCATCCATCGGGAGCAAGATTAGGTGCATTGAGTAACGCTGTTGTGTTTGGGGTGATGATTTGTTTCCCAGTGGGCCCATATCTCGCCGATCACATTGGTCGTAGGTTTTGCATTGGATTTGGCCAAGCCTTAACGGTGATTGGTAGTGTTATCCAAGGGGTTACTGGGATGGGGATACACTGTGCTGAAGGATTCTGTACGGATAGAGACCGTCATTTTGTTTGGTTTTTCTTTGCACGTATTATTGTTGGTTTTGGTGCTGGGGCTGCAGTTATTGGATCCAGTAGTTTGATTTCAGAGTTATCTTACCCAACTCATCGTGAGGTAGCTACTTTTGCCTTTAATGTTTTTTGGTATAGTGGAGCAGTTTTAGCTTCATGGGTTGTTTTCGGTACTAGAAATTTAGATTCAGATTACGCTTGGAGAATTCCCTCTTTTATTCAAGGGGCATTACCTCTAATTCAAGTGTTAACTATCTTTTTAGTTCCGGAATCGCCTAGATTTTTAATTGCTCAAGGTAGAATAGAACAAGCCGAATCAGTTTTGAAAAAATATCATATTGGTAATTCAGTGGAAGCTGATAAATTGGCTTTTATTCAATTTGAATTAGCTGAAATTCAAACGGCCATTGAAAATGAAAAACTCACCACCAATTCTTCTTACATGGATTTTATCAGAAAGAAGAACTTCCATAAACGTTTATTCTTGGTCTGTTTTGTTCCGGTTATTATGCAGCTTGCTGGTAATGGTCTTGTTTCTTACTATCTTAATAAAGTGTTGAATTCTATTGGTATCACTGGTGAAACCGAACAGCTTATCATTAATGCTTGTCTTATGACTTATAACTTTGTTTGCTCTGCTGTTATTTGCTCTCTTCTGAGCCTTTTCAAAAGAAGAACGCTATTCATCACTTGTCTTAGTGGTATGTTAATTTCCTATATCATTTGGACCATTTTATCGGCAATTAATCAGCAACGTCATTTTGAAGATAAAAGTTTGGCCAATGGGGTCTTAGCCATGATTTTCTTATTCTACCTTGCTTATAATATTGGTGTTAATGGATTACCTTACTTATACATGACTGAAATCTTACCTTACTCTCACAGAGCTAAAGGAATTAACATTTTCCAGTTCGTCCAGGAAGTTCTTTTGGTCTACAACGGGTTTGTAAATCCAGTGGCAATGGCTGCCATTGAGTGGAAATACTACATCGTCTACTGTTGTCTTCTTTGCGTTGAATTGGTTGTGGTTATTCTTTTCTTCCCAGAAACTTCCGGCCGCAGTTTAGAAGAAGTCGGTGAAGTCTTTGGCGACGAAGTAACCAAAGTCCACCTCAATTCTTACGACTCCAAAGCCAAGCACTCAATAGAACATGTTGAATCTACATAATTTTATATACTACTAATACTTTCCAATAAAATTTGGTAAAAAGATATATAAGCAATAATAAAAGTCAGTAATGTATTTATTATAAGTAATCTCTCCCCGATAACATATTACACCCGTACATATAACAAATTTCGCAGTCGTTTCTGAAAAGGACGTGCGCCAGGCCCATTTCCTGTGCTTGCAAAAACAGTATCAACAAGTTGAAATCAAGTTGCAAAAAATGAACTAGTTCCCGCCCCTAGCAAGAATTGTAAGAGCAGGAAGGGATAAGACAGCGAAGCAGGGCTTGCCACACTGGGGGAGGTAACAATCGTGGAAAGGCACGGACTAGCCCCTTCCCCTACTGTAATTAACAGCACGGTGACCTGTCACATTAAGGATGTATCACATTCGAGACGTTCCTCAAGTGACCTATCACATCGAGACCGGTAATTGTGACCAGTAGTTTTCTCGAGTATATAAAGGCTTTCCAAACCTCTTTTGCTGATCTGGTACCCTGTTTTTGGTAGGCTCAAGATGACGCTTTCCTCTGACGAAGCTAGCTTCCCGTTGACCAGCCCAACTACTTTGAGAAGCCTGCAATTTTCCAAGGTTCATGCTCCGCTTACTCCAAGGGAATGCGTACAAGAAGCGCTTAAGGTGATTATGAGAGAGCTCACTAAACTTCATAATGAGCATGGATTGGACTTCTTATTGGCCACTCAAGCCAAAGGCGAAGAGAATCTTAAAGTTCTGCATTCCAAGCTAGTTAATGGGAACCAGAGACAGCAGATAATTGAAGTGATCCGGGATGAGCATGCTTTTACAGCATTGACGCCAACTCCAGGGTCAAATGAAGCGCATGAAGACGATTGTGGTTCATATAAAATGGTTCCGGTTTTCAATGATACCAAAGATATTGTGATCTCCAGAGGTAAAAACGGACAGAAAAAGTTACACCAACACCTCTATGATTTGTTCACTTCGCTTTCACAAACAAATTGCAAGTCAATTGCTAAAGAATGGATCAAAGCGGTGGAACCAAAAAAACAGGCTTCGTATCCGTATAAGTTAGGGAATTCCTCCAAGCCGGTATGGTGGCCCCAAGATGTCGAGCATCTTGAGCCCGACCACTTGAATAAGGAAAAACGAACCGCGTTGCTTATCCTGTTGGCAATGAATCCCAACTTAGACCTTGATCGGTTTAAAGAAAGGACTGATTTTCTGTTATCCCAAAAACCATTTCTCCTCAAAAGAATAGTTGATGAGATATATTATTTTGCTTTTTATTCAAGACTATTCTACGGTGCTGGCGAGAAGGAAAAAGAAAATTATTATAAGTACTTATGTTCCAAGGTCTCACTCCACGAATTGCACCTTTTGCATGGACCTTCTATTAAACTTATTGGTAGTAACTTTTCTTCGAGCGGGAGATTCACTTTGGTGAATTCTGAAATCGATACTGACTCCATTAATAAAACCGCTTTCCTGTTAGTATCAGGTTCTTCAAAGTGTAAAAAACCCATCAAAAAGGACTTGAAAAGAAAACTCTGCGATTTTGTACAGGTTGAAAAGATTAACGAAGCATACTACGAACAAAGGGAAGATAGCGAAGACGAATATGTTCCTTTTTCTAAAAGACAAAAGCAAATTCGGTATGACGACTACAGCTCCGATTCGGTAATAGTCAGTGATGATGAAAAGCTCCTGAGTCCTCTTTGTGAGTACTCCCAGGATTTTTCAAGTTATCTCAACTACAAAATTGGTTCATCGGACTCTGCTGCATTCTTTTCTGATGATCCCTCGGACGAGATGGATGACTTTGAGGAAGAGTTCGACATCACAAGTAAACCTACGCAGGGATTGACCTTATAAGCGTTTTCAATATCATAAATCTGCTCCATTCAACTTTCAATTTTATCTACTTTGGAATCTTAATCTTTCACTTCTTAACGTTTTATTTGCAAGGTTGACCATGTCTTTTTTCGGTAGCCATACTCTATGGCTCTCCTCTCATTCTTATACAACTATACGTTCATTCTTTCAGTTTGTAAACTTTTGCATCGGCTCTTACCTTTGGTGTTCATACTGAAAACAAAAAAAACAAAAAAGTCTACTTTGCACTTTGTGGTTTAGCAGCCAAAATCATCTATAAAATCATCACCAAACCCATTTGAAAGAGCTCGTACAGACTTTCCTAGTGTCCAAATTAATTCACATAATCTATCCAAAATGTCTGCTACTGAAAATACTGCTATTGCTTCTGAAAGTGCTGTTGCTACTGACAATACCGTCACTGTTACTGAAAATACGGTGACTGTTCCTGAAGTTTCTTCTCAAAAGAGATTCTTAACTCATGTTAGAAAGTACCCACTTGTCAAGTCGACTAGGGATGTCGTCTTTCGTGTACCTGGAACCAGACAGGTTGCTACTTCCATTACTCCAACTTTAAAGGCAATCAGGGCCACTCAACCCGTAAAATGGGTTATGGATACTGGTGATGATATCGCAGTACTGATGTTAACTCAGCTTGATTCAGTGTTCCCTAGTTTATCCACTTTAGAAGCGCATGACCTAACTGACCCAATGACTAGACCGGTCAATGGGACTGTTACTACTACTCAAGAAACTTTGAATGCTGCCCATGAGTCTCTTTTCAAAACCATTGTCGAACCAACTGCCAAAAATGTTAGTGGTCTTCGTTATAGCTTCAATACTTTGGTATACGATAACAACGGTAAAGGTATTATCACCAGTCAAGTTGATCCAATAGTTGCTCCAGTTAACGAAAGCATTGAAAAGTTAATCACTGTTTGGTTCCCTGAAACTGAAAAAGTTTCCAAAGATCACTCAAGTGAACTTGCCCGTACCCTTTTAATGTTGAATAATGTTCTTACTCAAAAGCACGCCGAAGCTCCAACTTCAACAGAAGGTGCATCGGCAGCAAATGAGACTTCAGTTTAGTTAGCAGCTGATTTAAATTGGTAGATTTATGGTGTATTTGTGTATGTTTCGACTAATCGATTAGTTTGATCAAGTTATCTCGAATCTTATGTAGTTTTCAAATACATATTTATAATAGTTACAGTGTGTTGATATTAGAAAATGTTGTGTATTTATAATATATTTGACATGCAAAAAAAAGTTAGTTTACAGTGAAGTTTAAATCTCTAATTGAGAAGAATAAAACAAAATGGATCAAAAGATCAGAATCAAAAAAAAAAAAAAACAAAAGCATGGGAGGAAACTTTGAATAAGAGGACTTTGTAGATCCAATGAAAGATTAAATAATATTTTTCAGTATAGACGTGTTATTCATACAAGTGATAAATATATCACCAAAAAAATCTCCTTTAGGGTGAAATTATCAATGAACTTAATCCTTAGACTTCTTCTTCTTCTTTTTTGGAGATTCACCATCTTCAGCTTTACGTTTCTTTTCTTTCTTTTCCTTTTTATCTTTCTTTTCTTTCTTTTCCTTCTTTTCCTTCTTATCTTTCTTTTCCTTCTTTTCCTTCTTTTCTTTCTTGGAAGATTTTTCTTCTTCTTCTTCTTCGTCATCATCTTCAGCAGCGGTGGCATCCGGCATATCTTCATCGATGAGATCACCAGCAATGGCTAAAGCTTCTTTGATAGCATCACTGTTTTTCATTGGAGCAGAACCGGTATCGTAGAAGTTTAATCTTTCTTCAACTTGTTTCTTTAAGATTTGACCGAAAGCAGTAGATGGTTCATCAGAGTAATTATCAATTCTGGAAGCAATAGAACATTTGTTAGCTAAGTATCTAGAAATTCTACCTTTATTTTTAGAAGAAGCTTTACCAATAAAGGAAGAATGATAAATCAAACCATATTTTGGAGTGTTACCTTTGGTTTTTAAAGCTCTGAATAAAGCTTTTTCGGCACCCAAGATTTGAACAGTAGAAGCAGCTTGTTTAGATAAATTAGTTAAAGAACCAGCGTGAGATATTAATCTAGCACCAACAACTTCACCAATTAAAGTAGACAAATTAGGAGCAACGGTGTGCATTTTATCAGTTAAGTATTGATATAATTTGGCACGGTATTCAGAGATAGAAACGACTCTTTGAGCAAAAGTAGCAACATTTTCCATATCTTGAACAGAAATATCTTGACCCATAGAAATTTTAGCATTATCAATGACTCTTTGAGCAATACCTGAATCGTCATTGAGTAAAGCAGCAACATCATGTAAAGAATCATCAGTTAAAGAGGCTTTATCTTTAATGAAGAGAGCCAATCTGGCATAACTATAATTGTCAGAAACAATTTTAGCCAATTCAGGGAAATGCCAACCGTACCATTCTTTAACTCTCATAGAGAAAGTATTAATATCTTTATCTAATTGGTCTAAAAGGGCAATAGCTTGAATGATATGGTTATCATTCTTTTGAACAGAGAACTTAACTTTGGCACGAGAGAAAGCATGACCCAAACCTAATTGAGCTCTTTCAATATCACCATCTTGTAATTCTTTTAATAATTTGGCACCATGAACTCTAATACCTCTCAAGAAATCTTGAACAATCTCGTTAGCTAAACAGTCAACATTAGGGAAGAGTTCTTTAATAGATGGACCCAAATTTTTATCAGAAACACCTAAAGTAATCTTCTTTTTAGTTTTTGGTAAATTTAATTCTAAAATAGATTTTAAATAATCAGAAACTAAACCTTCAGAAATATCGTTAGCATTTTCTAAAGCTTGAGCTGCACCTTTGAATGGAGCAAATGAAACTAACTCAATCATTTTAGAAAATTTACCCAAGTCATTTGAAGCTTCTTGAACTTCCTTCAGTCTCGATGAAATATCATCTTGTTGGATTAACACCTTGAAAATGGCGTAACCAGCAGCTTCTTCAAAAAGAAGGTAATCTAAGGCAGCCATATTTTCTATCTTCAAAGAAGGTTATGTATGATTCAAAATACTAATAGAAACAAGGTTCCCTTACTCTGGTTTAACTAATTTTTTTTTTTTTCAATATCCTCTTTATTGTACTGAAAAAAAAATTCTCTTCTCATCTCCTGCACTGCACAAATGAGATGGGACTTTTTTGTCACTCGTACACGACCCTAATTACATATTTAGCAGCAAAAACCAATTAAATTATAATACAAGTTAGTTATTCAGAATAAATATACAGTGAAGTAGAAGTGAAGTAGAAGAGTTAAGCGAAGTTGATTTCCCAGTTCAAGTCGTTCAAAATGGCCATCCAATCGACAACCAGATCACCTTTTGGATTTCTGTCCCAGACAATATCCAAAATATGTCTAATACGTTTGATACTCCAAGCACCATACAAGGTGACAAACGTCTCGATTCTTTGTTTCATTATGATTCTGTCGTGTTGAGTCACGCAATGAATACCAGCCATGAAGATAGGGAAAACAAGAGATGCTTGAGCCGGAGAATCAATGAGAATATCAATACATTTGGTAAGATCATTAGTCAATACTTGAGATTCTAGTGCTGAAGGATTGCATTTAAGTAAGGCTTGTCTTACGAAAAGCTTAGCACTTATTTGGAAAGATTCAAATAAAGTCAATTGTAAATTTAAATCTTCGTCTGTTAAACTGGAAATATCCGAAGGATCAGGTTTTGCTTCATCGATCTGTCTTTCGAGATATTTTGCTTTTGTAATGACATCGAAAAGTTTCCTGCTAACTTTAGCCCGGGAGCTAATTTGAGAGTCAGTATCATCGTTCTCGTCATCTTCGTTATTGTTAGAATAGGTTGGGGATTGTGAAACACCCATAGAATTATCATGATCGATTATATTAGTGTTATAGTAATCATCAAAGATTTTTTTACTTTCTGATACCAAAGTATTTATATCTCCAATTATACGATAGAGTTTTTTCGATATACCCAAAATCGGACTTAAATTACCTTTTGAAATTTTATCAGTGTCATTGAAGATGATATCATAAGTATTTGAAGGGAAATAAGTACCTCGGACACAAGTAGAACTTGCTAATAGGTCATGATAGGCGAAATTTGAAATGAGCCAATGTTCTTCTTTATTCGAGTTAAAATTTAAAATACCACCATTTGAATATAAAATTTTCCAACCCCAAGAGAGATAAACCGTCCAGTTTTTAACATCACCACGACAAATTTCTGCCCCACAAAGAATTAATAAAGTAGCCAATTTATTAATGATTGATTGTCTAGTATCTTTAAGGGTAGCTTCAGCACCCGCCAGGGCCCTTCGTTCTCTTAAATCGGTTAAAGTTTGTTTTATATGATCCAAAGCCATGTTTATATATTTAGCCCCTTCTTTATGCCAATCACCACCAAGATGAAACCCCGACCAAGCCAATATCCCATACAATACTCCTTTATCCTTGTGGGCCAAGGGGAGAAAGACTTTTTGGTAAGAGTTTGATTCATTTTGTGAAGTAGGGGCAATACTGATTTTTCTTGACAAGGTATCCACGTAGTAATTATAGAGGTAACCGCCAGTTTCTGAGAGGTCCGGTAATAGAGAAGGGGTATTTTGGGGTGTGGGATGGAAGAAGGCATTAAAATTTGAAGCCAAGTGGTTAATTGCAGTTGGACTATGAGAAGATGACGAGAATGATTCTAGAAGAGAGTTTATATTGAAATTCGGTGATAGAGCAATAGGAGAATCCAGAGGATGATCGTTTTGGTCTTTACCAATATCGGAATTTTCAGATATTGTTTTAATGAAATGTTGGTAATCTGTTTCTTCATTGTGGTTTTCGTCATTGATTAGAGTAATCTTATGATCGGCCATCTGTTGCAGGTGCTGATACTGGCTTAAATCCCGAAGAAAGCTAAGGAACGCCTGGGGCGAGCCGGGACTTTTATCTAAGGAGAAGTCCAAATCAAGAGGGGGAGGAGAGTCTTCCTGTTTATTTGATTTTTTAGCTGGAACTTCAGCAGAGTCAATGGGGTTCATTAGACTACTTATAGTCGGAGAGTTGGGGGCCATGAAGGGACTCAAGCGAGGAGACATGACAAACGCCTCGGGACTTGGAAATTGACCCGACTGTTTGAGCAGATGGGGGGATGATGTAGTTTTTTTAGTAATCAGGATTCCTCGATCATGAACGTTAGTTTGTAACGTTGAAGGGTCCGTTTCTTGAGATATCAAAGAGTTATAAACTGAATCATTCAAGTTATCCTTTTTATGTTTTTTAACTTCCATTTCTTTAACTTTTGATTTCCTTTTTCTTAACTTAGATACGCTTTCTTCCTTTTCGACTTTTTCCTTCAAGAATTTAATTTCTTCTTCCGACATGGTATCATGGTCAATCCATATACAATCTTTATTGAGTCTTTCACAATCCAAGCATTTGGGCCGATTTTCTTTACACTTTTTCTTTCGAACTTTGCATGTAAGACACCCGTTCTTTGATCTTTTGGTAAGTTGATGGTTCTTGATCATTTTAGGGGCAGTTACACTTCCTGGAGACGTCAAAGCTTCAATAGGACTGCCATTGATTCTATAAGGCAATGGTGACAACGACGATGAAAGCGGAGACGCTATATCTGGCAGACCCCCGGCTATTTTATCTGATGAGGTTTTAGACTGTTTCGAATCAAAAGTAACAATCATAATTCACTGAGCTATCACGCCAGTCTCAACTTCGAACAACTAACCAGCTGAACAAATACCAAATTAACCGCTTAACTACTAGTATCCTAATACCAGTAACAACTCGGTAACAACTCAGTAACAACTCAGTAACAACTCAGTAACAACTAGTTAACCTAAGGTACTCCATTCTTCATCTTTGGCCCGGCCTTATCTACTTGTGTTTGCAGGTTGTACGTGCTTGCAGTTTGAGCATTTTTTACAGTTTACTGGTTTTTTTACAGATTTGGGGTCGTGTCCATCACCAGATCAAGCGGTCGATGGTCGTGTACTTTTGATTCCTTCTAAAAATTTCTGCAGGATTCGATTTTTGTTAGTGTGCGGTGTACGGGTGGGGTGTTTGAGTTAGCGGCGGTAGTTATTTGTCAAATGATCATTAAATTAACTGGAGCAGTTCCCTAGTTTTTCCCGTGAGGTTTCAGTTTCTTCTCTTTTTTTTGAAAGGTTTTCTTTTCTCTTTTCACATTTATATATATATATCATAACAAAACATGTCTTTAAAACGTATTAATAAGGAATTAGCTGACTTGGGCAGGTATGTATTGATTGGTGAAGTTTTGGATTAAAATTTGCTATTGGTTTTCTCTCTTTTTTTTGATTTGCTGTACCGAACTATGGTTAATGTAAAGATGATTAATGTAATATCAGATGATTAATCAATAGGGTGAAGCATAAGTAACGGCCTGGAGAAGAATCAAGGAAACAGTAAATCAAGATGAAGAATACATGAAGCGAAGTTTATACTAACGACGATATAGAGACCCCCCATCATCATGTTCCGCAGGCCCAGTTGGGGATGATTTATATCACTGGCAAGCATCTATCATGGGTCCTCCAGACTCTCCATACGCCGGAGGTGTTTTTTTCCTTTCTATCCATTTCCCAACTGATTATCCATTCAAACCACCAAAGATTGCTTTCACCACTAAAATCTACCATCCTAATATCAATGGTAATGGTAATATTTGTTTAGATATATTAAAAGACCAATGGTCTCCAGCATTAACCATCTCAAAAGTATTATTATCTATCTGTTCCCTTTTGACTGATGCTAATCCTGATGATCCTTTAGTACCAGAAATAGCTCATATCTATAAACAAGATAAAGCGAAATACGAAGCTACTGCTAAAGAGTGGACTAAGAAATACGCTGTATAGATTTATTTCATTATCTTCGATTTCTTTATCTTTATTAATATATATTAAACCTTCACCTGTTTGTATGGTGTGTTTCATTTGCACGTGACCGTTGGGTGTAGACCCGTACATATACTCACCTACTTTTGTCTCAATTTCTCATTTTATCTTTTTTTTTAAAAAACTCTTTAAAAAAATGTGTTTTTATAATTTAAACTGGTGAAAATTGATCTTATTGTATACACTGCCAGTCCATCAATCAACAGAAGTGGCCTCAAGTATATCCATCACTCCAAGAGTCTCCAGCTTTCACGACCAGCACCCCTTCCACTGTAAAAATAGCGCAGTAATCGAACTTTGGAGAGTTTTATATTACGCGCCCAAACATTTCGTGGTTTGCAAAAAAAAATCTTGATTGGCTTGTTAACTATTAAATTACTTGAATTATGAACAGGTTATCAAGTTTTCAAACGAATAACTCGAGTAAGTTGTTTCGACTCGCTAAAGAATTGAACGAAACAAAGTTTTTCGAAATATTCCTTAATGAATATCAATATAAAATTGTTAATCATATTCTAAACCAAAATAACCTACAATTATGGAAATCCTTCTTGGATGGTAGTGTTGTTTTAAACGTGGTGAAATCCGATTCCAATGAGAATGATGAAAACGATGAAAATCATAATAATGATGATGATACTATAGAAGAAGGTCACCGTCCAGTCAAATTCTTAGCATTGCATATAAGGTATCTCTTATGGGAAAAGGCAATTGATTTCTATTATAATGCAAAATCCTTGGATCAGCTGTCCACGGCAATCAATGAAGTGTCCGATGATTATGAATTGATTGATAAACTCGAAGATCTACCCGATACTGAAGGAGAATTAAAAGAAGACGTGAACAATACCACTCCTCCTCCTCCTGCAGTTATACGAGAGGAAGAAGATGATTATGACGATGACGATGACGATGACGATGACGATTCAAAAAAAAATACGCTTCCTGATGATTCAAAACTGGAAGATTCCAAATTAAACTATAACGATGATGGTCAAATCATATTAGAAATCCCATTATCAACTTTTATCCCTAATAATATTCCCTTACCTTCTGCTCCTACAAGCTCTAATGATAACACTCTATTCAATTCAAGCTCAGATACGCCTATACCGGCATCTTCTCAACAAACAGTGTCTTCTAATGTTATAAGCAATGTTGCTTCTTTCGCATCCATTGGTAGTTCTAATTCTCTCGAACCTCCTCATTTGAAGAAATCAGTTACTCCTGGTAATAACACTCCTAGTAAATCGGACCAACCAGCAACTTCAATAAATTCTCCAGCTGATATATCACCCCTTCCTGCAGATCCTTCTGCTTCCACTTCAAAATTAACTTCTGCTACCGCATTAGAAGATCAGGAACAATTAATAAAAGAATTCAATAAAGTTTATCATAACTTTGAATATGACCGTGAAACTCTAATCAAAAGAAGAAAACTTGAAAAATCGGATTTACAACTCGAAGGTACTGATAATAAACTGGGCTCAAATACAAATAATGAAGAGACCTCCGATAATATGGGTATTCATTTTGGGTCAGCATCTCATTCTTTAAAACATTTACTAGGTAAAATTCAAAAACAGCGTGATGATATCCCCATCAATGATTATGAGCTTCGTACTTTATTCATGGATGTCCGTAAAAATAGAGGTAAATGGGCTAATGATTCTCGTGTCGGTCAGGAAGAATTGTTTGAAGCTTGTGAAAAAGTTGTTCTTGATTTAAGAAGTTATACTGAACATTCAACCCCCTTTTTAAATAAAGTTTCTAAAAGAGAAGCTCCAAATTATGGTCTCATAATTAAAAAACCAATGGATTTAAATACAATTTTGAAAAAATTGAAAAATTTGGCTTATAATTCAAAGAAAGAATTTGTTGATGATGTTATGCTTATTTGGTCAAACTGTTTAACTTATAATGCAGATCCAAAACATTTTTTACGGGCACATGCTTTAGCAATGCAAAAAAGAGCTTTAAAATTAATTCCTTCAATTCCAAATATTACCATTCGTAATAGAGCAGATGTCGAAAAAGAAGAAGCCGAATTCGAAAATAATGAAAATAAAGAATCTACTCCTTCTGCTTCTGGTAAAGCTTCTAAAAAAGGCCGTAAAAGAACAAGAGAAAATCAAATAAAAACTGAAGATACTGGTAGCATAGCTCAAAGTCCTGAGATTGCATCTCAAGTAGGTACCCCTAAAGCTTCAGAAACTCCAATTCCTATGACTGGTGATGAAGGAGCTGGTACTGTCGGACCAACCGGTACTGCTGGCGTTGGAGAAGAAGAAGAAGAAGATCTTGAAGGTGATGATGTTCGTGGTGGTGAAAATGATCTTGAAAATGAAGCTGAGGTTGATCCTGAATTACAAGCGTGGCGTTCATTAACAGCAAAGTCTAGGGCTCATTATTGTGCAGCCCGTGCTGAATTGTTTGATGATAACATGAAATTAAGATCGGATGCTCCTGCTATAATTCGTGAGTCAAATGAAATGAATAATTTCAATCATTATCTTGATAACAAACAGGTTGTATCTAAAAGCTCAAACTTATTGGAAAATGATGAGCCATACTTATTGGAATACGATATCACTGGTGGATTACCTGGTGTTCAATATAAAGGTGTTGATGACCAAGAGGAAGAACAAAGAGAACAAAAATTAGTAGACGTTTTTCTACAACAATCTGGAGGTGATCCAAATAAAATAAAATCCAATTTCATTTTACCTACTGAATCAGGCTTGAATAAGATCTATTTTGAAAACATCACCGAAATTCAGGAAATCAGAAAAATCTGTTTTAAAATTTCTTTAATCAGACAAATGCAAACTCAACAATTTGTTCATCATACACAGATGAAGCAGCCTGAAGTTGAATATATAAGAGAGGTTGATATTGACCCCGTTTCCAAATTACCCAATCATGATCCTCACTCAGCAAAGATACAATTTTCTGTCCTTAGAAGAAATATCGCCAAAATTGCCATGCAAACAGGTTTTGAAACAGCGCAACCATTTGCTGTAAACACGCTCACGCAAATTGCTGAAAACTATATGGGTAATTTAATCAAATCCATTAAATTACATTCGGAGACTGCCTCCTCGAATAGGCTAAACGAGAGAGAAATTTTATTACTCTCATTAGTAGAAAATGGTGTTGATAAACCAGATGATTTGTATACATTTGTCCAAGAACGTCTCGTGAAACAAACAGACAAATTGAAGGATTTGAGAGTCAAGTTATCAAATTTCTTGAAAGAGCTTTTAAGACCAGGATTAGAAAACTTTAACGAAAGAAGTTTCGAAGATAACAGTGAACAATTTATGACTGGGGATTTCTCTAACGATCTTGGTGATGACTTTTTCGGTTTCAAAGAGCTTGGTTTAGACAAAGAATTCAAGTTATTAAGTTCTTCAATTCCAATATATTTATTACATTCTAGATTAAACAGCTCCTATAACAGTACTGGAGTTGCAAATAAGAGTAACAAGTATGAGGATTTCAAAGAATGGGATATTAAAAAATTATCCGAAGCAGATATTAAAGATCAAATTGGATTATTGCAACCATTTTACACTAAATTACTTGAAAAATCCAAAGCCCATTACGTCAAAATTCAAAGAAAAAAAGGTGAACGAACAGATTTGCCTCCAGCAGATCAACTCATGTTGATTGAAGATGAAGAATTACCTCAGAAACAAAGAAACATCAGACCAAGGTTACCACCAACTGGTAAAATCTCATCAGTCAAAAAACGTATTGTTGCTAACGCTTTCTTCTTACCTGAACCAAGCGAACAAGAATCAAACACTGAAACTAATTCGAATGATCAAACCAATCCAATAGGTAACGACTCGTATCTGGTAAAGCCAGAGTCTTCATCTAAACCAGTTTCCCCACAAAAACTTTCTGTCAAAGCATAACTCTATCCTCATTATATAGACCCATTTCACCGATCTCTCATCAAAATACATAGGCTACAAAGGCTCAAGATGTAGTTGTAATAGCAGTCCACACGTTTGAATAAAGCACGTGAAGTTATTCTTGATCAATTGAAGTTAATGCTCAATGCGCAAAAACTCAGGAAACCGTTCTACGCGTGGAGGAATCGAAGAGAAAAAGTAAGAATAAAACATATATATTTAATGTTCTCTACATCACGAAGCAAATTATAATTGTCTCTATCCAGCTGTTAACTAACTTATTTCCAATGTTTTAATTTCCTAATATTAAATACTACTGCCAAAAGATTCAAAACTAGAGAAAAAACAAAAAGAAAATCAAATTAAAGAAAATAGATCCTAATAGCATCTCATCAAAAGAAATAAAGATGCCTTCTAATAAAAGTAGTACTAATAATTTAAAAGACTTGCCGTTGAAAGTCAGATTACAGAAGCTTGCAAAAGCTGACTTGGCAAGGCGTGATGTCTTTGGAAGAACAATCTTACATATATTGGTTCTCACGGGACGATATGATCTTCTTCGAGATTTGCTCCGGAATCTGGAGGCAAAGTCGATAATTACTCTTGTGGACTATGAAAACGGGTGGAATATTCTTCATTATGTCTTCTTCCATAAACGTGTAACTTGCTTCAAGGTCATTTTGGAGTATCTTAAAAGCGTCTCTCCCAACTCATCGATTGTTGTTGCGAATAATACTTTAATTTACGAATTGCTTAAATCAAAAGATAGAAATAGGCTAACGCCTTTACAGCTTTTACAAAACGATTTCAAGGACTTACTATGGATTCCAGAATATATTAACGAGAAAAACGAATATCATTTCAGTTATAGATTTCAAGGTAATGGTAACGAACTGTTAGAAGATGAGGCAACTCCGGAAGAAGCTGAAAATACGGCAAAAGAATTCATCAAGCTAAAAAGAAAATTTATTAGAAACATACCGAATGACTGGTGGAACGCCAGTCGAGGAGGAAGTGAAATCTATATGCTTGGGTCGAATAAGAATAATAATTTGGGTGTAGGTGATTCTACAGATAGATCCATCCCTTCTAAGATCTCACATGAGTATTTCAAATCATTGAAAAATGTCATGGAAGGTTCAATTCATGATACCTTGGTGACTCCTCGTTATAGGAAAGTGAAAATATCCAAATATCACGCTGTAGTACTCACTCAAGGTGGTGAACTATTCAGTTGTGGTATTGGATCACGAGGAAGACTAGGCCATGGCTTTTCAGATCTCAGAAACTATTTTAGATTCAGTCGAATCGACTACTTCATTGGTGAAGACTATGATGATTTTAAATTCATTAAAGATTTTGTGATTTCAGACAATCATTCGATGGCTATAACAATAAGCGGATCACTTTACGTTTGGGGGTTCAACAACTGTTATCAGCTAGGTTTCCATTCATCATCCGCTTCCAGTGCAAAAACTTCATCTACCAAAGATACATATGAGTCCTTTGAAGCAACCCCACAGGAGATTACAAGTGGTGATTTAAGGTCTAAAGGACTTGCAATAAAAGGTATGGCCATATCCAACATCCATTCAATGGTTTATACTAAAAATTCACTTTATTACTGGGGCTTGGTTGTTGGTCAAGTAGGAAGTACGTTGAACTCTGCAGATGCATTTGATTACAAAATAAACGGTACTAATTATAAGGGTTATCATCAAAAACAACCCAAAGAATTCCCTTTCAATGATGACATCAAGCTTGTTGAAACATGTGAAACGTGTACTGTGTTAGTTACTGAGAAAGATATAATCCATGTGTACTTGCAATACCAACATGGGAAACTTCCAAGGCTTCCGTCGAGAGGTAACGAAGGATTCGAACGATTCAAGCCATCCAAGTTGACAAAAGCACCAAAAGTTAAAAAAGTTTCCATGAAATCCCATGAATTCGTTGCAATCTTGTTTGAAAGTGGTGATGTACTAAGCTTCAGTCTTGATTCTACTAACCTAGGTGAGTTTTACAAATCTTGTAAAACAACCAGGTATAATTCTGTATGGAAAGCATACGACACAGAAATGTGTGCTACTGATATTGATGTTTCTTATGATGGATCTGTTATAATATGTACCAGGAACGGATCTGTTTTTATAAAATATGCCCAACCAGGCGGGAAACTGAGAAGAAAATCAATGAATGAGTCTACCTTGGCTATACCAGCTACAATTAATAAGTTCAAAAAGATTGACAATTTAAATCATATTGTCAGGGTAAGCTGTGATAACAGTTTTAGTTCCTTCAATTTCATAAAGGATGACATCGACTTAATTCCTCTCAAATTACAAAAGAACGATTTCAATACAGATATGGAATATTTGAGTGAACTAAAAGACACTGATCTATACCGAAAACAAGACCAGTTATTGGATGTTGATCATGATATTAACTCATATATATGTGATTTTCTCTACCCTCTCAAGAATCAAAATTCTTCCATTAATGAACTTCAAAATTTCTCGTTTGTCTCACCAGAAGATGAAGAAGATGGTGAGCTTGAGTCAGGTATAAGCAAGGATTCGAAAACAATAACTGATTCGTTGCATACTCGTTATTCTGTAAGACATGCAAGTAATAAAACTAGAAGAATCAAAACCAAAGATACTTTCGAACATTTTGATGAGAATCATATTAGAGAGCTTAAGGAATTATTAAAATCCGACGAAAGCTTTATAATTGCCAGATTTGATTCTTCACTCATTTCTTCTGATAAAAGTTATGATATCTATATAAGGTTTGAATCTTATCCTTCTGTTGCAATTGGTATACATAAAGAATTATTTTGCAAAAGGTCATCATTTTGCAAAACCATATTTAATCCTGTGAATCCAGGCGAATACTTCATAGATGAAGGAATAGAAGGATTGTTTAACCCAGATAATTCAGAGCTTTTGTTCAAGTCTAATATCAATTTGAAATCTGTGTTGATATTAACCCATTTCATATATACTAATAGGGTTTTGGATATATGGGATGATTACCCAAGTAGATATTCTTGCCCGGACGAAATCAAACAAGTAAAGAAAGATTTCGATATATTGGTTAGTATTTTTCGTCTTTCTGACTCTTTTGGGAAGTTTAGTAATGATAATGTCTTCAGATATAAGGTTGGATCACTTTTAGATGATGAGTCAAATGGCGGTGATGTCTTGGTGACACTAAAAGACGGTCAGATCTATTGCCATTCTAATATTCTAATTGCAAGGTCTGCCTTTTTCGAGACTATTTTGTCAAACAGGTGGGATACTACTGAAGCTGAAATAGAGGATGAAGGAGACAAATGCCTCAACTTTAATAATTTAACAATTTTCCAATTTGAATTTATTTTAAGACATCTTTACGGGTTCGATAATATCCACTTATTCGACTATTTTCTGAGTGTGATTGAAAAACTCTCGGATACAGATGAATTCATCAATCATTTATTAGAAATAATCGAAATCACAGATGAGTTGTTGTTATTTCAATTGAAAAACTTATGCCAGCTCGTGCTAAAGGACCTAATTAATAATGACAATGTCATGATTTTATTGGTGCACGCTGACTATTTGTCAGCACCCAAGTTATTCATGAACTGTTGTTGGTTTATTTATAATAACTTGGATCAGGTTCTTTTTGATTCAACTTTTAATAGTCTTGAGTTTGATACTTTGGCAAAATTGGAAAAACAATTAAAGCTTTTTCAAGACTGTAAAAAAAGTGATTTCATCACGGGAGAAAAGGGAGAAATAAATGAAAAGTATACCAATGACTGGTTCTCTAATAAGTCGAATTTAATTATTGAAGATTTCATTAGTGATTTAAGTAGCTTCAATGAAAATTTCATGAGTGACGCAAAAGGATTTTGTTCATTTGAACCATTGGTTGATTTGAAGTATGACTTAAAAGTTATTTCGAATGACTATAGTAAAAGAAGGGCAGGTCGTAAATCATCGTCAGCAGGTTCCAGATCGAACTCAAATGTCACTACTAATGATCTTGCTGATTTCAGAAGAGCCACTAATCAAGTTTATGGATATCAAAGCAGTACCTCTGTTGTGTCTCAGGATTCTAATGATATAGCTGTTGAAGATAATGCTGATGATTTTGAAGTTGTTGGGAAAAGAAATAAAACCAAACCAAACAGTATTTCACCATCATCATCTGGAATGCCCTCCAGAACAGGTTCAAATACCGATCTTAATGAAAGTATTAAGTCGCCGCCAATACTTAGAAAACCATCACTTACTGCGATTAATAATGCAATAGATGCAACCAGAACATCAGGCCCCCGTTCTACGCCTGCTATCAATAGGAAACCTAGTAACAGTTCATCAAACGGATTAAGCCCACATTCCAATTGGGCCAGTAAATCAAATGGACAATCAATACTAGGTGAAAAAACTCCAATTTTGGGTAGCCATCGTAAACCTTCAGTGGAGAATACTGGCAGTTTCATTCAACCTAAGCCATCGAAGATTAAAATTGGGCCCGCTATCAAATTATCACAAAGAGAACGTAAGAAATTGGCAATGCAAGAAAGTACGAATGAAGAACCTAGTAGCAGAACAGAGCCTGAAGGAAGTGGAAACGCTTGGGGTGTGGCCGCATCCAGTACAGGTAATTCATCTATAATTAACGACCTACCTCCGCTAGGAGCATCGAATTCAAAGCCAGACACTGCAAATAATGGTAAGACATATCAAAAATCCAAACCTAAGAATGACATTGTTCCCCAACTGACAGCCTCATCGATAGACAGTAATGCATTTACGTCACCAATCAACAAAGTTTACGCAACCCCATCATTAACAGAGATAATGCTTCACGAGTCCTTAAAAATTGAGGAAGAACAAAGAAAGGAAAATGAACGTCAATCATTACAAGAGGTTCAACAAGAGCAAGAGTTTGCTAGATGGTGGGAAGAAGAAGCTGCCAAAGTTCAAAAACAAATGAATGCATTCACATTGAATGACACAGAAAAACCCAAAAAGCAGCATGATAATAGGAAACTGAATGATTCAAGAAGTAAGAAAAGGAATTCGAGTACTGATGGAGTTAAACCAAAGGTGAACAATAAACAGAACTCTAAACAAAATGGGAATCGTTCAAAATCAGGACATAAAACCAATGAACAATCGACTAATAGGCGGAATCTGAAAAACAGTTCCAACTCTACCAATTAAAAAGACCGTTTAATTATATTTATGTAAAGTAACATTTTAAATAATATATATATAGATAGATGGATATTCAGCTATAAAGTAATTTCATCTGGATCTGGAAACCATCCAAAGTCCTCCATATTGATATGGTGGTTGGACAGAACCAGTACTCCTTCAGCTCTAAGCAATCTTGCTTGATCCATTTCACCACTGGAGTTTCCCCTAGGAGAAATTTTTCCTACACTCAGTACAATTCTCCACCAAGGTAGTTCAGCAAAGCTGATTTGTTCCTCAATTGGTAATTCTTTATTCAATAAATCTATGATCATCTTTGAATGTTTTAGAGATGATCCAACTTGTCTTGAGTTTTGCGGCCGACCGATCAAATAGGCTACATGACCATAGCTGGTGACATGGCTCGGGGGGACCTGGGAAACTACGGAGTATACAGCAAGATAAAAAGCCTTGGTTTCATCCGATGGGTTCATTTGAATGGGGGTTTGACCTCTGATTAAGCGATTTCATCACCAGATCATTATTTAAAATCCAAATGGCGGGTGTACGGGTGGAACGGTCAAAATGACGATAATTGAATACGGCATGAACAATTAGTTGGGATGCAGATACTAAAGATTAGACGAAGAAGCATGGGCTCATAGGGAAACAGCCTACAGAATAACAAGTTAACAAAAAAAAATTCTTATTGGTAAAAACAAGAACAAAAAAATTTTTTTTTGTAGTTTTTTTAAAATAACAATCTATAGAAGAGTAAAATTCAAATAACAGATTTATATATTCAATAATTTTTATATAGCAAATAAAAAATAACAACTAAAAGCACTAAAAAGCCAGATACATGGTATCAATAAATGACCGGAGACCGAAGAATTAAAAGAGCCCACCAAAGATATAATAGAACCCAGAGATTTTCAATAGAGATCAACCAGTAAATGAAGACATCATAAACATCTAATCATTACCCGATAGACGTAGTTTATAAAAATCCAGTAAACTTCAAAATAAGGGTTCAGGGTATATGGATTCAATAAGGGTAAATCGATTAAAACCGTCTCAAACAGTCATTTTTAAAAAAAGATTGCAAATGACAATTTAAATGATTTTAGGTTATAAATCAGTTAAGCACGCTTATAAAGCTAATAAAGCACCAGCAGCTAAAGCAACACCACCGACAGCGAATTGTCTAGCAGCACCAGCTTCGTAAGCAGAAGAAACATTAGCTGGAGCAGTGTAGTTACCAGCAGATGAAGTAGAAGCAACTGGAGCTTCAGAAGTTTTGTGAGCTGGACAGTCAGTGACGGTGGAAGCACAGTCAGTGACAGTGACTAAAGTAGAAGAAGAGTCAGTTTCAGTGACAGTGGCAGCGACGGCGACGGCAGCGAATAAAGCGACGGTAGAGAATTGCATTGTAAATATATTAGTAGGAGCGAAAGACAAGTAGTTGGATGAAGAAAAAAAAGGAAAGGAATTTGGAAATTATCAAGGAAATATCGACATATTTATACTTACTTGGAACAAAGTTAACGGAAAGATAATGAACATTTGAAAGGGAAACAAAAATGAAGATGTAACCATAAACATAAGTAGAAGAAAATCAAAACAAACAACTGAGAAATGAAAAATAAACACCTTGAATATCACGGTTTACTAATAATAAGGTGATAAAGACGAGCGGTCAAAGCCAGAGGAGAACCATTTTCTACAAACCATTCAAATAGCTTACATAGACAAACAAAGACTAAAGTTACCCTTCCACTGTGCAATCCCACCAGAAAACGAGTATTGTAATCTCGAACTATTCACAAATTGCAAACAAAGACTGCTAGATAGCCCAAACAATAACAACACGCGAAATACAACCGAGTAGATAGTTCAAATAAACTACAAGCAAAACCGCTCTTCAACGTCCTGTCATTGGAGGAGGCCTCTCCCCCACCGCTACTACACCTGCTTTCTTGACACCTTCTGGGCTTATCTTGAAGTAGCCTCTGCTCTCAAGCCTTATACCATCAATTGGCATTAGTACCGCATCTCCCCAATCGAGTAATTGATCTGTTCCTCGAGAAATGCACAAATTGCCCGAAAAATCTTTTACAAAACTCACTCTCGTGTAAAAAGGGAAACAATTACACAATTTTAGGAAGTTAACCAATTCAGATCAATTTTTTTTTCGCGACTCGAAACATCAGCAAATTAGCATAAGCAGCATATACCACCATAATGGAATGTCGAAAACACAAAAAATGACGATTGTTACGAAAGGGCTTTTGGTGGGTTTGGAAGGCGGGATAAGACTTCCCTGGAAAAGAGTACTTTTCAAACCAGATAGTAGATCTTTCAGTACGCGGATATCCAGATGGATTTTTTGATTGCATCTTCATAACCTCTGGTTATCGGGTTTGTCTTTCTCGTAATGTTTAAAATAGCAACTTTTCATCGACTAAGGAAGCTGAGGTTTTTTTTAGATAGCCCGGTGAGCAGAACTGGCGGAGGACGAAGCTATTCTACAACTGTTCTACTTACTTCACACTATATTGTATAGGCTAAGATTATATACAGAGTGTTTTGTCATTAGACCACGCTTTCAAGTTGCCAACGACACTTTTGATGTTCTTGACATATTGTCTTGCGGTAGTTTTCAATCTTCACGTAGGCATCCACCATTTTTTCGTATTTTGCATCTCTGGTCTCCTCGTGAGGGAAGGCTTCAGTGAATTGCTCCCCGATGATCACGTCAAGCACCTCTTGGCATGATAAGCGAGAGTCTTCGATTCTGATGATGGAATCTGATTTCAACTTATCGATATCGGTTCGGTATTCTTGTAAGGCCAGTATGCAATCTTGATGTTTTTGCACCAAGGATTCTCTTAATCTTTCAAATTCTTCTTCTTTCCATAGTTTCAATTCCTCCAATGCATCATCCGTTAAGAATGGAATGAAGCTTATGATCCACATTAGGAAATCACACCTCAAGTTAACAAAGTACCATTTGGAGAAAAACTCAACTTTATCATTTCCCAATCTCATTTCAACCAAGTATTCCCATTGGTCAATACGGGCATCAATGGCAAATTGAAACAATCGATCTTCAATATCACTGAACTTGTCATAAAACCAATAATGAACATCCTTCAATATCTGCCCAAAGATATTGATACTGCGGATTAAAGTGGTTCTTGGTAATCCTCTGGTAAGCTCTTGTAACTGTTCTCCGTAAGTGTCACCCCGGCTTATCGCTAAACAAATCATCATACTGAGATGTATGATTCCGGATACTATTTGCACGGTTCTGGGCGAGATGTTTAATGATACTTGAAGAAATATCCCAATCACCAATCCATTTAGAAAGTTGGTGAAAAGAGTATATGCGTTCCCATATAATGCTCGAGAAACTCGACTTAAAAGAGTGGTCCCTGGGTATCTTGGTGGGGGCATCACTGCATCTTCTTCTTGGGCTCCTTGATGCTGAGGATGAGCTTCTCCTTCTTCTTGTCCACGGCGTCTTCTTAATGTGCTTTCTTCAACATCCCCAGTATCCACAATTGGTATCGTTCTTGTAGGTGGAGGCACTGATTGTGGTGCTGATGGCCCTGTAGATTCATGCACAACCTTCACCTTCTCTATAATTTTGGACCCGTCTTCTCCTCTGATTTTCAGATCTAGTCTATTCATGGCACTAGGGCTCAACAACATGTACGGTGGGTTGCAATCGGTCTCGGGAACAACTATTAATTCACTTGTATCGAAACTCATCTGACTTTCTTGGGGCCCATATGTAATAGTGTACTTTTTGGTTGGCTGGAACTCCTCATAACGGATTGGCTCTTGGTAAGTAATTGTTGGAGATCCACGTTGCTCTACTTGTTCTTCTTGTTCTTCTTGCTCTTCCTGTTCTTCTTGTTCTTCCTGTTCTTCTTGTTCTTCTTGTACCTCTTCTATCTGTTCTTGTGTCTCAGTAACTGTTTCATCGATATTCAATGATCTATTATTATTACGGGGTAGAAACAAAAACCTATTAGGAGACCTCAAGTCTCTCCAGAATTCACGAGTGAAAAACCCACCAATACCACGTAAATCAAGTATTTCAACATTCACGTCATATATTTCACCAGTTCCATCTTCATCTCCAATCAAAAAATATGACAAAGGTACATTATTAGAAGTATCCTCTATCAATCCAAAAGAGTCAATATATAAACGAACCTGGTCAAAAAATGTTCGACTTACAGATGTATAATCATTTCTTTCAATGACTTGTTGTTTAAATTCTTCAACTGTTGTATAACCATTAACCTCAAACAAATTATTACCTTCTTGTAGACTGGGAATGGAAGATTGGACTCTAATAAAAAATCGATTAGTTGATGGGCCTGGATCTAGACCGGTTCTCTCATTTTCAGCCAGCAGATTAGCAGTGGCTCTTAGTTGTTCGTCAGTGCTTTTTTCAATTATCAAAACAGGAGTCACACGAGGTATAAGGTCAAGATCAATCACATCCAGTATCAAGAAGTATTCGGGAGTTATTTCCATTTTGCCTTCTTCTTTCTTCAAATATGCTTGAAAAGTTTGATTCTCCATCTCATTTAAACATGCTGCAATTCTAGATTTTAAAAACATATACATGTCAACTAGAGTACTTGAAACTTCAAACGGTTCGACATTATAATCCTCCTGCTTAAAAGTAACACGAACTTTGAATTGGATATCTGGATACAATGGTTTATTTTCTCTAGGTAAGATCGACTTACTGGCAAATATTGTCCAACCAGGTTCATCATTTTGAGGAACTTCTGTAGTCCCTAGAACTTCGCTAAAGGTCTCGTCGTCTTCCTCTAGAATCTGGTTGTTTCTTTCTATGATAATACCATCTAATCCGGTATCGTAATGGAATTGAAGACGTTCCTTTAAATCTCGGACCGTATGACTAAGAGTGACTCTTATTCGAAATGAATCGCGATCCGGTATATGCCTTGGTTTAATGTCACCTTTATCAAGGACTCTGATACTGAGTCTGAACGGAGTATTCATCCTTGTCTTTTAATTAGTTAATGTCTCTAGATCATTATAGTACGATACTTGTCTTTTAATTAGTACTCCTCCTTTGCGTATACCCGTCAATATGCAGGTGCAAGCAAAAAACACCCAAACATCCCGTTTCTACAAATTTCAACAGATAGTCATAGTATCATGTTTCCTCTTCCAAATGAAGATTGAATTTATGTTTATACAGTAGTACTATTTACAAGAAACAACTATTTAGTGTGCCTGTGAGTCCCTTTTTTTAAAAAAAAAATTTGGCTTTTGTTTAGGCCTTGATAGCGTGATATCTCTTACCTCTAAAACCCATAATATCACTATTAGCTTGGTAAATCTCGGTTGGATTGATATCAACCAAGTCTAATTTGGTACAGCCGAATCTGTTTGCGCCGGGTTTCATAAGGATATCAATTTCGTCTTTCAATTCATGATTCATTAACCAATCGTATTCCCTCTTCATATCGACTTCGTGATAACCCGAGACGTAAACGGCACATTTGGATTCTAATAAACCTTTCAAAGTTTTATTCCAATGAACCGAATCGGCAGTGGAGAAACCTGGGTGGAATAAGAAAAAGACATCTAAATAAGGATCAAATGGGAACAAATCACCAGTATCATAAATTTCATGAAAGAATTTACCATGGTGGAAAATGGAAATTTGATGATCATAATTTTCAACCAATGGACGGCCGTGTTGCTGTTCTGGAGAACTGAAGACTCTATTTGTATTATCAAAGTATGATTCGGGACCTATTAAATGAATTTCAAACTTGGTAGTTGGGAATAAATAACCAAATTGTTTCCAAACAAAACCTGGTAACATTGATTCCATCATAGCACCAACAATGAAAATTCTCATTGGTCTTTCTTTGAAAGCATTTTCGGATTCTCTTCCCTTGGCATATGGTGGGTATAAAGTATAACGTAATGCAGATAATGATCTTAACCCTTCTAAAGTAACTGGTCCCTTAGGTTCAAAAGCATAAGGTGAAAATCTATGTAATATAGCAGCCATGGTAATTGGATAAGTTAATATTTTAGAAGCTGCAGCTAAATTGAATTCGGTATTCATTGGATAAAAATCTCTAGTATAGAAATAAGTATCCCAACTTGTAAAATTTGTCATAAAATCTTGAGCTTGTTCACCCGGGAATTGAAATTCTGGAAATTTACGACCTGATCTTAAATCATGTTCATACGAGTTAACTTTTCTTAATAATTCATAAGTTTTTTTAGAATGATATTCTTCATCACTCTTCCATGCTTCTTCTGAATGATGAGTTGGTATACCAGAATATGGACATACAAAATTTACTGGTTTTTTCGTTACTGGACATAATGCTTTGGTTCTAATTAAAGCCGCACGCGTACGAAGTTCTTCATGGGGAGAATCATCCCAGTTATAGAAAGGTGGTTCTTCATCCTCTTCGGGAGTCTCCAAAGCCAATAATCTCTTAAGAAAAGAGATATTTCTTCTTTGCACTATCACTTTAGGTGTTTCCCTTATTAATGGAACTTGTGCGAGGCGACGGAAATGTAGCATCTTAAGCATTTTTAACGTTTATTTCTCTCAAATGCTTTCCTTGAATTAACTTGACAATACCCTTATCTGGAAATGCTTTGATTCCTTTCACTATCAAATTCAAAGCAAATGCTGTAACCTTTGTCCGTCTTCACAAATATAATGCAACCAGTTTTCCAGGTATTTCATACAATCTTCTCTTAGTTTTTTTTTTTCCTCTTTCTTTTTGAGAGCAGTCTCAGGATTACCCTGACGGTATCGCCCAATGGCCCCGATTCACGCGTAATATTCAGTACAAGCCAGATTTTACTGCAAATTTATACAATCTTGATATATCTATTCATCTCTATATATACAAGTATATACTTATAGTTCGTCATGTTCGAATTCAAGGACCACTTCGTCTTCCGCGTTCTGGGTAGCTTGTAGGTTGTTGGGATTGACTGTTTCTGTCACTGTGACTGTTTCAACAACGACTTCGGGCTCGACTATTAATTGTTCTACAATATTGGTTAATTGGTCCACGGGTGTAGTCTCTTGGGTCCGTTCACCTTCCTGGTAGAACTCGAAATTCCAGGCATCGTTTGGGGCTTGGAAATTGGAAAGGTCAAATTCAACCGGGTCACCATCTTGGTCTAACATTGTTTCGTGGTCAATCAAAGTCACCGACAAAAACTGAGTTTCCGAAGTACCGTCTCTTTCTAGTCTAGCCAAGGTGATGAAGTCACCGTTGAAATCGTAGAGCTCGAACCATATGGAGAATGTATCATTCCATGCCAAAGGTCTTTGTTTGTCATCATGGAAGACAGGAGCAAGAATTACGTCAAGACGGTTCCCAATTGTAGAGCCTACTTTTTTCAAAAGATCGTGAAGAGATTCACAAAACCCATTATAGACAATGACGTGACGGAAATTGAAATATAAGTTATCAGTATTAGGGTTTTCTTTTATCAGACCAAAGTAAAAACCATTCCCGATTGAGCCAAGATTGAAGTCGGTTAAAGTAATCTTATAGTCCTTGGGGACTGGGAATCTGTCTGAAGGGGTTTCTTCCAGGTATTGATAAAAATCAAAGGAATCATCTTTGGGAGTTAAATCCCGAGATATAAGCTTGCAATCAACATCAACTATTTTATCCTCGACAATGTTATGGGGAACAAATTCGTCCATCAAACAAAGTCTTGGGGTATTGATGATCATTTCGTATTGACATGTCTTAACTTCATTAACTGCCGAGATCTCTGGCTTGCCTCGATTATTATTAGGATCACATTTATATACAACATCAATTGTTCTGGGCTCATTTGTCAAATCACACGTTGCACCATTCCCAATTCTGTGCTTTATGATCTTTTGCTTATTATGAGTTCTTGGTTGAACAACGTTTGCAAGAAATGGACTCTCGTCGTAGTCTTCGATTTTAAAGTCATCGGGATTCATAAGATATGGGAGATCCTTACCCTGGTTTTCAATCTTCACCTCTTCCATAGAATGGTTTGCGTGTCTTCCCAAAGTATATACATAATCAGGGAAAGCGGCTTTATGGGCCTTAGATCTTGAATAAACTGGGGCGCTTTCATGATACTGTATGATCTTATCACCATAACAATAAGCATAAGTCCAATACCCAGCATTCAAGTCGTACGCAAATACACATTGGTTTTTGGGGAAAGACTTTTCGATTTCCTTTATTGCATCACTTAGTAGCTTATCGTTCATCTCTCTGGAATCACTCGAAGTTTCATTGCCAGATCCTTCTAGTAGCTCTTCTGTACTATGCTCTTCTCTATTAGGAGGTAATGAACAAAGATACTCTTTCTCTTCCCCATCTTTACTGATCTTGAGTTTTTCAAAAGTTACCCCATATGAATCCTGAGCGTGATTTCGACTGAGCTGATCAGCCATCTTTTCAGGTATACGGGCATAATGATATTTGATATTATATAACGACCCAACAACCTCTGTGTCAAGTGCTCCCACCGAGCATGCGGCTAGGAGAGCCACTAGTGTCTGATATATCACTTTCAATGCCATCGTTCTTCAATACGACTTAGTTGATAACCCCAATTGAAAGAAACCACCTAATCTTATTTTTCCTCACTGAGATAAAAAAAACGAAAAAAACCATCAAAATACTTTCAAAACAAACTACATTTATCTTTAAGCCTTGAATTTTGAAAATTGCAACTTTGAAGCAATGCAAACGGACAGAAGCAGTTCAGGAAGCAGTCAAGCAGAATCTGCCGGTGTTTCTGGTCTTACTACACCTCATTTGGACAGTGGAGAGCTCACCAAAAATAATAAAGTTGATGATAAATCGATAACCTCGAAAGAGAACTCTCCAGATCCCACTCCCGATAGCACGATCTTTGACATTGCTCGTGACATAGAATCCAAATTGAAGTCTGTTTTGGAGAAGGTCGATAAAAACGACGATGAAATCAATAAAAGAATTGACAAATTGACCAAACAAATCAGTCATTTGGAACAGGAAATCAAAAATAATTGAAATTGGGTATCACCAACCATTTTCTCTCACTATACTCACTATACTCACTATACTTGCCTATGACTAATGACAATACACATGTATATATAAGAACTAAGTTTTTACATATTTAATAGTAGCTAATCGTACAGTGCGCTTTTGATAGAAGATGAAAAAAAAAAAAAAAAAAATAGAAAAAACTAGTGAAGAGCCATCGTGATAACTGCTTGATAAACCTTAGGGATACGACTCGGTAATAATGGCAAAGGAGAAAAGAAGTAAAAACCAAATTAGAAGGGAGAAGGCCAAACTACGAAAGTTGAACGAAACGAACCCGAAGAACGAGACAAAAAGTAAGTCCGATGAACTTCTATCGAAAAGACCCTCCAGTACTATAACGAAAGATGGAGATAATGACACAGTCGACGATCTGAACGGTATGCTGATTCCAGAAAACGACGAGCTTTACTCGCAGTTCTCGAGCGTGTTTAGCAAATTCAATGGTTCAAATACTGAAGACGAAAAACCAAAGAAGCCGGAAAATGAAACATTCATCAATGATGAATTAGTTGAAGAAACTTGGGATGATTTTGATAATGAAGATGAAAGTGAAGACGAGGATGAAGAAGAAGAAGCAATTTCGAAAAGACAACTACGGAAGATTAATAAAATTCCTCTTTCATCATTAAAGGCATCTATTTCCAGACCGCAGGTGGTCGAATTGAACGACGTTGATGCTCCTGATCCTTATTTCTTGGTGAGACTCAAATCCCATTTTAACACTGTACAGGTGCCATCACATTGGTCTAGTAAGAGAGAATACTTGGCGTCCAAGAGAGGAATCGAACGTTTACCTTTCCAACTTCCTAAATTCATTCAAGATACTAACATTCAAGAAATGAGAAATACTGGAGATGACCTGACTTTGAAACAGCAACAAAGAGAAAGAGTTCAGCCAAAAATGGGGAAGCTTGATATCGATTATCAGAAATTACATGATGCATTTTTCAAATTTCAAACAAAACCAAGACTCACCGGTTATGGTGACGTTTTCTTTGAAGGTAAAGAATCTAGCGATGAATTTATTAATGAAATCATGAATATAAAGCCAGGAAAAGTATCTCAGTCGCTAAGACATGCATTGGGTATGCCTGAGAATAACCTAACGTTCCCTCCTCCATGGCTCAATATAATGAGAGAAATCGGTAAGCCGCCTGCGTACGAACACTTGATTATACCTGGTTTAGATTGTGAGTATAAAAACTCGGGCTATTTTGTCGCTGATGAAAATGGAAATGAAATAATTCCTTTACCATTGGATGAATCGCTTTGGGGTCATCCAGAAGAGGGCGAAGAATCGGAGGAAGAAGAAGACCTGGCCGAGGATGATGAAGACGAAGTTGAAGAAGGATTCCAGGCTTCTGAAGAAGAGAAGGATGATGAGCAAGATGCTGAAAAAGTCGAGATAACAGAGTATTCTCGTATCAAAACTATGCCTCTGACAAATAAGCAGCCTGACGTGCAAGAAGATTCTGGTCCTAAGCAATTGTACACCATTCTCAAAGAGAATACAGCGGAAGGTACTAGTGATGGTCTACTCAAAAATGTCCAAACTTATGAATTGGCTCAAGATGGAAAGGATACTACAATTTCTTCAGAAAAAGAAGAGAGCTACAACAAACCTACAAAACAACGTAAAGAATTTAAATTCTAATAATGAATGTTACGTGACTATGCATTTTTATTTAATATTTCATTTATAATATCAGTTTGTAGTGAATTGTTCGTCTGCTTCAAATGGAAAATTAATTCCATCGTTAAAATTAGATTGATCTACCGGATCCAAAAAACTCAAGACATCGGTGTCGATTTCCCTGAAAATTTCTTGAATAGAGAAGGTGTTTAAACTGTTTGTAGCATCTGCGGGGTCATCTATAAATCTCGATAAAAATGGGCCCTTTGGCGATTTAGCATATTCATCAACTCCGAGCGATTGAGAAACAGGGCTCTCGGGGTTTACCAAGTCCAGGACGTTATTAGCTTTTGAAATCTGTTGCATATTACTTTGACTGGACCCTTGTAGACGCACTAAAGAAACATGATTGTCTAGTCTTCTTCTCTTGGTAAGACACTTACTGGAATCTTTAGTTTTTGGAAGTCCCAAATTTTGGATTTCTGTATCCTTACTCATATCAGTAAGTTTTATAAAATCAACGTTGGCATTGCATTTATTTGTTCCATTGTTTTGGTCGGTTGTTGATGTATTAGTATTATAGCCATTGCATACTTTAATCCAAATCGAAATTTTATGCAATATGGGACTGATGTTTCTTAGGTTATACAGATCGTGTTTTGTCACGCCGTCATTTACTATAGATGTTAATTTTTCGAAATAGGACTCCACATTGCCATTCAATTCACTATTATTGGGGGCAGTATTGGAAAATATCTGTGATTTCATTAACAACTGCATTCTAATAAGAGTGACCAATGCCCGCAATGCCCTATAAAAGAAATAAGTTGGTAAATTTATCGTTTCTTCACATAGCATGATAAACGAATTCAAAAGATTCTCTGTAAGCTTTATCAATTTGACAATGTCTCTCATACAAGCTAATGAATTCATTTCGTTAAAGATTGAGCTTGATTCAGGTTGCATGAATGCTGCTTTTTTGCTATATAGATATCCACTAATTAAATTATCGTAAACAATCATTAATGCTTGATAATACATTAAAGAAAGTATGTACTTTTCCTTTGGAATTCTACCAGACTTCTGATCGTCAACCATGAATCCACTATCAGCAAAAGTCTGATGTAATTTTTTTTCATACGCCTCTAGAATAGACTTTATCCCAATTGTTGAACTTGGTCCAGGACCCCACATTCTTTGAAACATTGGATCTGAATCATCGCTTGAGTCTGTTGAAACTTTCAAAGTGAGAGATTGAACTTCTAACATTTCTTGAACTAAATGAACAATCTTGGAAAAGTAACAAATATATCTTTCTTGTCTTTTTGGGAATCCATTCATTTTATTTGAAGACAATAATATATCAACAGCTTTCTCATAGTTATCGGACCATGGGAGAATCTTGTACTTGGGTAATGGAAACTCTAGCGAGCGACAACAACAATATATTGTTAATAATATACGAACTTCGATTCTCTCTTTTGAGTTATCAATCATCATGTTCGGGCATTTTGGGTTAAGATTTGAAGCGATATCTATACATCTTGAAAGTGCAACCCCGGTAAATAATTGAATTTGACTTTTAAAATGGTCTGGACTTTGTGGTATACAACACCATTGAGAAAGGATAATGCAAGTAATAATCAAATGATGATCAACAACCCTTGGATTTATTAAAGAGAAGTAAGCAATAAACTCGTCTAAATAATAAATCAACATTTTATTCAACAAACGGAAATCTAAACCTTCTCCTGTTGTATCGGACAATCCAGTATCATTTAAAGTTGTTACAAAAATGCAAGACATCAATACTAAGGGTGCATGATTCAAGCTATAATCAAAGTCAATTTCTTGTTCGGAAAATACAATTATCGGATAATAACAAAGAATATCATTGATGAAATATTGGAACCTTCTTTTGGCTTCCTCCTCAGATAATGCTTTATGAGTATATATCAATTCCTTAGCTAGATTCTTATCAAACCCAATTTTTGGATAAACTGACGATTTAGCAATATCAGCCGTAGCACTTATTTGATTATTTCCAGTTACATTTTCTATTGTATAAGCCAAAGAGGTGAAAACCGTTGTCAAATCGGTCAATTTCTTTGTGTCTTGATGCTTCAAGTCATCTGATTTCAATGATGATAGTGCTGTTTGAACTTCTTTTAATGAGGATATAGCTTTACTCAAAGGATCATCCATATTCTTAGATTTTCTATTCAATTTTCTAGCAAATTTTGCCGTGGGATCATGATGGGGGGAGCATTCAACACCAATTGAAAAGCATCTGACACAGGTTGAATTAGTTGGGTCTTCGAAGATACATTTAACTTTCAATCGGTGACATCTTGCACAGCTTTTCACCAGTCTCCATTTACTGGCGAAATCCTTGGACCCTTTTTCTGGCGCATCCTGACTCATCATCACACACTTCACATTAATTGGTAAGTGATTTTGGAAACGAAGATAGCTATCGAATTGAAGTTTTGAAAAAACTCTGAAGTCTTGTTGAATCGGAAAGCCGATTGAAAACTAATAAGCTTAGGTGCAGTACCTGACCTTATCTAAAGAGAAAGAAAAATCATTGAAATATAAATTTAAATACTGAACAAAATGCTTTTATTGTAACAAGAGAAAATAAATAACTTAATATAAAGGAGAGAAGGGTAGAGCATGGACAAGTTCTTTTTTGTGTAGAAGATGAATATCAAGACAAATACAAGTTTAAAAAATGAAGAAAAATAAAGGATTATAGTAAAAGTTTTTTTTTTATTAATATTTCAATTTATCTATGAATAAATAGGAAGAAAGGGTGGTTAATGTAGTGAAATTATGCAAAAGTATGAAAAGTTTTTTTTTTTTTTTTGATTTTTTTTTTTGGTAATTTTTAAAATTTAGTTTAATCATTTAATTAGATATCATTAAGATCAGGTTTTTCATCTTTGATTTTGTCAATCTTGGCACCAAAAGAAGAAATACATTTAGCCATGGTTGGAGAAGATCTTGAAATGACATCGGTGAAGTAAAAGTTATCGATTGGGTTTTTCAAAGGAGCACCAATGAGTTTAGCTGATTTATTTTTGTTAACTAATTCGTTGAACCCGATGAGGGCAATATCGTTAGAAACTGGTTCGATAACGTCATGTCTAACTAAATGAGGAGCAATTTGGCCTAATCTTGATCTTATAGCGTATAAGTCATCATAAGGTAAAGTGGCCCCCAAATATTCTGATAAAGCTCTAACGATTTTCCAATCTTCACGAGCAACACCAGGAGGGTTAGTTGCGGCTCTAGTAATTTGAGTTCTACCTTCAGTATTGACGTAAGTGGCTGATTTTTCAGTGTAAGCAGAACCAGGTAAGATGACATCGGCAAAAGAAGCACCTAAATCACCATGATGACCTTGATAAACGACAAAAGCATCTTTTGGAATATCTTTATTTTTAATTTCATCAGCACCCAATAAGTAAACGAATTTTGGTTTAGTATTGGTAGAATTAAAGTTAGTGAACCCCACATCTAAGGCACCAACACGAGAAGCTTCACGATGTAATAAATTAACCCCATTCCAATCAGGAGTATTAAAGTTTGAATGTTTAGAAGCGAATTCCCCAACTAATTTATAGATGGCGGCGGCGTCTTCAGATTCAGCAACACCAGAACCAACAATGATTAAAGGATTTGAAGCTTTAGATAATTTTGAACCAAATTCACCACCCAAAGTTTTTTCCAAAGCTTTTACGTCGGTACCGAAATGTTGTTTATCGAAAGTAGAGTCAAAATCTTGACCGATATGACCGATATCCAATTCTTGTCTTAACCAAACTTTTCTAATTCTAGTGTTTAAAGTGGCGGCTTCGTGTCTTGGGTTAGTACCAATTAATAAGATTTGGTCGGCGTCTTCAATACCATCGATGGTGGAATTAAAGATAAAATTCGATCTGAAATCAACCCCGTGAATATCAGAAGCTTGTTTAACATCGGTAGTGACATTTTCTGAACCTAATTTATTAATTAAATCTTTCAAAGCAACCATTGATTCAACATCGGATAAAGCACCGGAAATGGCCTTTAATTCATCACCTTGAGGTTTAATTTTAGAGTAAGCAGCAGCAATAGTCGATAAGGCTTCATCCCAAGTCCCAACTTCGAATTTATCACCATTTCTAATTAAAGGAGTGGTTAAACGTTGAGTTTTCAAACCATCGCAAGCAAATCTACTTTTATCCGAAATCCATTCTTCATTAACTTCATCGTTCAATCTTGGTAAAACTCTCATGACTTCAATACCTCTAGCATCGACTCTAATATTCGAACCAACTGCATCAAAGACATCGATAGTTTCGGTTCTTTTCAATTCCCAAGGTCTTGCTCTAAACGCATAAGGTTTTGAAGTTAAAGCCCCGACAGGACATAAATCAATGATATTCCCCGACATTTCCGAATTAATATTTCTTTCAATATAAGTACCAATTTGTAAATCGTTACCTCTACCAGAAGTACCAAATTCTGGAGCACCAGCAACATCATTCATAAAACGAACGCATCTGGTACAATGAATACAACGGTTCATGGAAGTTTTAACCAAAGGACCAATTGGTTTATTTTCAACTGCTCTTTTACCCATTAATTCTTTAAAACGACCACGGTCACTACCGTATCTTTGGGATTGATCTTGTAAATCACATTCACCACCCTGATCACAAACTGGACAATCTAATGGATGGTTTTCCAACAACATTTCAGTAACCCCTTCTCTTGCCTTTTTAATTCTTTCTGAATCAGTATGGACAATCATACCATTTTGCACTGGCATGGCACACGATGCAATCAATTTTGGCATTCTTTCAACATCAACAAGACACATACGACAGTTACCGGCAATAGCCAACTTATCGTGGTAACAGTAACGTGGGATAGTCACCCCAGCCTTATCAGCAGCTTGAATAATAGAACTTCCGGCTTCAATATTAATTGTTCTACCATCAACAGTAACTGATACATCCGACATCATTCTGCTACTAGAAGAAAGAAAACGACGAGACGAAGCTCGTAACATGGTACTTCTAGCCAACATAGTCTCCCAAATTAGATATAGAGAAAGGTGTATAAAGGTGTATAAAGACTTATAAACGTGTATAAAGACTGGTTAAAACGAAGCTTCATCCACTGTATATTTTTTTTTTGTACCAGCAGCTTACAATATCCAGATTAACTTTTTTTCATTGGCTCTTTTTGTTAGCACTGCTATTTGGGTGCGATTTTGTATGGGCTTTCCCCCAGTTTGACCTTTTTGTATGGCTTTTGCTCGGAGTCGGTGGGTGCAGGAGAAGTTATTGAGTAATCGAGCAATGTTCGGTTTCTGATTCGCTGATTCCAGCGGCCGGTGCCGGGTAACCCTGGGTTTCCCACAGCGGCATCCGTACCCCTGGGATGTCGCTCTGCGCGACATTGGTGGTGCACGGGGTGTTTCGCTCGGTTGGCGCACCACCTGCTTCCACTGTTAGCTATTGATTCAGCTATTTATCATATAGTTTACTATTTACAATTCACTATTTACAATTCACTATTTAGAATTCATATAATCCACTGTTTATAATTTGCTAGTTAGGTATTATTTACTACACCATATCCATCAATACTTAAGTAACCGGTGGTCTTTGTATTGCTGCAAAAAAATGGTGTGCGGTTTTATTTCATGAAGGTCCGGCAGGACCTGGGGTGTAACCCAATTGTAGTACGTTTTGGTAGCGGTGTTGGCATTTGGTGGAATAACGGCTGGGTTTGGGTGGAATAACGCTGGGTTTGGGTGGAATAACGGCTGGGTTTGGGTGGAATAACGGCTGGGTTTGGGTGGTTCCGGCAAATGGGGCTTTCTTTGGAGGGTTTTCGATGGATTTGCAGTTTTTAAGCATAATCTAGAAAAACTACAACTTTTATACTAACGATATCCGTGTAATTCAGTGATAAGGTACGTATAGCTACTTTGGCTGGGGCTCGTCGGCAGGTAAACTCATGAATAGGATCAATAATGGGGGTACCACATACATCCAGTTTTTCTGGATCCATGAACGGTCATCCTCTTCAGCCTCTTGTCCGTTTTCGTCGGCTTTCTTGGTAGGCTCCTTTTTCGGTTTTTGTCCCTTAGCACCAATTGGCTTTAGATTGGGCACCGGATGACCCTCGTATGGCTTCAACACGATTCTATCGTCGGCCCCACTTATCAAGCTGAGTCTTTCGATGTCTCCTTCTTGATTCAATTGTAATTGTACCAGCTTATCCCTAACGGTATCGAGACTCATGTAGTTGAAGCATCCTAGGGACTTATAGCTAGTACCAATACAATACTCTTGCCTTGCTAAATCATTTTCCTTCAATACAACACTGGATTGGCTTGATTTATCGTATACGAAACTTATCAAGTCGTGTTTGGATTCTGCTGTTTGGGCATAGATGTCTACCGTCACCGTATCATCCCCAGCAATAAGCCCGGCAAATATCAATACAAGAAGGGCCCTGATAACAATCATCTGGTAAAGGTAGTAGATTAAATAGTGTAGAGGAATTTTTAATGATATCTGTCAAGCATACTTTTTTTCTTCTCCATTTTTACCTTTACACACCCATAAGCTTATCGAATGGAAAATTCACCAAAGTCTTTCCCACAATGCTTGCATTGACTTCCAGATCGGTTCTTCGCAGGATACGACCGTGCCGTGTTTCTGTTGGTGCTTGTCAAAAACTTTCATTGGCTCGCGATGTTCAATCCTACTTTGATTACTGCTCAAAGAATAAAGTAGCCATGGATTCGAAAGTTTTCAAAGGCACTTTATACGAATTTGCTACTAAACACTTTCTTGAAACTAAACTCAATTGTCTTGAGCTAAACAGAATCGGTGGTGCTTTTGATAATGGGGTTGATATCTATGGGAAATGGAATCTACAACCGTACGTTGACTTTGAATTGCAAAACTTAAATGGAAAGCTGATTGATCGTTTGACCAAAAAGCCATTCAATAACGGGAAGGAACTTTATTTAAACATCTTGGTTCAATGTAAAAACTATAGAAAAAAAATTAATGCTTCAACGATAAGAGAAATCCCCGGTATATACAATTATCATATAAAAAATAAGCACGAAGCCAATAACACTTTCTTCTTTTTGTTTTCTCCATTCCCCTTAACAAAACAAGGTCAATCGCAAATAGACTCAACTGATGTTCCTATAATTCACTTCAAGTTATCCCCACTAACTCTCGAATCGTCGGGGAACCCTTATGATTTGAAAAATTGGCTTGGTGGTGAGTTAAATTCGGTTTATATGAATGAAAAGGCTCGATCCCTACTAAAAGGCTTCCGGATGGATATCCACTGGCAGCTACTTACATGATATCTACAGATTTGAAAAAAGTAACTAAACAAGTACATAATTCATAAACAAAAAAGAAGAGAAATGAAACTAACTTTTGAAAATCGTATAAAGGTTATGCTAATTATAAAAAATCTATTGATTCCATTGACCGTTATTGTCATTTTTGTGGGTCATATAATATTCATTACCTTTGTACATACCGTCATCGTAAGTTTTGGTTGATGTACTTGCAAGAGTGGTTGGAGAACCTTGAACAGTGGAGGTCATGTATTGAGTGTTGGTGACAGTCATGGTTCTCAAGGTTGTTGGAACACCTTGCGATGCTTGAGCAGTTTGAGAAGCTCCACCGTTGTAGGTAGTAGCGGCTGCTGCCAATGAAGTGGCTGCACCTTGTCCTTGTTGGCCTTGACCTTGTTGGCCTTGTTGACCTTGGCCTTGTTGGCCTTGTTGACCTTGGCCTTGTTGACCTTGGCCTTGTTGGCCTTGACTTTGGCCTTGACCTTGTTGTCCTTGTTGGCTTTGACTTTGACCTTGGCTTTGACCTTGTGCACCTTGAGTGGAAGAGGCAGCATTAGTATTAGCAGAACTGGTGGTTCCAGTAGTTCCAGTGGAAGTAGAAGCAGAAGTAGAAGCAGAAGTGGAAGCAGAAGTGGAAGTAGAGCTAGAGCTAGAGCTTGATCCAGAACCAGAACTAGAGCCAGAGCTTGATCCACCAAGAACTTGTTTAACTGAAGAAACAAAGGTGTTACCACCATCTTTATTACCAAAGGCAGAAGAAGCATCCCAAAGAGAAATACCACCAAAGTTTTTATTAGATTTGATATCACTAGTAATTTTTCCACTTAATTGATTTGGAGCAATGTAACCAGAACCAGCAGAACTTGAAGCACCAGGTAAACCAATGAAAAGTTTAATATTTTTATTTGGAGAATCATTGGAAGCAAAATCAGTCCAAGTATCCCAATTGAAAGATTTATCTAAACTACAAGGATTATTGTAGAATTGAATGAAAGCAAAATCAATTTGAGCTTCTTTTAAGATATCACCAACTGATTCATCTGGATAAACACATTGGGGAGCAGCAGATAAATAATAAGTTTTAGAGGAATCTTCATCGAATTTAGATCTTAAAGCTTTAGCTAAGGCAGCAGTACCAGTTTGTTGTTTATTTTCCAAATCGAAATCAAAACCATCAACTGAAACGTCATCACCAAATGGTTTATTACCGCCATCACCATTACCAAAAGTTTTCCATAAAGTATCAGCAAAATCCTCACCTTCTTGATCAGAAGATAAGCTGTAACTACCAGAGGCCCCACCTAAAGAGAGAAGGACCAATTTATTATTAGATTGACATTTTTTAATTGAAGATCCAACATCCAGGCATCCACTAGTAGAATCTGAAGAGCATTTACTTGAAAAAGAGTAACCTAAGTTATTTGGATAGTTGTAAAGGAAAGATAAAAGAACAATATCAACATCATCGGATTCACAATAAGTATCTAAACTTTCTTCGCTACCATAGGAATCCTGACCCCAATAAACAGCGACATTATTACTGGAAGAGGCATCGAAAGCAAAAACTTTGATAATAAGAAAAGAAATAAGTAGAATAAAACTTTGAGTATTCATTTTGAAAATAAGAAGGAGTGACTGAGTTAGGGAGTTACTAAATTAGGGAGTGACAAATATAATTAAGGAATGACTAGAGCTTGAGTGTAAGGAATGACTAGGGTTGAGAGAGTATCAAGGAATGACAGTAGTTGGGAAGCTGTTTATTGAAGAAAGGAATGTTAATGAAGATTGAAAAATAAAAAGTATGATGAAAATAAAGAGAAATCCATGATAATTTATAATTTTTGAATGCCCATCAAATCAGCTTGATCAAAGAAATCAGTTCACAAGCACCGTTGAAACCCACTGTGTCTTGGTTTCACAACTAATGGCAAATTGGAAGGGACATAGCACGCCAAATCTGTTCATCTAATTGAAAGAATAATAATAAAACAAAAGAACAATCATAATAAATAATATTGAAAAGGTATAATTGATGCACAATGCACACAACCGTAGAACAGCTTTACAAATGCTACAGCAGCAGAAGGTTTGGTTGTATAGTAGTTTAACATGCGTCATCTTGAATCTTCTCTATTATCGTAACATGCTTTGCATCCAAAGAACGCGCTGGCCCTCGACTGAAAGCAGATCTCTCAGTTCTTTTTTGGCCTTATTCCAAACCGTTATTGAAACTACCCCATTGCACTCATGCATCGATACATCGCTCATCATCTATCCCATTATAAACCCTGTCTTCAAAGGCAGATTGTAAAAATCGCCAGCCATCTCCAGCCTAGTTTTTTTTGCTGCTAAAACAAATAATCAATTCAAAGGTTTAGAGAAACAAACGCGAAATTTACCTAAAAAGGAGTTCTCGAGGCCGTTGTCAAGCAGAAATAGGGTCCTGGTGGTAAAATTAAGGTAGATTATTTGCATCACATACAATCCACCTCCTTTGTTATTCTATTTTGATGTACCTGAAGTCACTATGAACATATCTGGCACAAATCATTTGTTTGTCTGAAAGCTTAATTAATGGCGTCTGTTGCAATGAAGAAATGAGAAGCGAAAGAAAAAAGGTTCAGCATCGCGAAGCTTAACCAGCACCAAAACACCTCTATTTCCATTACATCCATCATCAAATAAGAACATCATCAAATAACATCATCAAATAACATCATCATCAAATAAGAACATCATCAAATAAGAACATCATCAAATTGTTACTTCGCGGAGGCTTTGGAAGCTTTCACTACTACGTAGTATTATTTTTTCCAAGCGGAGGCATCCTCGCTGGGGGTCCGTCCGACTTGGTACTATAGTTGACTGAAAACGGTTTACTAAGGCACCATGTGTCCAATTGGCTATACAATCAAGACGAATATGGGAATAATGTTGCTAATTGGAAACCATGTTTCATTACAAAAAAGATGAAATATTACTAAATATATTTCATGATGTAGTAACAAGAAAGATCGAGTATTTGTATTGTCATAACTAACCGAATCGACTTCGCAACTATTTTGTATTGTTATTTAATTAGAGTTTAGCTCCTTTACGCGTGAAAGGGGAATTCCCACTCATGGAATTAAATTGAAAGTGTTTTAAACTTCAATTAAAACATTTCGTGACGATGTTACAAGCTAGAATTGGTTTTTGCAACTTACAAATATTGGTTTCTCGAATTTCAATAATTTATTTTGCGCCCAACGCATTAGAGGAAATTCGAATAAATACTACGGAAAATGAATTAAAGAGAGTAGATAAATACATGTATTAAGATTCATTTATAGTTTTGAATTCATGAGCGTTGGCTGCTGGCTTCAAAGTTCAATAACGGCTCTGATACAATCACCAGCGTGCATATCATCAAAAGCAGTATTGATTTTGTCTAAAGGATGTCTATGAGTGATGAAATCATCAACCTTTAATTTACCTTCCATGTAGTCATCAACGATACCAGGTAATTGGGATCTACCTTTAACCCCACCAAAGGCAGCACCTTTCCAAACTCTACCAGTAACCAATTGGAAAGGTCTGGTAGAAATTTCTTTACCAGCGGCAGCAACACCAATAACGATAGAAACCCCCCAACCTTTATGACAAGCTTCTAAAGCATTTCTCATGACTTGAACATTACCAGTACAATCAAAAGTATAATCACAACCACCATCGGTCATTTCAACCAATTTATCAACAATAGTAGTACCTTCAGGCAATTTAGTTGGATTAACAAAATCGGTAGCACCGAATTTTTCGGCCCATTCCTTCTTCTTGTCATTGATATCAACAACAATGATCTTATTGGCTTTTCTTTCTAAAGCACCTTGAACCACCGATAAACCAACACAACCGGCACCGAAAACAGCAACGTTATCACCTTTTTGGACATTGGCAGTGATGGTGGCAGCACCGTAACCAGTGGTAATACCACAGCCTAATAAACAAGTTCTATCTGGTTTAGCTTCTGGATTAACGGCAACAACAGAAATATCAGCAACAACAGTGTATTGAGAAAAAGTAGAACATCCCATAAAGTGTAATAAATCCTTACCTTTACATTTAAATCTTGAAGTACCATCTGGTAAAACCCCTTGACCTTGAGTAACTCTAATTTTTTGACATAAATTGGTTTTACCAGATTTACAAAATTTACATTCTTTACATTCAGGAGTGTATAACGCAACAACTGAATCCCCAACTTTAACATTAGTAACACCTTCACCAACAGATTCAACAATACCAGCACCTTCATGACCCAAAACAACTGGGAAAGCACCTTCTGGATCAGATCCACTCAAAGTATAAGCATCAGTGTGACAAACACCAGTGTGTAAGACTTTGATACGAACTTCGTGTGCTTTTGGTGGAGCAACCTCAATATCTTCAATAGACAATGGTTTACCGGCTTCCCAAGCAACAGCAGCTTTACAAGTAATGGTCTGTTCAAGTTAGTATGTTGCAAAAAAAAAATAAAAAGGAGAAAGCCCGAAAAAAAAAAAAAAAAAAATTGAAGTACAACAAAGTATAACCTCCAAGGTTATACCTTCAAAGGTATAAGTTGTAATTCAATTGCCAATTGCCAATTTTCAATCACTTTTTCTTTCTTCTTCATTTCTTCCTCTTCTTTTCGTTTTTCCATTTCTCAACGAATTGATACGTACTTTACCAGTGGTGTCAGACATTATATGGACAGTATACGAATTGAAATTATAGTTAAGGAAAAGAAAATTGATTAAACTTTAAGGAAGTTGTCAACCCTTATATATCGAAATTTTTCAAATGGGCTTTTTGATAACCTTTGTTTGCGCTAAGTAGAAAAAACTATCCTTTCTTTAGCTTGATTTGGTGAAGGAATCCGGGTTAGTAATCACACCCGGGTCGTGTGTGAGGGCTAGAGAGCTGGGGTTTTTTATACCGGATTGAGCAAAAAGTAGTGCGGAATTTTTCAGAAAAAGCCGCGCCTAAGGTTAAAAGATCCGAATCTTGCAACCATCAAACGTAGTATTATATATATAGATGTATAGATAAATATATAGATGTATAGATCAATATATAGATATGTAGATAGGATGTGATCAGAGTACAGCACCAAAACCGAAGGTAATTTTGATGGATCTGATATAGTAGTTTTCGAAATTATCCTTAACTCTTTCTTCTTCACCAATTGGAATACCAGACCATTTGACAACCATTTTGGTTTCACCAGCACCTTGCTTGAACTGGATGTCTAGCTCGGCATAATGGCCAGATTTCCAGTCTTCCAATCTCCATAATTGAACAATACGTTCGTTAGGAACCAACTTGAGAAATCTACCACTTATAGACCCCCCAAATAATTTGAAAGAACTACCTTCCTTTGGGGGGAAAGCTTCGATTTCTGGAACTGACCTCGACCAGGCCATAACACGTTGGCCATCCAATAGGGTGATGTACAACTGTTCGGCAGTGGTGTTGAAATCGGGTTCCAAATGTAACGTGGAGGTATTGTACCTGGGTACATTAGAATTGGTCACTGGAGCAGATGGAGCGGGAGTGGCAGTAGATTTGGATGGAACCGATTTTGTTTGTGGGGCGGTTTGCTTACCAGTTTGGTTTGCTTTAGTATAAGTCGAATTAACTTTACCTGAGTCTAATTGAATATCGGAACTATGGGTGACAATTAAGTCATGACCAAAGTTCGATAAAACGTCTCTCAATTTAGGTATTAAGTAACTCTTGATGACTTTTCTCATCTTTTCGTTTTCTTTGTTTTCATTATATATGCTGATATCAAATTGGAGCTCTTCTGGTTCAGTATCATAAGCTAACTCAGGAATTATAATCGAACCCTTAAATTCGCCCTTTTTATTTTTTTCATCTTCACAGTATCCTCCAATGGTTAAGGTCAATTTCAAATCAAAAATTGATATCACTTTACCTTTACGTTGACAAACTTCAACGTCTCCTTCTAATGACAGAAGAGAAGTAACCCCAACCGAAGTATTTTCTTCAGTGACAACACTTAATCCAACCACTTTCTCATTGAAATAGTCTTTGGACCAGCTGGTACAGTTCTTATCGACCCAATGCCAATTGTTAGGATTGTGTACAACCATGTTTCTTGATTTGTTAGTATCTAAAGTAGAGTATTCTTCTCCATATAAATAGTTGGCCAAAGTTTTTCAAAAACTTCTACAGTGGAAAAATCTAGAAATTATCACCGTTGCTACACCCGTAAACCAGGATTATTGTTACTATCTTTTTTATTAAACTATTTAAGCATCAACTTCCATTGCATCCCCACCTAAAGGTATCACGGTTTCTTCGACGTCTACTATATCACGGATATTCTGTCTCAAGACTCCAGTGGTACCTCTTGGGAATTTATAAGATCTAGCCTTTTCACTTCTGACGTTTGGAGTCAAGTAGTTTCTATGTAATTCAGCATCTTTACCAACTTCCATAACGCAAAGATCGACATTTGAACCGGAACCCAAGTCATTCCAGATACCGGCTTCGATTGCACTAGCACATAATTTCATGGCTTCTTCTTTTGTTAAATCTTCTTTCCATTCAGTTTCTAAAACTGCCATGGCAGCTAAAGAACCAGATCCTAATGACTGATAAGACCCAATGTCAGTTGATCCATGAGCTTGAACCGACATCAAATGTGCTCCTGTTGGATCGACCCCTGCGCAAATAAGATATGCTCCTAAATGACCTTGATATTTAAATAAATGTTGTTTTAATAATGTTAAAGCAGTAATAACTCTTGGTTTACGACTTTGATATAATGAATGTAATTCTAAATTGGAGGCAATCAATTGAGTAACCATTTCAGTATCAGCAGCAGTACCAGCACCAGCACACCAGATTCTTGGAGCTAATCGATGTAATTTTTCACAATTCTTATCAGCAACGATAGGACCAGCAGTGGCTCTAGTATCAGCGGCAATCACAACTCCTCCTTTAAACTTACATCCAACAATCGTAGTACCTGTAGATGTGGCCTTTGGTGCACCAAACCCTTGGGTGGTCAAATAGTTATTTCTTTGATAGTTATCAAAACTTAATCCTGCCATATTTCGATTATATATTCTGTTGTTTCAATTCTGTTCTGTTACCCAATAATTGGCTCGATGGTCGTATTTATCACTGCTATCTAGTTATCTAATATACTCAATGCCCTTGTTACTCTTTTGTCAAGGTCTTCAATCTGTTCGTTATACCTCTTTTTTTTGCCTCCCGAAACAAAGAATATCAAAATGTTTTCGCACGACACTTACTTCAAAAACAAAAGACCCGTACATTGAGATCGTCAAACTGGACGTTTGTCTCTCTTCGAGACAGAAACACCATGTAAATAAATAGCTGGAAGGGGAATAAGTTAAGAAAGAACTGGAATTGACCCTGTGGATAGAAGGCAAACAGACCCAATCGCAAGTGTCACCATGATAGATCGATATGGGTATACGGCTCCTGCAAGAGTTAAGGTATTGGTTGTACCAGTGAACGGATGTTCAAAAGTTGATTTTGAAAGATACTTTGATCTTATACGATCTACAGATGAGATCAGATTGCTTGATATACCACCAATTCCCGAATCGCAGTATTTCAATCCTCAGTCTTACCCTCACGGTAAGATAATGTATGAATATAGCTCATCATATCCAGAAGATGAATCGATTTTTTTACATGATTTCGAACCTTTTAGGAAAACTTTCATTGTCATTAGTGTTGGGAAGTACCTGAAAGAGTTTGATTCTCAGCAGTCTTTGAATTCTTTGAAAAAACTGCATCAGAGTTCAATTGTCCATAACTCGATTATATTCGATACTCCTTCAGACTTGATTAAGGACTTGAATCCTCCAAGTAATCATGATTTCAAGCTGGTATTCTACCACGATGGATCAACCGATCATAATATAACAGCAATAGAAACCTTAGTTTGTGAAGTTTCAAGAAATTTTTTATTAGCATTGGATAATTACGCTTCATCTTATCTCAATATAACTTTAAGATCACCAGTTTCAATAACTGATAGTCATATATTGACGCGTGCAATTACTCAGGCTCAGAAAAGACTTACATCGGGATCTTCATCTTTTAAACTCTCATTTAATTCTTCCAATACTTCACCAATTGCTTCCAATGATATAAAATCAAAACATAACGGTAGACAAGCTAAACTATTAGGAAGTTTCTTTCTTTTAGCAGGTAAAACCTCGGATGCCTTACACTACTTCATAGATGCAATCATAAATTTGAAAAAATCTGATGACTTCTTATGGTTAGGTAGTGCAATAGAAGGTCTTGGAATCGCTTCGGTTATGCTTCATTTCTTGAATATTCCTTTCCAATTGAATAATCCTGCTCTACTGTCTGCTCTACAATTTCCAAAGAGTAAATTACAGTCGATCAATTCCGAAACCTCACCTAAAAGACTCTCAAGTGAATCTAAATCAAATAGAAATTCAAATCCAACCCTTATGTCTCCTAGAAATTCTACTGGTAGTAGTGTCAGCTTTAATCTTTCTCAATTATCTAATATATCAAACGGAGACCTTAATAGTTTGCCATTACCAGAATTGATCAAAAGATTAAATTCAAAAGTTTTACACCTATATCATATGAGTACTAATGATTACGAAAATACGGTCCCCGATATTGTTTACATAGAATGCTTACTAAGATCAATTAAGTTTATGGTTTATGTTCATCTTAGTGGACCAGAGATCGACTCACTGGTATTGGAAAGAATTGTTAAATCTAAAACTTGTGGTAACAAATCAGATAATACTTGGTTTACCAAATCAGATATCCTTGCTCAAATTGATAAGGTATTCTCTTTGCAATTAGTGGATATGGATTTCTTTGAACAGTGCAGAATATACTGTGCTTTGGCTTCAATGTATACTGATCTTGGTTTGAAAAGGAAAAGAGCTTTCATATTAAGAATTTTAATTATTGCATTACTACCCAAATTCGAAACTCGCTTAAATGAATCAGTCTTATCTGATTATACCTCTATTGGATCTATAAGGGATATTTTCGATGAATTATTTATAGCGTATGGTATAAATGTTGATCCTGAAAGTACTGCAACGGCTGCTTCTCAACATCCAAATGACTGGGTCTCCTTACAATTACAACTTTTAAAAATCTGCTTGAGAATCCTTGAAGCTATCAAAGATTACTCTTATTTAATTAAATTATGTACTATGCTATTGACTCGTTATACACATTGTTTACCTCCTGCTGATCAAATCGCTTTAAAAGAAAAAATTGATGCATTGATTTATTTATCAGATAGAAATAATCTCAATCTTGAAGCTCCTTATTGGGACCCCTTTTTGATAAGAAAAGTAAAATATGTCTCTAGTAAATCTAAAGATTCTCTAATACCTTTCCCTGAATATGAAAGAGATAATCATAATGTTGGCTTGGTAGATTCGTCACCCAACAAGGATTCAAAATCTTCTACTCCTAAGCCAGATGAGTCGGCTTTAATTTTTAATCCTTACAACAAAGCAAAATTTCCAACATTGAATAAAGAAAGACTTTTAATCAAAAATGAAATTTACCAATTAAAAGTTGCTTTACAAAATCCTTTTTCATTTGAAATTGAAGTCACCGATTTCTCAATAATGACAGAAGGTAATGTTAGTGTTCAAACCTTAAAGCATTTAATGAGACCTGCAACAGTTGTAGGTTTGAATGATCAACAGCTTCCTCCGATAAATCAAACAGCTTCTAAATCAATATTGAATAGCAAACATACCATATCAGCTCCAAAGAGAAATTCATCCAATTATAATTTATCCAATCAGAATGATCACCATTCAGGTAATAATCTCCTTCTACACCCAAAAAGTATCCAATATTTTATTGTTGCATTCAAGCCATTAGAAGCAGGTGCTTTAAGCATTGTAGGGTTTGATGTGGCAATGGGATCATGTAATCCTCAATTCTTTCAAATAATTGATGAGGAATTTTTTGATCATACTCAAAAAATCAAGGTCTTAGAGAAACCAATAGATCCTTTAGGTCCTTTGGAAAGTGTTATAACCAATTTATCTGGCAATAATATTGAAGGTAGGGCCAGTACAAGGACTTTGCAATTAAGTGTAGTTCCTCCTCAACCTACCTTATCCCTCACCAACATCCTGATTAATAATGGTTGGCTAATGTTATTAGAAGGTGAGAAGTATGAATTTTCAATCTGCTTAACAAATCATTCTGATGAGCCAATAAACTATTTGTCATTTTCATTTTGGGATTCAACAATTGAACCTTTAAGTACAAAATTGAATTCTAATACATTGAGTGGTGGTCCTATAATACCTGCTAATGAGGTATATGAGATTGAGTGGTTATTGCTTATGTTTAAACCATTTAGGATTTTAAACAAAGAAGAGATTACATCTAAATACAAAATCATCCAGCCCCATTCAGACTTAAAGATCAATTATGAAATCACTGGTAAAAGAGGAATGAAAGAACTGAGGATTCTCTTGGACTATTCAAATAAATTGGCTAATGATGTTTCCAATAGTTTTGTTAAAAACGTCAACGTGCCACTTAATTTAACTGTCATGCCATCTATTGAACTTATTGGGTGTGATATTTTACCATTACTATCATCATCTTTGCAAGCACTTGATAATGTAATGCCTAAGAATTTGACTTCTAACCTTAAACAAATCTTGGGTTTCATATCAAAGATTATGGATTCAAAAACAGAGGATATAAGTGAGTATTGTTTATTAGTGATTGATATGAGGAACTCGTGGAATGAAAAATTATCATGTAACTTTACATATACCATGGACTTAAATTCTGAATTTAAAGTCGAGGAAATCATTGATCCAATGAAAACTTCTAGGTTTTTATTACCAATTAGACGAATTTCTAGCAATGATATTGATTTATCAAAACCAGTGCCATCTTTGAGAAATAAACAATTTATAAAGAATTACTTTATTACCGATGAAGAAGAACTGAAATTAAGAGAAACTTTTTGGCTCAGATATTCGTTGTTAGAGAAATTGAAAGGTGATTGGGAAACTGTTAACGGCAATCGCAGAGATGGTATAATTAATTTAAGAGGGATCCGATTGAGTCCTAAGATGGCAAACGTTTTAGTTTACAGTAAAGTCCAAATCCATCATACTCTTATTCGAAATGAAATTCCTATTAAAAAGTCTGGACTGCAGTTTTTATTGGATATCGAAGAGTTCTATACTCTCAAAACAAAAATTACCAATAACTCAGAAGACGAAATTAATGCAATTTTGAGACATATTCCGTTCCCATTGGCCACATCAATAGCTACATCAAGCAGCTCTAACACTCATGTTGTTAAGTCCCAAGTATCTATCGACCGTAAAATTCTTGTGAATGGATTACTACAAAATCATTTGGGTGAAAGTATAAAACCACAAGAATCCATTGAAATCGACTTGCCATTCGTTATACTAGAAAAGGGACAGTACGAATGGGGATCTGTTTTGGATGTTTTAAACAAGGACAATATCAAAGTGGTTGGTCGTGAACCAATATATATAGCTGCATCATAGTTTAATCCTTTTTTTTTTTTTTTTTTTTGATTTATTCTTGCATAATAATAAAGTTTTACGGATTAACAAGTATTGTAGAAGCTGATACATTAATAAATAGAATATATACAAGAAATGAAACAAGAGTATGCAAATAAAAAGGCAAATTCACTGCTTTCTATTGTCCAATTTGAAAGGTAAAGGTTGAGCACCTTCGGCTTCTAATTTTTCAATATATCTTTGTCTAATTAAATCATTGAATCTCTTTTCCTGGAAATACTTGAACCAACTAGCAACACACTTATTCTTAAAGTCGTTTCTTAACTCACCACAATTCAGCTCAACCTTGCTTTGTATCTTTGGATCAAGTGAATTATCAATTTTGTTTTCCGTCAAACACTGAAAGAACTTGTCTCTCGAATCCCAGCATTCCAAACGCTTGGACTTATTTGGAGGAGCCTGAACAGTCTCTTCTTTCTGAAAGAATCCCATGGCGTCTTGTATTCTTACTAAAGGAGCTGGTTGGTCTTTTTCTAAAGCCCGTTCTCTTCAATTTTCCAAAGAAAACTGATTGGTCGGAAATTGCCTACCCCGGAAATCTGACCACGTGACGTACGTTGCAAAATTTGACGTGGTTCCGGAACCGGGGCCATAAAAGGCATTTTTCATGCATTTTCAATGGCTTTTTTACTACTGCGAAAAAAAAAAAGTATATAAGCAGATGAGTTTGAAGAAGTAGTTGAAGAAGTAGTTAAATTAGTAGTTGAAATAGCGGAGAAAAGCACAGATAAACAATGACTGGATTTGAAAACCTGGCAGAAGTTCCCTTCGATGTTCAAGAAGATATCAAGGACGTTGAGCACCCAATTTTCAGGATTAAATATAGGTCTAATTCTATTGCCAGTGATACTGCCAGTAGTATTGGAGATGGAGATAATACTAAGTTACCAAATATTAAAGTCTTGGGTACTGGGGGAACCATTGCGTCCAAGGGATCAAGTTCGTATCAAACAGCAGGGTATGAGGTTGATTTAACTATTGAGGATTTGATCAAGTCAATTCCCGATTTATCACATACTTGTGAGTTACATTTTGAGCAGGTATTCAATTTAGACTCCAAAGAATTTGGGACTAAAGAATTGATAGCATTGCATAATAAGATTCAAGAAGATTTACCATTTTTCGATGGGATTGTTATAACTCATGGTACTGATACCTGTGAAGAAACTGCTTTTTTTTTGGAAAGTACTATAAATACTCGTAAACCAATTGTAATTTGTGGGAGTATGAGGCCATCAACATCAATTTCCAGTGATGGGGAGATGAATTTATATCAAGCGTGTGTTGTTGCTGCAAATAAACAATCTCGCGGTAGAGGGATATTGGTAACTTTGAATGATAAGATTGGATCAGGATATTATATTACTAAATCGGATGCAAATTCCTTGGATACATTTAAAAGTTTAGGACAAGGATACTTGGGGAATTTTGTTAATAATGAAGTACATTATTACTATCCACCAAATAGACCAACTGGATTACAAAAATTCAATTTATTAGGAGAAGATGAATTAAAAGATTATAATAAGTATTCGAATATACCAATCTTATATTTCCACCAAAATTTTAATAATGAATTAATTGAATTAATAATTAAACAATTGAAAGTTCCTGGTATTGTTTTAGCAACCATGGGAGCAGGATCATTAGCTGATTCAACTAATAAATTATTAGCCAAATTATCAACGGAATACCAAATTCCAATAATTTATTCAAAAAGATCAATGGATGGTAGTGTAAGTAAAGGATCATTACCAAAAGTTAGTAATAAAGAATATCTTATTGCTGGAGGATATTTAAATCCACAAAAATCAAGAATTTTATTACAATTATGTTTAAATGATAATTTATCAATTGAACAAATTAGAAAAATTTTTAAAGAAGGTTACGGTGGTTAACTCATTTACATAATTACTTGTATAATAAATTAATTACATATATTTGATGTAGTAATGACCATTGCTTAAAAGTCATCAATAATCATTGAGGAGATACATAAAGAGAAATGAGAAAAAAGAAAGGCAATAAGGAAAACAAAAAAACATATTAGAATTATAGAGAGAACCAATAAAGAGTTAAAAAACCATGCATGAAAAAGAAAAGAAATTAGTAACCCATCAACAATTAAGTATTAGCATAAGCAGCATCAACTTTATCTTTACAAGAGTTTAAAATCTTCTTTCTTTGTAATTTTTGAGCAGAAGTAACGAATCCATTTTGAGGAGTCCATTCTTCATCCAAAATGATGGCAGATTGAATTAATTCGATACCTTTTAAACCTTGTGATTTACCGGTAGCAATTAAGGATTTAGTAACTGCTTTAATAACTTTCTTATCATCACATAAATAGGATAAATCTTTAGTTTTAATTTCTGATTCTGAGTAAACTTTTTCTTCAATTAAAAATGATTTAAAATGAGATTCATTTGGTAAAATGATGGCAACTGGTTTAACTTTTGATTGATCGGCATAACAACAGATGTTTAAGACAATTGGGTTCGATCTATAAGTAGATTCTAATTTTTCCAAAGCAATGTATTCACCATTCAAAGTTTTAACCAAATTCTTCTTACGATCGATAATTTTAAGAGCACCATTAGAAGTCCATTCACCGATATCACCAGTTTGAAACCAGCCTTCGTCGTTAAAGGCTTCTTTAGTTTCCTTTTCATTTTTGTAGTAAGCTTTAGTAATACATTTACCCTTTAATAAAACTTCCCCCTGATTATTTTTAGCAAAATAACCGGCGTCAGCGACATCAACCAATTTAGCAGTAATGGCCCCGGTTAAAGAACCAGCAACCCCGTATTCAAAATGATTATGTTCAACAATGGTAGTATTGGCACAAGTTTCGGTTAAACCATAACCAACCAACATTGGAGCAATCAAAGTGGAAATGAAAATTTGAGCATCTTTTGAAATTGGAGAACCCCCATTCAAGACATACTTCAATTCACCACCGGTGGCTGCTTTAACTTTTTTAAAGATAACGTCAAAGATGGAAGCACCGGGGATATGATAATTGGACATGGTGGTTTTGGCTTTATAAGCGGTCCAGAAGATTTTTTGGATTAAAGGAGACATTTGTTTGATTTTAGCCAAAACCCCTTTTCTAACTGATTCCCAAACGGCGGCAACCCCAACCATAATGGTTGGTTTGAATTCTTGTAAATCCGATTGACAGTGTTTACAAGAAACATCGGTTAAAGTTTTAACATTGGCGTAACCTAAACAACCACCCCACCAAATGGCGGTCAATTCGAAAACCAATTCGAAAATATGAGCCAAAGGTAAAAATGCAATCACACGATCATTATTTGAAACCAAATCACGCCCAGCGTTAGTGGAGACCCCACCCACGGCAGCCAAAATGTTTTCATGACTAATGATAACCCCTTTTGGATCACCGGTGGAACCAGAGGTGTACATGATACAAGCCAAATCTTCCGGTTTGATATTGGAGCTTGGTTTCAAGTCGGATTCTTTACCCAATTTCAAGACATCATCATAGGAGAAAAACTTGATATCTGGATTAACTTTCAAAATCTCTTCCTTGGCTTCTTTAGCTTCTTTATAATTTTTACCTTGATTACGTTGATCGGCTTCGTCAATTGGTTCACCATGAATGATATACTTGATCGAAGTGGCTTTACGCAAAGGTTTAATCAATTGCGATAACAAGGCGTTATCGGTGAAAACAGCGTCGGATTCGGTTTGAACCAAAGAATGAGTCAACCCGGACTCCCCAAGAGTATCATAAGCAGTAACTACTGGGATTGATTGAGAAGCAGCGGCCAAAAAAGTTTGTAACCATTTATGAGAAGTAGAGGCAAAAATATGTAATTTTGAAGTTTGATCGGGAGTTAACCCCAAGGAAACCAACCCTTTACCGTAATCTTCAATTAAAGTCAACAAATCGGGGTAATTGATGTATTTGTATTTTGATAATTCAAAAAATGTCCAATCCTTATCAACTTCCTGTTCTTGACCATCGATAATCTTCTTAATCTTTTTGGTTTCAATATGAGTATCAATCAAATCTCTCCATCCCATTGCATTACGTTTACCATGTTTCCCAACACATTCTTTTACAAGTTCTGGAATGGTGGTGGCCTTGATATCAGTTGGTTTTTCGACAGCAGCTTGTTTTTGACTGGCTTTTCTTCTTGGAGCAGTTTCGCCCGGTCTTGCTTCTCCAACAACTACGGTGAGAGGTGACATTTTAATAATAATAACTTAATTGAAACCCTTCAATTTCAATTAGAAAACCTTTCAATTATAAAAGAATAGCAACGCTGGATTTAGTCAGCTATTTAAATGGAAGAGCAGGGAAAAAAAAACAACCAATTCCAAACAAAAAAAAAAAAAAAAAAAAACTTTTGCCAAAAAGCACAATGTTCGAACCCTCAGAACAAAGAAACTGAGACAAACTACTGGAAATGGTGCTGAACGCTATGTATTTCTAGATAATTCTCATGAATTTGGCTTAAAATAGTACTTTTAACCAGGGTGAAAGTCATAAGAGAGTTGGAACTAACCCACTTGGGTGTTTTTATCTCGAGTAATTGTTGTTCTGCAAAGCCAGAAATATTTTTGTAGTAATCGAAGTAAGTTTAGGATTAGTGTTCTGCTTGGGGCCTGGGGGTTATGGTGGTATGGCAGTATCGCTGTAACTGGTAATTGGCTTAACCCACCTGATGCGAGTCTCTGATAAGCTCCAGCCGTGGTTTTATCGGGATTTTATCAAAAGAGGAGCAAATTGTTGGGATAGGCTGCTCAGGCTGGTCGTGTAGCTTGAAACAGGGTTTTCGACCCAACATTTTTGCTGGTGATGCCAGCGAAACCTCGGGCTTATTACTGCAAAATGTTGCAAAAACATGTATTAGGGAGTATTATATATATATTAGACTAATCTTTCTTCGAATCTCAATTCGTTGTTGATGGGTAAACCAACCAATAGTCTCAACAAGTTTTCGATGGCCAATCTTTGTTTGTTCAACCCGTTGATGACTTTGTAGCCTGGTTTGGTCAAGGGGGCCTTTAACCAGTAACTCAAAAGGGTTAAGACCGAGTAAAAATTATGATACTCGTTTGAGTTATCTTTTTTGTAGCTGACTCTCGACAAGAACTCGGTCATGACCACCAAATCAATGATTAACGGGGTTGCCAAAAGCGAGTCTTCGCAAACGTTATGGATACTGATTTTGTTGTGGCCCCCCAACATCAACTCACTGTAGTATTCGTCCATGGCGACCTTACTGTCTTTAACTGCCTGTAAGTATTTGATGACAATACAGTGGTCGATTTTCTTACCCAATTCTTCGTTGTATAAGATTTGGTTACTTTCGATGATATCATCGACGACGCCTCGTTTACTGATCTCCTTACTTTTGAATTGTTTTGGGGAAGATAAGTTATAACCATCGTTATTACCCAAATGATTATAACTGGCAATGGAGATTGGTCTGATACCGGCATCCACCAAGAATTGGGCCAATACCGACTTGATCTTGGTTTGACCACTCTTGAAATCGTCACCACCAATGAAAGTCTGGTTTTTCTCAGCCAATTCAATCACCCCGGGGACAAAAGTATTTTGTGGAGACCCGTTGATGTAAGGAACCCCTTCCAAGATTGATGCAACAGCGAAAACTGTGGAAGGACTCACTTCTGGGTGGTTTTCTTGAATTGATTTGAGTAAATTTTCACTGGTGTCGTTAACCCCATCAATGATATCCGAGTATCTTTCGGTGTTTGCCGTCCATAAAACAATCACTTGTTCTAAATTGTGTTGTTTTTTGAAATTTTGAATATCGCTTCTAATGGTTTCGACATCTTGCCATTTTCTATTGGTGTCGACTTCTTTAGCAGAATCAACGTTAACAACGTTATTGGCTCTTTCCTTTTGGTTCAAAGCAATGAAATCGGGGTAGTATACCGAAGGTTTTGGTTTGATTCCTTTTAAGAATGGAGCCAATTGTTTTTGCAAATCAACATCTAATACTTGAGCTCTTTTCATGGCGGCGTCAAGCTCTAAATTGCTGATGTCCCATCCATCAACAATCAAATCATTTGGATTAAGCATTGGTAAGATTGAGTTGAATGGAGAGTAAACATCATTGCCTTCCTTGTCAACCCCCAATTTAATGGTGGAACTTTGAGTAACCGAACCAAAATAATTTGGTTTAACAACCCCTTCTTTATTTTCAAAACTGATTTGGTGTTTATTGGTGAGAACCGATCCTAATAACGTAGTACCATTATTACCACCCAATCCAACTAATAATAACCCGGTTTTCTTGGGCTTTAATGAAGTACGGAACTCATAGTCAATCGAGGTGGGTGTAACATCATAAGTTCCAATTTCATTTTTTTCAACAATTGAATTCTCATAAGTGAATTGAGTAAACAATTGATTATCTTTTTGATTGGTTTTAGTAGATTTGAATTGAACGGACATTTTTGATTAATAAAATGATTTTTTCAATTACAATTTCTACACGGATTCGTCTGCTATTTATACTCTTTCCTCCCAGTACCCATAACAATCAGGAATTCGCCAAATACCTAACTTTTGCTCGATCCTCCTTAACTTTTTTTCAAGCCCGCCGAAATTTCGGCGAAATGGCTTGGGCTGGGAGTGTACACAAACAATACATGTGAATATCCCTAAACACGTATTGTCTGTGTTGGGTCGTCTATTCAAGGTATGTTGATTTCGGCGAAAACCTCTACCCCTATTTGAATCACCAATGGTTGGCGTGTCGATGTGGCTGGATTTGGTTAATTTAACAAAGCATGTTTGTATGAATCGGACGGCCATTCTGTTTACAACCATGGCCATCCGCTATTAGACTTTACACTATTGCATTTTTTAACTCATTCCTTGTAGCCATTCCTAGCTCAATCAATTCCTACCTGAGCTTACTCCTTGTAGCCATTCCTACCTCAATCAACTCCTATCTGAGCTTACTCCTTGTAGCCATTCCTACCTCAATCAACTCCTACCTGAGCTTACTCCTTGTAGCCATTCCTACCTCACTCCTTGTACTATTTAAACATTGGTTTCCTTTTTCTTATTCTAGTATCCATTGTTGGTCGACTACAGTCCATTACATAGATTGCAGAATATATCAATTTTTTGGAAATTAGTACGATTTTGTGCAGAAATGGTTAATTAACAGCCAAATACAAGTGAGATACGGAGCTCTTTCACAATAATACCAAAATATGAAGTCTCGAGTAATTGCCCGGATTTACAATATACTCCTTATAATATACTCCCTACAATATACTCCTTATAATACTCCTTATAATACTCACCCCTACAATAACTCTTTATACTCACCATACGCTGTGCTTTATACTCTTCCGTATACAAATTTGCAGTACAGCACAATAGACCCAGACACCACACGCACGTGACCTCGCCTTTTTCCCCTTCCGCGTTTATTCGGAGCCGGAGTGCACTAGAAAAGGGTGTGCCGGGACCGAGAGTGCGTCGGAACCGATCAATTTATATACTACTCAACGATCATTGGCCAATTAAAAGCTGAACAAGCTGAAAAAGTCCGAATATACTATTGATTCAGGAGAAAACAAGAGTATAAGATAGCTTAGAAGACAGTAGACCGTAGGCACCACCGCCGGAATGTAGAGAGGAAGTGGAGGATACCCGGAGAAATGTAAATTAGAAAGTCCGCAATTGATCCTTTTTGAAAAAAAATCAAAGTAATAGCTACACCATCTTCGATCTTTTTTTTTTTTTTTTTTTCTTTTCGAAATTTTCCCTTCCTCTTCCCAAACCTTTTTCTTTTTAGGTTCTTGCTCTTTTCAAGGTTTTCTATAAAAGTATTCTTAAGACCCTAAAAAACATCGATCATGTTTAGACAATTAACTAGAACATCCTTTTTAGCTCCAAGATTGACCAGAAGTTATATTGCTGGTCAATTCACTGGTTCTAAAAAAGCCAATGGTAAATATACCGTTACTTTAATTGAAGGTGATGGTATTGGTGTTGAAATTTCTCAAGCCGTTAAAGATATTTACGCTGCAGCCAATATTCCAATTGAATGGGAACCAGTTGATGTTACTCCATTATTAATTGATGGTAAAACTACTTTACCTCAACCAGCTGTTGATTCAGTTAATAGAAATTTGGTTGCATTAAAAGGACCATTAGCTACTCCAGTTGGTAAAGGTCATACTTCCATGAATTTAACTTTGAGAAGAACCTTTAACTTATTTGCTAACGTTCGTCCATGTAAATCAATCGTTGGTTACGATACTCCATATCAAAATGTTGATACTGTTTTAATTAGAGAAAATACTGAAGGGGAATATTCTGGTATTGAACATACTATTGTTCCTGGTGTTGTTCAATCCATTAAATTAATTACCAAACCAGCTTCTGAAAAAGTTATTAGATATGCTTTTGAATACGCTAAATCAATTAATAAACCTCATGTTTTGGTTGTTCATAAAGCTTCGATTATGAAATTATCTGATGGTTTATTTGTTGAAACTGCTAAAGAAATTGGTAAAGAATATCCTGATGTTTCATTAGATTTTGAATTATTAGATAATACTTCTTTAAAATTAACTGCTGATCCAAATGAATATAAAAACGTTGTTATGGTTATGCCTAACTTATACGGTGATATCATGTCTGATTTATCGTCTGGTTTAATTGGTGGTTTAGGTTTAACTCCTTCTGGTAATATGGGTAATAAAGTTTCTATTTTTGAAGCTGTTCATGGTTCTGCTCCTGATATTGCTGGTAAAGGTTTAGCTAACCCAACTGCTTTATTGTTATCTTCTTGTATGATGTTAAGACATATGTCTTTAACTGAAGAAGCTGATAAAGTTGAAACTGCAGTTTTGAAAACTATTGCCGCTGGTCCTGAAAATAGAACTGGTGACTTGAAGGGTACCGCTACTACTAAACATTTCACTGAACAAGTTATTGCTAACTTGTAAATTTAATCTTTATTCAATATATTCAAATATTATATACTTTTTTAAGTTTTTGATTTGTAAATTATGTAATTGATTTTATTGTATTTGATTTAATATTATATTGGTACCTTGTACAATTGCAATATGTTCTAAATCATGAACTCTTTCTTCATATTCTTCTAAGCTTTCTTCTTTACGTAATTCAAGTTCTTTAATTAAAATTGGGGTTCCTCTGTCAACTTGGGTAATTACTTTATGTATCATTACTCCGGCAATTTGAATCTTCCCTTCTTGGCCTTCTTTCCATGCTCTTTCAATTGCATGTGTTCCATCAAACGCTCCTGGTAATGCGGGATGTAAATTGATGATTGGAATTCCATCGTCTTCCAATGGTTTTAATACACTTGATGATAATATTAACATCCATCCAGCACAAACAATTAAATCCGGTTTAACATAGTTCGAATCAATACTACCTTCCTTATTGCCATAGATTAATAAATTGGCTAAATGTTTATTGAATTCCTCTCTTTTCTCTTTCCTTTTCTCTATGTCTTCCTTTGGTATTCCTTTATAATATTCTTTCAACATATGACTTTTAGTTGGAATCGATGCATTTTGGGCTCGAGTCAATCCATATGCTTGATCGCTCGACGAAATCACCTGAGTGATCGTCCCCTTCAACTCATTGGCCGCTTGCGCGTCGATCAACGCTTGAAGATTCGATCCGGATCCTGATATAAGCACAGTAATGTTTAATCCCATCCTTGATAAAGAAGAGTAGCTCATCTTGATTAATACTTCTGACTCGGTTTAATCATAAATCATCGAGTGAAACCCGTACACCCAATTAACTTGTTCTTTTTTCTTTTCAACACCTGGATGTACGGGTGTTTGCTTACTGAAAAACTTCCATTTTTTCTCCTTCTCCTTAAGATCTCTGCTGTCTTTCACCTACTGCTCCATAGATCAAGGTAACCACTGCAGTATCCAGTATCCAGTAGCCAGTAGCATTCAGTAGCACCCACTTGTCTCTTATCATCTGGTCCCAATTACTGTTCCGGGTAACTTTTGTCGCGGCTCATCGCAATACAAAACCCAGTGCCCACAGTAAATCTGAGTCCGTTCCTCAAATTACGCACTCCGCACACCGCCGTCCAATTCACCAGGTGGCCGGCGGCTCTACATGCCCAACCAATTGCCCCTGGTGGCAGCCAATTGACACCTCGCTGACTTTACCACGAAGCTGTCAAGGGCCTCTTCTGAAGACCAGGAAGACCTGTAGCCGTCCTCGTGTGGGCGGATCCCTCTCAATTTTGGGACTCTTTTTTTTTTTTTTTTTTTTTTTTTTTTTTTTTTTTCACCTCACGCTCATTTTTTCCTTTGTCCAAAGCATTTTCTCAATTTTCCCTTTTGCTTAAAGAACGAAAAAAAAATTACTTTCCTTTACTACTTTTTTCTTTCTTGTTCTAGGTTCAACAACACTTAAAACATTAAAAATGGGTATGTAATTGAGTTTGAAGGGATTCAGCTGGACCGTTCGGTCATTTGATTGGATAGGGAGTGGGTGCTGTGTTTGCTGGCGGTGTTTGCCCCTTGAAAATTTCAGATTGATCTTGAGAAGAGGGAGAAAAATTTTCTCTGGTTCAAAAAAAAAAAGTGAAAATTTTGCTGAATCTCGATAATTGATATGAAGATATAGAATACTAACAATGATATAGTTGCTTTCACTATTGAACAAATCCGTGGCTTAATGGACAAGGTTACTAACGTCCGTAACATGTCCGTTATTGCCCACGTCGATCACGGTAAATCCACCTTGACTGATTCTTTGGTTCAAAGAGCTGGTATTATTTCTGCTGCTAAGGCCGGTGAAGCTAGATTCACTGATACCAGAAAAGATGAACAAGAAAGAGGTATCACCATTAAATCCACTGCCATTTCTTTATATGCTGCTATGGAAGATGATGATGTTAAAGAAATCAAACAAAAGACTGAAGGTAACTCTTTCTTGATTAACTTGATTGATTCCCCAGGTCACGTTGATTTCTCCTCTGAAGTTACTGCTGCTTTACGTGTTACCGATGGTGCTTTAGTTGTCGTTGATTGTGTTGAAGGTGTTTGTGTTCAAACTGAAACCGTTTTACGTCAAGCTTTAGGTGAAAGAATTAAACCAGTTGTTGTTATTAATAAAGTTGATAGAGCTTTATTAGAATTACAAGTTACCAAAGAAGATTTATACCAATCTTTCTCCAGAACTGTTGAATCCGTTAACGTTATTATTTCTACTTATGTTGACCCAGTTTTAGGTGACTGTCAAGTTTACCCAGACAGAGGTACCGTTGCTTTTGGTTCTGGTTTACACGGTTGGGCTTTCACCGTTAGACAATTCGCCACCAGATACTCTAAGAAATTCGGTGTTGACAGAATTAAAATGATGGAAAGATTATGGGGTGACTCTTACTTTAACCCAAAAACTAAAAAATGGACTAACAAAGATAAAGATGCTGATGGAAAACAATTAGAAAGAGCTTTCAACATGTTCGTTTTAGATCCAATCTTTAGATTATTTTCTTCTATTATGAATTTCAAAAAAGATGAAATTCCAACCTTGTTAGAAAAATTAGAAATTAACTTGAAAGGTGATGAAAGAGAATTAGAAGGTAAAGCTTTATTAAAAGCTGTTATGAAAAAATTCTTACCAGCTGCTGATGCTTTATTAGAAATGATTGTTATTCATTTACCATCTCCAGTTACTGCTCAAGGTTACAGAGCTGAAACTTTATACGAAGGTCCATCTGATGATGCTGCTTGTAATGCTATCAGAAACTGTGATCCAAACGGTGATTTGATGGTTTACGTTTCCAAGATGGTTCCAACCTCCGATAAAGGTAGATTCTACGCTTTCGGTCGTGTTTTCGCTGGTACCGTTAAATCTGGTCAAAAAGTTAGAATTCAAGGTCCTAACTATCAAGTTGGTAAAAAAGATGATTTATTCCTTAAAGCTATTCAAAGAACTGTTTTAATGATGGGTAGATTCGTCGAAGCCATTGATGACTGTCCAGCCGGTAACATTGTTGGTTTAGTTGGTGTTGATCAATTCTTATTAAAATCTGGTACCATTACCACTTCTGATGCTGCTCACAATATGAAGGTTATGAAATTCTCTGTTTCTCCAGTTGTTCAAGTTGCTGTTGAAGTTAAAAACGCTAACGATTTACCAAAATTGGTTGAAGGTTTAAAGAGATTATCCAAATCTGATCCATGTGTCTTAACTCAAATGAATGAATCTGGTGAACATATTGTTGCTGCCACTGGTGAATTACATTTGGAAATTTGTTTATCTGATTTACAAAACGATCACGCTGGTATTCCATTGAAAATTTCTCCACCAGTTGTTTCTTATAGAGAAACTGTTGAAGGTGAATCTTCTATGGTTGCTTTATCTAAATCTCCTAATAAACATAACAGAATTTACGTTAAAGCTCAACCAATGGATGAAGAAGTTTCTCAAGATATTGAAAATGGTGTTATTAACCCAAGAGATGATTTCAAAGCTAGAGCTAGAATCTTGGCCGATAAACACGGTTGGGATGTTGCTGATGCCAGAAAAATTTGGTGTTTCGGTCCAGATGGTAACGGTCCTAATTTGGTTGTTGATCAAACCAAGGCTGTTCAATACTTGAATGAAATTAAAGATTCTGTTGTTGCTGCTTTCCAATGGGCTACTAAAGAAGGTCCAATCTTTGGTGAACAAGTTAGATCCGTTAGAGTTAACATTTTAGATGTTACTTTACACGCTGATGCTATTCACAGAGGTGGTGGTCAAATCATTCCAACCATGAGAAGAGTTACCTATGCTTCTATGTTATTAGCTGAACCAGCTATTCAAGAACCAGTTTTCTTGGTTGAAATTCAATGTCCAGAAAATGCCATTGGTGGTATTTACTCTGTTTTGAACAAAAAGAGAGGTCAAGTTATTTCTGAAGAACAAAGACCAGGTACTCCATTATTCACCATTAAAGCTTACTTACCAGTTAACGAATCTTTCGGTTTCTCTGGTCAATTAAGACAAGCTACTGGTGGTCAAGCTTTCCCACAATTGATCTTTGATCACTGGGCTAACTTGAATGGGGATCCAACCGATCCAACCACCAAACCTGGTGCCATTGTCAAAGAAAAGAGAGAACGTTCTGGTCAAAAACCAGAAGTTCCAGGTTATGAAGAATACTATGATAAATTATAAGCTAATTAACAAATCATTTCTTGTCTTATAGTTTATCAATATTAGTTTTTTTTTTTCATTTTCCTTTTCTGTTCTTTCCATTTAACGCTTCTTTAAATAATTTTATCATTTTGTTTATTAATCACTTTACGTGAGAAATATATGAATATCTTATACATTGCCCTGTTGTAGATGTCCTGGCTCGTATAATATGCATGTCCTGCCAGCTGGTCGGATACCCTCTCGGGTATAACCCCAAAAAGGTCTCTTCCGATGGATTATTTTTTCACCGTTTTCCTTCCGAGCTTTCCACAATTGAAAAATTCCTGACAAAACACCCATACCTTCCCTGTCCATGGTCGTAACCTGAAGGCTGCCCAACCCCCCCGATCAAGGGGTCGGTGCACAACAGCAACTCCTACATTGTATTCCAAATCAGCAGTTACTGTCGTTTGTTTTGCTAGGTTCATTAGTCATGGATTATCGGCCGATACGGATTCTCAACTGAGTTTTTTTTGTTTTTTGTTTTATTATTTTTTTCTTTTGTTTTTTGTCTCATCTTTTGACAGCATCTTTAAGCCTTACTAATCCGCAAACAGATAATTAATTGAATGGTTCACTCCATTGGGTTATGCTTGCGTGGGTTGGCGAGGGTGGAGATGTAGAGTCGATGAGGTAGATGTAGATGTAGCAAGAGCAGACGGAGTTGATTAGAAGCAAAGATGGAGAAGGAAGCTGTCGGGAATTAGACCCATCCGTGCAGTTCCTTTACAGAAAAAACTCTCCTTTGCTGCAGCTTTTAACGTGTTTTTCGAGGTTTTCCGATTAGTAAGGTATTTAAATACAACTTTTCTTCCTTTCCATCGAGTGAGTAGGTGTTTCTCATCTATAGTACTGTTTCAGAGTGTCCAGAGTCCGTTAAAACAGTTAAGGTTGTTGAGTAACATAGGTTTATTCGTTTTTTCTTTTTTTTTTCACTACGATTATTTGTAACCGTATTAGCCGTTTGAAAGAATTGAAGTAAAGATGGCGGAAGACTCAATAGTGCAAGAGATAGTGAAGAAGATTCAGAAGCTTGATGCTCAAGATTCAAAGATTGATAACTATAAGATAATTCTGATCAGTTGTTCAGTGTTATTAATAATCATATATTACTATAGATATTTAAGTATAAGTAAAAATATCCCCCAGGGGTATTCGGAGGATTTCAAATCGTTGACCATACTTATAATCACGTTATGTGGGTGGAATGCCATCTTGACGTTGATATCCAACGATATGGTGTTGAATTTAAAGCATTTTCTTAAATTAGTCAACTCGATTTCGAATCCTAGAATCGAAAATGAAGTCAACGAATTCTTAAGTGGGATACCCAATGTTTTCTCCATTAGAAATTGGTATGTTTTCGGTAAAGATTTGAGAATAGCTTCTTTTGCCATAATATCAATGATATTTTTCAATTTATTTGCTAATTCAATATCAAAAGCAATCGAGTATATTGCCTTTATCAAATCCTCTAGTTTCTACCATCATTCTCCAAATGATACCAGTGGCGTAAACTTGCTTGACGATGATGATATTGAAAAACTCTTGATGAATGCATCTACTTCCGGGAGTACGTCAAATGATTCTTCTTCCACTAAATTGAAGAAAAAAGTCTCCTTCGATAATACCTTGACCACTTTCAGTTACCTGGATAATGACTTGTGTGTTACGAAGAAAGTGAAGCCGATTTTGCAAAATTTTGTTCATATTGATTCTTTCAAAATCATGAAAAAATCAATAATGATTACCTTAACTTTTATCCTATTCATTTCAATTTTACCAGAAAAATTATACTTGAATTCAACCTCCTTTTTATATTCTTCAAATCAGCTAATAATCAAGTTTGATCATGTATATTATACCTTGATCACCTTTTATATCTACGAGGTTTTCCATAAATTCATCAAAGTTGCAAATCATCCCAACTTTAAAAATTTCCCTTATCTTACTTCGATGGCTAGTCATTTTACCTGGGGTTATTGCTCCCTTATATTATCTAGCTCAATTGGGTTCATTCTTTTATCGGGTGATGTCTTAACTAATGTCTTGGGGTTAATGGCTCAAACTATGATTTCTTATTCTTCTCACCCAAATATTCAATCTTCAGATACCGTTCCTCGTCATTTTGTCACCTCCATCATCATTAATTATTTGCAACATAGTATAGGCCCAGCAATTAACAGTATCAATGATACTAATCTAGATGATTCAATGACTTCTTTAACTAATACTTTTATCTGGGTCAAGTCTATCTTTACCAACTGTTGGATTGTCACAAACTTCACCTGCTTTCTCTTATTGCCCATCTTTATCTGGATTGTGATTATTGAATTCAAAATTGGGTATAATAAGTCTGCCCATTTTTGATCTAATGTGACAAGCTCTTTTTAATGATTGATGAAATAAAGAAAAAAAGGGAAAAAAATATATCACTTAGTACATAGTCTTAATGTTAATTATTCAACTACCATAGATTGTAGAGGCCGTAAACTACTATTTTTGCAGCTCTGTGAAATTCTGCTGGATCGTGGTTGTTAGATCTTCTTCTTTTGGTTGGCTGCGTAAACACTATCCCCTTTAGGAAGGTGGGTGAGCACCCGTTTGTTAGCGGATGTTTTGTCCCGATAAGGCAATAGATAACACTGAACGAGTGCAACCATTTGCCAATAAATGGTTTGATTATAGCGATGACATCCCCAAAAGTGATAACGGAAATTACTACTTGATATATATCTCTTGATTAATCTTGAAAAAATTATTATTATATAAATCCAGCGTATTCCTTGGGAAATTATAATTTTCAAAATTGTTTTTATCATTGACTTATTTCACTTCTCTAACTAGAAATGGAAAGATTACAACAACTTGCCCGTCAAGCTACATCAGCTTCAACTCCTCCAAAGGCTCCAGCTCATCCTTTGGATCCTCTTTCTCCTCAAGAAATTCAATTCACTACTTCAATCATTAAGAACAAGTTTGCTGGTCACTCAATCATTTTCAATACTGTTTCTTTGAAAGAACCAAAAAAGAATTCTTACTATCAATGGAAAGAAAAAAATGGTCCATTACCTCCACGTTTAGCTTATTTTGCCATTGTTGAACTGGGTGTTAGCGGTATCCATGAAGGGGTTGTTGATATTGGTGCTTCTGCTGTCGTTGAATCTAAATCAATTGAAGGGGTTCAACCAATTCTTACTCCTGCTGATTTACAAAGTACCGAAGATATTGTTAGATCTAATCCAGAAGTTATTAAACAATGTGAAATTAGTGGTATTAGTAAAGATGAAATGCATAAAGTTTACTGTGATGCTTGGACTATTGGTTATGATGAAAGATGGGGTGCTTCTAGAAGATTACAACAAGCTCTTATGTATTTTAGAGCTGATGAAGATGAATCTCAATATTCTCATCCTTTAGATTTCTGTCCAATTGTTGATATGAATGAAAAGAAGGTGATTTTCATTGATATTCCAAATAGAAGAAGACCTGTTTCAAAACATAAACACTCTTCTTTCCATCCAAAACATATTGCTGAAAAATTCGGTACTAAAGAAAATCCTTCTGGTTATGTTGAAGATAAACAAATCAATATTACTCAACCTGAAGGGGTTTCCTTTAATATGAACGGTCGTGTTATGGAATGGTCAAACTTTAAATTCCATATTGGTTTCAATTATAGAGAAGGTATTGTTTTAAGTGATATCACTTATAATGATCATGGTAAAGAAAGACCTCTTTTCCATAGAATCTCTTTAAGTGAAATGATTGTTCCTTATGGTTCTCCAGATTTCCCTCATCAACGTAAACATGCTTTAGATATTGGTGAATATGGTGCTGGTAACTGTTCTAATAGTTTGACTCGTTCTTGTGATTGTAAAGGTGTTATTCATTACCTTGACCATTATTTCCCTGATAAAGATGGTAATGCTACTACTTTACAAAATGCTGTTTGTATTCACGAAGAAGATGATGGTTTATTATACAAACATTCTGATTTCAGAGATGATTTCCAAACCTCTGTTACCGTTAGAGGTAAAAGATTAATCATTTCTCATATTTTCACTGCTGCTAATTATGAATACTGTGTTTACTGGATTTTAAGACAAGATGGTACCATTAAATTAGAAGTTAGATTAACTGGTATCTTGAATACTTACGTTTGTGCTGAAGATGAATCAAGTGGTCCTTGGGGTACCGTTGTTTATCCTCAAGTTAATGCTCATAATCATCAACATTTATTCTCTTTAAGATTACATCCAAGAATTGATGGTGATAATAACTCCGCTGCTACCAGTGATGCTAAACCATCTCCATACCCAACTGGTTCTGTTGAAAATATGTATGGTAATGCTTTTTACGCTGAAAAGAATACTTTCAAAACTGTTAAAGATTCTATTACCAATTTCGAATCTAAAACTTCTAGATCTTGGGATATCTTCAATCCTTCTTCCATTAATGAATACTCCGGTAAACCAGCTACTTATAAATTGGTTTCTACCTTCTGTCCTCCATTATTAGCTCAAGAAGGTTCTTTGGTTCGTAAGAGAGCTCCATGGGCTGCTAACACTACTCAAGTTGTTCCTTACCAAGATGAAGGTTTAGGTTACGGTCGATTATGGCCATCTGGTGACCATGTCGCTCAATGGAGTGGTGATGGTCCAAGAGGTATGAGAGAATGGGTCGGTAAAGGTACTGATAATGTCGATAACACCGATATTCTTTTCTTCCATACTTTTGGTATCACTCACTTCCCATCTCCAGAAGATTTCCCAGTCATGCCAACTGAAATCTTTGATCTTATGTTAAGACCAAGACATCTCTTCAAAGAAAGTGCTGCTTTGCAATTCCGTCCTTCGAATGCTAGAACTACCAGTGAAGTTAAAAGTAACCGTCCTGGTCTCCAAACTCTTGACAAAGCTTCTAGATTGGCATTCACTGGTGATTGCTGCAAGAAATAAAGTTGAACTTTTCCCTTTCTCCTATTTGTATATTCAGTTAAATAATAGATTTTAATTATGTGTTTTAGTTAATGATTGTAGAAACATTGTAATGAATCTTTCGCAACCAATTTAACAAACAAACATCCGTACAATTTTCAGTAGCAAGAAAGATCTCAAAATTTTTTTTTTTTCAGTTCATCATCTCTTTGACTGTGAAAACGAATATCATTGGAGAAAAGGCAAACAGAATGAAGTACATTATAGAGCATATGGAAGAAGGATTCTCCGAATGGGTTATCCTCGAATACACACAAATTATCAAAGAGGTTGGAAAAGAAAACCTTGTTTTGACCTCATTACCAGCAAACACAACTGAAAAAGATATTCCTGAACGATTAATTTCCTTGGGTTTACAATGGACCACAAAAGAATGTGTTGAAATAGACAATAGATTAGATAAATCAAAGGTTTGCTTATTAGATCCAGCTGCAGAGACAGACTTGGTTCCTGAAGATGCCTCCAAATATGAATACTTTGTATTCGGAGGTATTTTGGGTTCCCATCCTAGAATTGACAGAACAGGTATTTTAAGAAAGAAATATGGATTTGCAGGTAAAAGATTAGGTAGTTTACAAATGACTACTGATACTGCAATTAGAACTACTCAAAAAATTGTACAAGATCAAATCAAATTTGAAGATATTAAATTCATTGATTATCCAGAAATTAAATATAATAAATACGAATCAACTGAAATGCCATTTCGTTACGTTTTAGATAAAGAAGGCACCCCTATTTTACCTGAAGGTATGTTAAAGCTTATCGAACATGATGCTGAGCAAAGTATTGATGATTTGTTATTAGAATAAATAATGATTGTACATTCCATATATATACGTTCTATTTATAAACTTGGGCGGTCTTTCTTTCAACTGGTGATCTATCAGACGCCAAAACTTCTTTCATTATAAAACCTGCAGTATCTTGATCTTCAAAATATGATACATGAGCACTGATTGCTGAAACAAGCGAGATATCAAACACACCCATTGGTAATGAATAATCAATTCTACCTGATCTATTCAAAGCTGTTAAATCTTGTAAGTCTTTCTCACTCAAACTCTTCTTTTTGATTATATCATCTGGGTCTTGATTCTCGGAAGATTTCGTAATATTTTTGATAATATCACCTAAAGCATTTTCTTCGGATGCTAGCTCTTCTGTGGTCTTAGGAACCTCAATATCCTTCGCTTCCTCCTTGGTTTTAGATTTATTGAACCAACTGGTGGCTTTTATAAATTTTTCAGAAAGTTCATCACCAAGGCTTGCCAAACCTTTTATTTGAGTATTGAAACCTTTCATAGCAAATGGAACTTCCTCCGGTCTTAAATTAGCGAAACGAGGGGAAACTAAAGGCTCCATTCTATATCCAACAGGATCACAAGGATGGAAAATGTTATATAAATTTTTGCACTCTGGAGAGACACAAAATTTACTATTTGGATCCTTTTCATTGATCAATTGTTTAGCTTTAATGTTGGTTTGTTCTAATAATTTAAACACACCCACAGGAGATCCAACACAAAATAAATTTTCAACTTCGAATGATAACGTATTAGGTTTTTCTTTTTCAAAATGTTTTGAAAGAATATCAAACGATATTGCTGAACCTAAAGAGTGTCCCATTATGTGGATTTTACCATTAAAATTTGGATTTTTTTCTTTATAGAGTTTATAAACCCTATTGAGTTCTTTAATTACAGCGTCAAAAACTTGATTCACATATTTTGGTTCATAATATAATAAAACATCAAGTACAACATCACCCAAAATATTTCTTAAAGGTTTGACACCATCCACGTTGATTTCAGATAGAGAAGGTAGTCTATGATTACCATTTTCATCATATGATTGTAGTTTCCTTGTAGGGTGGAAATCAATTTTATGCCTCCAAGATATTGGTAATACTTGAATTTTATTATTTTTAAATTGGGGTTTTAATTCACCCTTTTCCTTCATTTCATTTACATCATCGTCAGGATAAGCCAACTTTTGGTATCTATCGTCATGAAGATAAACGTTATTCATGGTTGATCTTAAAACATTGATTGAGTGAGTGAAATTAACTGATTCATATTTATGGCCCAATACTTGACCAATACCATGAATACAAAGAATTAAATGATCAATTTGTCGATTTGACGTACTTTCAGCATTTTCCAAGTCCATTAAATTATTCAAGTCATTAGTTTGTTTTTCACGGTCAGCTAATTTTTTATCTTTATCATCAGTTTTTTGATTTGGATTAAATGAATCGTTAAATTCATCATGAAATATTTCCGATAAATCAGGCAATGGGTTAGAAGGTAGGTTATCAAATATTGTTTTACCCATTTCTTCAGTATACCCTCTAGATATTTTTTCCACTGACATTAAAGAGATTGAACTAGCACCAAAGTTTCTGATTACATCTAATTCAAAATCACTATTCATTGAGCTTGGAAACATTACTGCATTTCTTTCATCACAATATAACACTGTTTTACCATTTTCTAAGTCAAGCAAATCAAGATGTTTACTTTGAATATCCTTGAGGGATTGATCTTTCAACTTTAATTCTTCATCCGCTTTCTCCTCTATTTCCTTTTGAGCTTCTTTTAATTGGTGTTTATTCTTATCCTTAACCGATTTATTAAACTTATTGACAGTTTCTTTTGAAATTTTCGATAATAATTTACTCTTCGTATCTTTAATATCATCTCCGTACAAGTAAGGCTTTTTCGCTTGGTAACCACCTTCAATAATTTGAGTTAAAGAATGAGACAAAGGTAGACCATTTGAGTCAAACCAGCATCCTCTTCTAACCTCATAAACTGGACCTTCCCAATAAACTGGTGACAATTCAAAGTTTTTCAAGTTAACTTGGAAAAGGCGATCTTCACTGACTTGAACAGTTTGGTCAATTGAATCATCTGTGATTGATTGGTAACATTTCTCTAAACGAAATGAATCGTAATTGGAAAACGGGATAAACTTCTCGGGTTCCTTGGATTTAGTATACTCGTACCAGTCAGGCTTGGAGTTTGGAATATCAGCAGCATAAAACCATTTAACTTTCAACTTGGGTGTCTTAATATCGGACCCAAAAGCATCAGTTGATGTTGAATTTGACCTGAATTGCATCCTTATGCTACTCTTAACCTTGTACGAATACGCAAGTCGTATACAGTATCCTTTGTATAAGTTATTCATACTCGTTTAGCGTACGATTAAGTGATTAAACTTCTGTTGAAACTTTTCGTACTTATTTTGATTTTTTTTTTTCTATTAGCAGCAACTTTAGACTGTAGAAACAAACGACCCTTAACCTTTTCTACCGGAAAACAACCGTTTCTATCGGAAAACCAAACTACAATATAATTAAATTATGAATATTATGATCTATTACTTATACTATAATACGAAAAAAAATTAAAAATTAGAGAATAAAAATAATGACGGGAAAAAAGGGGAATCGAATAAGAAAAATAAATTATAATAAAAAAAAGGTAAGGACGGGAATCCAGAGTGAAAATCAAGTTATCAAAAAAATTTTAAAGTCAAATGGAGAAATGCAAACATTAAACCAGATGTCAAAAAAAAAAGGGAAAAGGTATTTTTTTTTGGATTTTTTTGAGTTTTTCTTAATATAATTCATTTTTGATTAGGAGAATGAAATGAAAGATTAAATTAAAAAGGGAGTGTTTGAAAAAAAAAGATAAAAGAAATATGATAAACATGCTAAAAATAAAATAAAAAAATTTAATCAAATCAAAAGTGGGAATGTGGGAATATGATTTGAAAATATCTTTTTAAGTTCATTTTTTGCAATTAAAATAAATCTAATAAATCTAAGTAGATTTTTCATGTTGAGTAGAAACTCTTTGCATGGATAATAAGAAATCTTCAATAGATCTACCATCTCTTTGTGGTTTGTTTGATTTACCGTTACAGAAGTTATCGAAAGCAACGGATTCAGACATTAAGTAGTAAGCACCACCCATGACACAGAAGACACCAAAAGAGAAAATCCAGGTTCTGACAACGGTAACAATGTCAGTCCAGTTTTGAGACCACCAACCGAATAAGGTGAAACAAGTGGCGATGATATCAACAATCAAGACAGCACCACCTAATTGCCATGATGGAATAGAAGACCAGAATGGACCTTGAGCTCTAGTAATGAAAATTAACCAGTTTTCAGTTAAAGAAATTTCCAAGAATAAGATACCATCTAAACCACCGAAGTTTTGAATGATACCACCTTTCTTCATGAACATAGTAGTTAAAGTGATCCAAGTACCGACAGCTAAAATGATACCCAAGATAATAGACATACCCCATAATCTTGGAGTGTTCCATTTAACTGGAGCTGGATCATAAGGAGCATTATCATAAGCAATGGCTAAAGTAGCAACATCAGCGAAAATGGCAATGAAAACAACTAAATCAATGTTTAAAGAGTTGTTCAAGATAGCAACCCATAAACCTAAGAAGATTTCCAAATGTAAAGATAAAGCAATACGGTAAACAACATAAGCATACATTCTGTGGAAAATTTGTCTAGAAGTTTTTAAAGCATCAATAATAGCAGATAAACCAGGAGCCAAGAAAACAATATCAGCAGCAGAACGAGCAGCATCGGTAGCACCTTCAACAGCAATACCAGTATCAGCTTTTTTCAAAGATGGAGCATCGTTAACACCATCACCAGTCATGGCAACCAAGTAACCACGTTGTTGTAAAATTTCAACGGCATTATATTTATGTTGAGGGAAAACTTCAGCAAAACCATCAGCATTTTCAACAAAATCAGCAATTTCAGAACCAGCCATGTCACCACCACCGGATAAACCTAATCTATCAGCATCATAAATGTTAGTACCTAAACCTAATTGACGACAAGTTTCTTTAGCAATACCAACAGCATCACCAGTCAACATTTTAACGGATAAACCTAAACGTCTAGCTTCATTAACAGTGGCAGCAGTATCATCTCTTGGAGGATCCATACAAGGCATAATACCCAAGATTTCCCAGTGACCTTCACCTCTCTTTCTAGCAACACCCAAAGATCTGAAACCTCTGGAAGCAAATTCAGCAACGGTGTTTTGATAGTTTTCGTGAACGTCTTCAGGAATTGGGTGATCATCTTCGACAGTTTTCAAGACGAATAATGGAGCACCTTTAACACAGATAATTCTTTCACCTTCTGGAGATTCAACAATGGCGGTAACTTTTTTAGAAACAGGATCGAAAGGTTGGAATTCAATAACCTTGTATTTAGTTAAAGCAGCTTTAGCTCTTGGGTAAGCAATTAAAGATTTCAAGAAAGCTTTATCGATAGCATCTAAACCCTTCTTCTTTCTAGAAGCAGCTAAACAAGCAGTCAACATCAAGTCATCAGCTTCAACACCTTCAACAGTGTATGGTTCGTGTAAAGATAATTTGTTTTTGGTTAAAGTACCAGTTTTATCAGAACATAAAATTTCAACACCAGCTAAAGATTCAATAGCAGATAATTTTTGAACAATAGCTTGTTTTTTAGCCAAGTAAGCAGCACCGACAGCCATAGTGGTAGTAACAACAGCTGGCAAACCAACTGGAACACCAACAATGGTAATAGCCAAGGTGTAACGTAAGATTGGAACAATTTTAACGGTTCTGTAGAAACAAGCAACCCAAACAACCAATAAGGTAACAATAACCAAAACCAACAAGATAGTACCAATAGAGTTTAAAACTTCAGTGAAATGACCTTGACCGGCACCAGCTTTGTTAACCAAAGCAGCAGCACGACCGGTAAAAGTGTTATCACCAGTAGCGGTAACAACCATAAAAGCTTCACCAGTTTTAACGGTAGAAGAAGAGTAGGTAGAATCACCATGTCTTTTATCAACAGCTAAAGATTCACCGGTGATAGCAGATTGATCAACTTGTAATAAACAATCTTCAGAAACGATACGACCATCAGCTGGGATAACGGTACCATCTTCCAATTGTAAAATATCACCAGGAACCAATTCATTAGCAGCAATTTCAACAAGAGAACCATCACGAATAACAAAAGCGGTATTAGCCAAAGTTTTCTTCAATTCATCAACAATGGAACCAGCTTGGTATTCTTGGATAAAACCAACAAAAGCGTTAAGAGCCAATAAACCACAGATAACACCAAAATCAACCCAATCTTCTAAACCAGCAGCAAGAATAGCAGCGGCTTCCATAACGAATTGAATTGGACCAACGAAGAACATGATAAATTTCAAAACCAAATTTTCTTTTTCTTCAGCCATTTGATTTAAACCATACTTCTTTCTTCTTTTGGTGATATCTTCTTGAGAAAGACCAGTAGTTGGGTCAGTCTTTAACAATTCTTCTGGAACAGCTTTGAAAGTAGTTTGAGGACCTTCGTCTTCTTCTTCTTCATCGTCCAAACCTTGATTTGATTGAAGATCAAGAATTAATTGATCAATGTCTTCATCTTCATCATCAGAAACATTCTTGTCGACTTTTTCGACAGTTGGTTCAGTTGCACTCATTTTTTCAGATTTTCCAACCTTTTCTTCTTTAGAATAGAATCCAAAAAAAAAGATAAATTAAAATTTAAAAAGAGTAACTTGAAATTGACTAAAAAGAAAAGAAGTAAAAGCTTTTCAGTATAAAAAAATTGGGAATTGTATAAATATTTATACGGCGGCTAATGGGCAAAATATCAAAAAAAAAAAAAAAGTCGGTCAAAAAGCTCAAAAAAGAAAAGGAAAATTTTTTGGAATTGGAAATTTTGCAAATTTGCAATTTTCCAACAAAGAGGAAAAATAAAAAATAATAATAAAAACACTACCTATAAAATAATGCAAAACACTAATAAAATAATACAAAATACTAACAAAACCAAAAAAAAAAAAAAATAACTTAGCAAAGTAATGTTAAATTAGGCATAAAAAAAACACATAATGTTTTCACTTTTACTCAATGGAGTAAAATGAGCGGTTGGCGCACGCAGATTTTCTATAGTTGAGGGAATTTTTTTTTTTCAAAATAAAAAATAAAAATTAGTCTCCGGGCCACGACCTGCGTTTGCCCCTCCACTTTGTTTCTTCTATTTTGTTTTGGGACAATCGGCTGAACTGGAACCCGGGTTTTAATTGGGTTGGCAAAGAAAAAGATAAAGAATCTGAACGAATCCCGGCCGCACGTGACCGGAAGTCGCCGACTGCCGAACTGCTTGGTCTGCCAGAAAGGGTAATGGATACCTGTATTAACCGGACCCTGCTTTGCGTCATCGTCAAAAGAGTGGGTAAAACATCCAAATCAAGAATAGACTTTAACAATGCTCGCTTACTCTGAATACTGAGTATGAATGCTGAGTATGAATACTGAGTACTGAATACTGAGTACTGAATGCTGAGTATGAATACGGAGTACTGAATGCTGAATTACTGGTTGAACGGGATTACTGGTATGCGTTACTGGTACTCATGTACACTGAGTACACTTATGTGGTATGTGGTGCTGTACTGGTGATGTAGGTGATGTACTGGTGATGTAGGTGATGTACTGGTGACAGGAAATGGCATACTAAATGTTACGGTACAGATGAGGGATTTACTTATCGAAAACCTATCAACCAATCGCATTGACAACATTTGCAACCTAATCGTGTAGTTATCTAATAATCGTTTCGCTCCGACCCCAATACCAAGACCCCATTTTAACCCCAATACCAAGGATACTTCCAGGACAAGATCTAAAATGAAATTTATTCCGGTACAGGTCCATTGAAAAGGAAAAAGAAAAAAAAAAATACTTCGGATATAACTCCTGGGATATCGCTGGATATCTTTAGAAATATCTGGAAATATCTCTGGATAGATTCTCTGGTTTGGGATAAGCCATAAGCCATAAGCGGGTAAAACGGATTCTAGGTTCAAAGTAAGGTACTTTTGAATATGCCGTTTTATTCCAGTTTGAAAACGAATAGAATTTAGCCGTTTAATTTTTGTGAATTGAGTGATTTTTTGGTTGGGAATTACACACGACCGCAAAACCAACAACTGAAACCCAGCGGTGCGCTCGCTCATCGGTGGGCGCACGCCCTGCGCGCCCATTAATTTTTCTCCTTGCAGTACTTTAATTGAATATTGATATGCCATTAATTTATCTGGGTTTGTAGAAATGAGTATAAAACCCCCCTGGCATGCACTACACGGTCAAAGAACAGTATAAAAGTATGTAAAAGTATATGTAAAAGTATATGTAAAAGTATATGTAAAAGTATATGAGAAAAAATTAAAGGTTAATATTGTAAATATGTAGGTTAGTTATTATTTTTCGCTTTAGAGAGTAATTTTTTGCTTCTCAATTTCCATTTCAACGGTCTCATAACTTTGAAAATTAAGTAGAGGGTACTTCCGATAAATCTGAAGAGGGCCAATGCAGCCACAATCCATAAAATGATTGATAAGAAGATTTCGGAATTCCCACTCAAACTTTCAGAATCGGAATTGGTTAAGGTGTCAACTCCACCGGCTTCTAATACAATTGCAATTAAAATTGCATTGGTTAACATCCAAACCAATACCGTCAAGGTTCTCACTAATGCATAATAAGAATCATCGTGATTCTTTTTGTTATTTATTGGAATAACCACTTCAGGAGCTTGTCTCAAGCTTTCCAACGTATTTAAATAAGATTCATTTAATTCTTCTTGTAATCCGGGGGCAATCATAACAATATTATCTTCACTAGTTGATTTAGCACTACCTAAATCCTTAACTTTTTCTTCTCCTTTGGTACCCCAAGAAACATCATGAATATTACAAAAGGAGTAAATATTCAAAATGTTAATATAGGATGGGGATAATAAGATATATTGAATAAACGAAGTAAACATAAAACTTGGTTCTCCATACATAAATGCTCCGGCAAAATAAAGGGTATAAGTAGATGCTAATGAAACAACCAAATCTCGGAATTTTCGATCAGTGAAAACCATAATTGCAGTTAAATTATCTTTATGTTCATGTAATTGATCTTGAACAGTATGTACCGCCAAAAAAATCGTAGCAAACATAATATAACACATTAAAATTGCAAAACAAACCGCTATAACCGTATAAAACTTTTTGGTTCCTCTGGGAGTATTACCAAAACCTAAAACAAAAGTACAAACAACCGCTCCAACATAAATCCACAACGTTATAACCGCCAAATATTTCCCAACTCCAAAATTCATATCTTTTGCACCCAAATTCTTGGTTAAAATTCGGAAAACTAAGAAAAATGATGCAATTGAAAACCATGAAACTAATAATGTAATAAATTGATAATAAAATTCAATTTGTAACACCATTTTACGTATTAAGGAATGATTAGATTTCCAAATCTTAGTCCAATGGAATACCGCATATCCAGCAGCGAAAAGTGACCCGTTTAACCATCTTCTTCTTTGTAATACAAATTCATCAAGTTTTTCCGGTACATCAGTTTCGGCTTTAGCTTCATTAACATATCTCAAAATATAATTATGCTTCTTTTTAGCAACTAATTCAAAACATAAAATACGATCTTCTGCTAAATACATATTCGAGGTGAAAATCCCGGCTTGACGGAAATTACGTTCCTTTAATTGTCGTTCATCATCTTCTTCATTATTAACCTGGGTATCATTATGTAAAAATTCCCCCTTGAAATATTTTTCTAATGGTCCTTCTCCATCAACATTAAGTAAGGCTTCGTACCTATATGCTGAAAATGCCCCCGGTAACACTGAAATAAATCCAAAAACTGATTCCATGGGTTTATCTAAAATATTGGAGATTTTATATTCAAAATTTTGTGCTGCAACAAGTGGATTACCCAATAATTTTCTTCCTGGTCCTAATGAGGCTCTCATTTCTCCACATGCACCAGCAACATTTGGATCGTGGAATGATCTCCATAAATGATAAAATGCATCTTTAGATGGTTGAGTACCACAATCTAATAACATAACAACTTTTGGATTCAAAATTGGACAAAATGATTGGAAACACCATCTATGGGAATTAATTTTTCTTGAATTCTTTTCTTTTAAACAGAATAAAAATTGAACCGGATTGGAATTTGGTCCTAAATGAACTCGATCATTAACAACATCAATTCCAACAGTTGAAGTGTATTCATAAATATGTGCTTTAACATCTTTATCATTAATTTTGGATTTAGCATATCCTTCTTGATAAACACCTAATGCACTTAATAATTTTTCTGATCTCTTATTTAATTGTGCTCTACCATCATTGATTATACAAACAGTGATTTTTTTCCAAGAATCTTCTCCCCAACATGGATCGGATCTATTAGTTAAATTTTTAATATTATTGAAAACCCCTTTCAATGTTCTTGCTAATAATATTTCATCTTCATTATACATAGTAATACAAACTAAAATTTCAGTTTGACGTGGTGGTGAATATAATGCTTGTCTGATATTATATTTGAAAGCTTGAAAATTTGATGGTCCACATGTGGCTGCTGTATATCTCATAAATGACATTTCTCTTCCTCCATCGCTAATTTTTTTACCATAGGTATCTAATAAAGCTTGTGGGACTGGAGCATCAATTACATAATTCCCATCAACTAATTTTGCCTTTTTAATGGTTTTGGTGTAATTTAATTTTGGTTTGAAATCATCATCTTCATCATCTTCTTCCCCATAGCCTAAAAATTCATCATCATCGTTTTCAAGCGCTGAAGAGGTTCCGGTAGCTTTTGTTTTATGACTTTGCATGGTGTTTTTCCTATTTAATCTTTTGATTGTAGTTCCTCTTCTCATAATTTCTTCTCCTGTATCTGAAAATAATGAATCATCATCTCCAAAGGGATCAAAATCATCACTTCCATCAGCATCTTCTAATGGATTGATCATATAGTCTTCCCCATTGAAATAGGTAGAATATGGTCTCATTGGTCTTGAGCCTTCTTCAAGTGGCTCCATATTATCCATTTCAAAGTCATTCATTAAATGATTGGTTTTACCTGGACTATAAATATTTGGTGGGTATTCTGGAGCTAAATCTTGGAAAGCAACCGTTTTATTTCTTTTATCAGAGTTTAAACTGCCATATGATCCATTCAATTTTTCAAATGCATCTTCTTCATCAATCATAGTACTATAGCTAGAAGTATTACGGTGATTCAAAGCTGGTGGTACCATACTGTATCTATTTGGAATAAACGTTCCAAAATCATATGGTTGCATAAAGAAGGGACTACCAAAGCCACTCAATCTTGGATCGTTGTTAAAAGCTTGTTGCTGTTGATGCTGCTGCTGCTGTTGCTGTTGTTGAGCAGGATCATGAAAACTGGAAACCCGGAAGTCATTGCTAAATGAACGATCATGATGGCTTTCAGTCTCATACTCACGGACTTGGTCAATTGAATCTAACCTTCTAGTTTCTTCAAACAAGTCGTCATCCTCCTCAAGACCCGGTGAGTTGGTTGGTTTTTTCAGCATCTTTCACAGTATCCTGACAATTAAAGAAAAAAGTATCAAGTTAACTTCGTTTTGTTTTGTTTTGAAGTACTTTCTCCCTTCGTTTTCCAGTAATTAGTTTTTATTATTATTGGAATTTTTTCTTTTTTTCTTTTTCTTTTTTTTTCGTCTCTACCTGCTAGAATTCCAGTGCTATTTTTAGGCAAGTTGTTTATTATAACCCTTGATTGTTAATATCAATAAACAAGGTCGATTTATACGATATTATTCTTCCCTTTTCAAATGAACAAGTGAAAATACAGAAGAAAAAGATGTAGTCAAGGATTTCAAAGAAAAAAAAACAAATAACAAATTCACCTTCAAATCAACAAACATCAACTCACGTACAAAACGTAATGTTTAATACTTGACTAGATGTCATGACAATGGCTTAGAACAATTTCACATCTTTATGACATTTTCAAATCAATGTATTCCCAGCAAGCTTCCAACCCATTGCTCATCCTGATTGGGATATAATCAAAATTCTGACATATTGAGCCCAGATTGTTCCCACTAAAATTTTTGTTCTCTTTTGTCTGCGAATTTGATTTTGTATTTACCTTCTTTCCTGATTTGGCAAGCTAATTGTGCAAAACAGTTTGTGTTGCAATCCCTTTTGTGCGGGAGCCGGCCGTCAGTAGCGGTGTACGGGGGTTTATAGCGGGTGGTACGGGTGTACATGGTTATGACCATGGGATTGCTGGAAGGGATGCTGTCAGGGATGCTGTCAGGTATGTTGTAAGCTTGTACGGTCTAGTTCTGGATGCAGATAACACAGTGATTCAGACCTAGATTTCGGAGGCACTGGTAATGGTAGCCGTGGAAGCATTTAAAGAAGATAAGTTGGTGGTGGCAGAACTTGGAATCGTCAAGTTTTTTTTTTGCAATCATTAAATGTTGGCTTGATTCCCAAGCCTTTAGATTTAGGCTTAAATCTTTTGACCCCCACATTTCTTTACCGCAGGAGGTGCAATTTTTATTTTTGATATCCCATCCTTTTAATTTATCTAGTTTGATTTCCTTCATGCTTTCGTAGATACCTTGATTTAGCATTGATAATGAAATTGATAGTATTTCACTTTCATACGAGTACGACACAAATACTTCATTCAAGATACTCCGAACATTAGAGAGGGTGGCGACTTTTGTATTTGAGGATGAGTGCTCTAAGAAACGGTTGAATATAACCAAGAATGAATGTTCCTTACCCGAATCCAATTTTGTATCGATAACTCTTCTGAAAGTGTCATGAATGCATTGATTAATGTAATCGGAGATGTGTTTGGGTTTGTCATTAGCCATCAAAACCAAGTTTTCAATGAGCTCTAACCACATTTGTTCGTTTAAACTGATTTCCCCGACTTTTTCATGATAAGTTTTGGGATTTTCACAAATCTCTAAAGCGCTTTGGAAAATTTTATCAAATTTCTCAAATTTAAACTCCTGTTGTAAGTAATTACCCATCATCCGGATTGATTCATCCAATGCCTCATGAAATTGGTTTTGGTGGACATACAATCGAGTTAAACTGTCGATTTGTTGGTTTTTTTGCAACGCTTCTTTAACCGAATTGAATTTGGTTTCATCACTTGCCAATTTCGAAACGTACAAGTCCACCACTTGAAAGAGGTTCTGTGAGTTAGTGCTGCTTAATAACTCAATATACCTCGAAATCATATCAATATCGCTTTGCGGGTGAGTGAAATATAATGCCAAATACTGCAAAACGTACTGCTCGTTATCGATATTCAAAATCTCCTTATGAAGATTTTGATCAAACTTGTCAATATTACTTTCAAAATTTCTCAAATCAATATCCAAGAAATTTTTAAAGTTTTCCTTGATAACATTGACGAAATTCATTCTATTAACGTCCTTCAAGTTGAATGCGTTTTCAAAAATATCATTCATGGTATCAATGTGGTAGTTGTCACCTAATTGTTGATTCTGTCTTTGCAACCACATCTTTAATACTAAATCATACTTGTTCTCGTTCTTATAAATATTGATTAAAACATCATAAAAATTGGCCCCCTTTAACTTCTCAAGCAATAGAGTATCATCAACTGGTTCATATAATGGCAATAAGCTTTGTAGCGCCAATTCACAATCATACTGAATCTCAGTCAGAGAGTTGGAACATAAATCATCAATTATCTTATCTAAAATAGATTCTGATAATCTAATGAATTGTTGGTATTTAGGATAGTTTCTTGCTAAAAAAATCGATAATTGAATGTTATCAGCTTCATTAAAAAAGTCATTATTTGAATCATAGATATCAATCAAAGCATCGATGATATACTGTCTATTAATCAACTTATCGTCGTTTAAGCATGGGTTTTCAAAAAACTCGTTGATTGCCGATAAAGTTTCAAATGAATTGGTTCTAAGTAGTTTATATAGATATGGGAAAATTGACTCAATTTCTTTATTTTCAATTGGATTGATATTGAATAAAATTTCACAAATTGATTTTCGTGCCAACTCTTCTTCTTCAGCTTGAATGAATCGATCTATTGGGTATTGTCTACCCGTTAGAATATACGATATATATGAATATATTGTTAAATCATCGTGACCTAAGCCATCCAATAATTTTATTAATGGCGTTTTATAATCTTTCAATAGGTAGTTCCATATATATATCCAACAATCAATCAAGTGATACTGTTCACAAAGGTTCAAGGTTAAATCAATATCAAGGGTCTTAGTATCTAGGATACATATAATTTCAGTCAATGTTTCCCCCTTGTTATTCTCAGTATATAATTCAACCAATTTCTTCAAAACTATTGGTGGTAAATAAGTTATTCCATTAGTTAAGATATACGGTTCTAGTATTTCAAAAAATAATTTTGCATCGACTCTCTCAAAAATTAGTTCCAAAAGTTCTGATAAATCTTCATCAAGATAAGAAATTATATTGATGTAAACATCAAGATAGTAATCTTGATTTTCTTCAAATAAGTAATTAATTGACTCATTCATAATTTTTAATAAGTATGGCTTAACTACTGTACATCTTTCCTCTTGATTATCGGGCAATCCATCAACAACCAATCTTCCAGTGTCTGTAGAATTATAATAGTCATTAGCGGCCATTAAAGCGGTTGAATAATCCCCCTTTGATAAATACCTTAATAGACGATCTGCCCATGTAAAGCACCGTCCAATGTGTATCTTATTATCGACATTATTCATGACTATTAATCTATCTTTAAAAGATTTGATAGAGTTTGGAGAGTTTGTAAAATGAAATGGTGATTCATCAATGTGTACAGAAGATATACTGACATTATTATGATTATTGTTAGAGCAATAGTAAAGCGATATGAAATTAATCTGATTTTGGTTATTTTTCACAACCAATAATATTTTATCGAAAGACAACCATTTAATGGATATTATAGTATCAAATTTCGAAGGACAACTCCATCTACAAGTTTTAGTGATTGGTAGTTGAGAAACACCACGATCCTTATCCTTCATGTTTTCTATAATTTCCATTAGATTAGAAGGGAGCTTATTATTTTCTATCTCCAACACTGTTAAAACATTATTCCACGAATACGCCAATTTAGCATTTTCTAAACCATTTTTCTTATTCATACAAGGATACCAGCTTAAACAACCTATGGGGGTATTTGAATTAACATTTTTGGATTTGGCAATCTTAAAGTGAGTCAATAAATTATTATTATCTGGGTTATTCAAGGAGAGTACTGATACTATAACCAAAATGTTATTTGTGATTACTGCCATTAGACCAATGTGATCACTCAATTGATGAGAAGTACCCAATGGTAATGTTTGGCAGTCATGAACCATATAGTTTTTCATATCATTCTTATCATTTTTCCCAAGAACTTTTTCAGAACTAAAATAGTTCTTCATGAATTTTCTAAAACCATTATGATAAAAAACCAAACCCGATTTATCACAAGTGATTAATTTATTATGCAGATCACCAATGAAGTTTAATTTTGTTATGGGAACATTGATCAAGTGACCCTGTGCTTGATTGACCAATCGATTATCTAAGGTAATTGGGTAAATTGTATAAAAGGGTTTATCATCAGATAAATCCCATAAAAGAATTTTCCCATCATTAAATCCAGAAGCTAAATACGCCGAGTCAGATGAAAAGGAAATGGCACTGACATCATTCTGGTCTTCATTATTCAAATAAAATTCAATTTCTTGCCTATAATTGAATCCAATTATCCAGCCTTTGGATGTCCCAATGCAGATATAAACAGCTGAACATTCGATTATGAGGGGAGAACCGTACTTTGATACAAATTGAGGAAGCTTGATATGATTTGAGATCTTAGTAAGTTCATTCCAGTTCAAAAAGGAAGACTCGGATACATTATTATTATTTAAACTTAAACTTGAATTACTACTGGTATGAGCATGATTTTTCAAGGACCGACTAATTTTTGTTTGAGAGCGATCGTCAAACCGAAGCTTTCTGGGAGAAAATGCTGGAGATGGAGTAGGCGACGATTCTATACTAATTGAAGGAGTATCTAAAGTATCAGTCATTATAAGTTCATGGTTATCTTATTACAAGTAAGACATTTGATAGAAATCAAATAATTGATATCTCGCGCCTATATTTAGAGTACTTTTTAGTGCACTAAACGAAAAGTTTTGCAGACAACTAATGCTTACAAGGCTGAATTAGTAGGGGAAGAATAAATTAATGCAGAAAGGGAGTAGAATAAATGAAGTAAAATAAAGGGAAATGCAAGAAGAAGTAGATTAAGCAATTTTTTGTTTCAAGAAAAAAGTTGACAATTTAAACATTTGGTAAATACAAGCTAGTAAAATAGCCCCAACTTGAACCACCAGCCAACGAACAACATGTTCACAAGTACGTTCACTTAAGTCTCTGAATTGTTCTTCTTTATCTCTTATGAATTGCTGTTCTCTTCGGATATCAATCAATTTATCGTTTAGCTGATGGATTTTCTCCGATAGAGTTTGAACAGAATGAGTATGTTTCGAGTCTATAATACTCCCATCACCAATAATGAAATCAATTGAGATTCTAGCATTCTTAAATTTGGAATCAAGTTGACTATTTGGATTGGAACCACCACCGTCCAACCATTTTTTTTTGAAAAAACTCTTGGGAGTCAAGCAAATCCTATGATCACCCGAATCTATGGCACTGAAGGTGAATTGACCGGAAGCAGTACCTCTCTGGTGAACCACTCGATGATTGGAGTCAAAGACCTCTTCAACATCTATGAGCACTCCGGTATCGGTTTTATCCCGAGGAATTATATAAGCATTAGTATCAGGGTCCAATATTTCCATCCAATACCTTCCAATCAACAAAGTTCCTCTACTTATTTCCTTGTGGAAACATTTCTTATACCCATGATCAAGATAAAAATGGAAAGAGCCAGCGCATACACTTTGAACGAAAAGGAGAAAAACTAAGATGTATCGATGCATTTTGTCACCTTCCACCTCTTGAGTATCTCCCACCGTATTCTTTTCTTCTCCTATACCAGTGTTTCAGCGGTATAGAATAAAATCAGAACGTAGTAGTTGATAAATAAAAATAGATGTAAACTACACGCGCGACCGTAAAAGTTGATTAAATATTTTTTTTTTTTATTTCGTTTTTACGTATTTAGTTTTTCAACAATTACATCTTGTTAAGAGTTTCGAGACAAAAAATGAACTTATCGTTACAGGATCCATTCTCGGTGGCAAAGGAGTATCCGGATACTCTTAACCAGACGTTACAATATGGGCATTCTGTTGTGATTCAGTTCAATAACAAGGGAGATTACTTAGCGTCCGGGTTGAGTGATGGGACGATTGTGATTTACGATTTGACTAGTAATGGGAGTATAATAGCGATACTTAACGGCCACATACGGCCTATTAGCTCGATAAGCTGGTCGAGCTGCGGTCGGTACTTACTCTCAAGCTCGCAGGATTGGTATGTTATACTATGGGACTTGCAAAAAGTTAACCAGGAAGAGGAGACCATAACGCCAGTGATCCGGAAAATCAAGTTTGACGGGCCCATCTGGTCGTCGATGTTGAACCCTCAAGAACCCTTTGAGTTTGTTGCCTCGCTTTTCGAAGATGATCCGGTTTATGTTAATATGAAAGATGCAGATGAGATCAAGATCCATAAATTGGGTACTACTCCGTTAAATGAAGGGGATATGGGTAAACACGTTACCTTGGTTGTGATATTTACTCCTGGAGGCGGAGAGTTTATATTTAGTGGGACTAGTAAAGGATGGATTAATATATTTCGTACTAAAGATTTAAAAATGGTTCATTCATTCAAAATAGCCAATTCTAATATTAAAACACTAATGATTCTGATGAACGGACGTAAACTAGCCGTCAACTCTTCGGATAGAATCATACGACAGATCAATTTACCCGATCTTGCCAACGAAAATGAAGAATGGGAATTTGAAGTTGAACATAAGTATCAAGACGTGGTGAATAAATTACAGTGGAATACGGTAAGTTTCAACCACAACGCCGAATTTTTGGTTGCGTCTACATTCGGACAATCGCTGCAAGATCTTTACGTCTGGGAAACCAGTCTAGGATCGTTGATTAAGATTTTAGAAGGAAGTCCAGAAGAACTCATTGACGTCAAATGGAACTATTACCGATGCATGATTGGATCTACCGGCTTGGACAGCGGCGCCGTTTACCTTTGGCTGATCAAGTTCCCGCAAAAATGGAGTGCTTTGGCTCCCGATTTTGTGGAAATTGAAGAAAATATCGAATACGAAGAAAAAGAAGACGAATTCGATATCATCGACGAAGATCTCCTCATCAAGAAAAGATTGGAGGAAGAAGACTTGTCCGTTGATATCACCACTCCAGAAACAGTAGATGCCAGAGGCTTTGACGTCACCTTAACCCTGTTTGTCATTCCGGTCAACTACTACCGTAATCTCGAGGATAAATCGGTTGTTGCAAATTAACCATCCTCTCACGTCACTACAAACTCTACCACGAATCCACCGAGTCAACAGCAAAACCATACTCACCAGTCACCACGCTACTCGACCAAGACCCTGGCTGACTACAACTACATAGTTCTATTTATAATCTCACTAAAGGCAAATTTTGCTGACTCAATCTGTAGATTTTAATTGGATAGTTGCAATATGCACGCATTCCCACGTCCACGTCTATTCCCAAGTCCACGTCCACGTCCACGTCTACGTATGCCAGTTCCCAGTCGCTTCGGGTGCTCTCCATCTACACAGCGTCTTCCAACCCCCCCGAACTGCTCTACCCTTGGAACACCACCACCTTCCGAGTTCGAACCGGCATTTCTGTCGTTTTGGCTGTTCATTTCGCCAATTTTTCCTCGTTCTCAAAAATTTTCATTCACTCAATTTTTTTTTTTGTTTTTTTGTTTTTCTTTCGTTTTCCTTTTGTTTTTGTTTTGCTTTCACTCTTCTATTCTTCTATTTCTTCTTTATACTTGAAGTGAACCCATCATCATCTCCCGCTGACACTCTCTAAACACATCCAGAGAGTCGATTCACTGTACTTACCGGTCCCCCATACCAAGTGTTGCATCGTGCTAGCTAGCCGCCCGTCGCCCACTCCTCGCGCCGGCCCCCTTGAATCCAAGTTCGCTTTTCTGATTTCATATACGTGGTGGTGTCATTTATTGAGTGATCCCAATTGTTCGAAGCTTGCAGAAGTCCAATCGTCTTTTGTTGAAGTTCTTTGTTTGCTGACTTGTTGCTTGCGTTGTGCCTTCATTTATTTTTGTTGGTCTTTCAGTTTTTTTGGTATTCCATTTTTTTTTTGCTTTTCTTTCTGCTTATTTGTTGTAATCCTTCATTACAAGACCATCCTCGCCCGGTCGCTTATTTGTTGACGTGTGTCTACGTGTGGATTTATCTACTATCTTGATTGACTGTGGATTTTCTTTATTTATTTGTGTTTACCTTTTCGTTGTTGTTTTTTTTTTCATTGACCGTTGAGAATATTTTTTTTTTTTTTTTTTTTTTTTTTCTTTGCCTTTTTCACTGGTTTACTACTACGCTTTAATTTATAGTAAGGGTCTTTATCATAACCGTTACTCTCTTGTTCTTCTAGCATTGCAATCATGTCGGGCACAACCACTCCCAGGAAACGTAATCTTGAGGACGATCTTCCAAGCTTTGATGATCCAGCGGATTTAGTTAATGCAGTTATTTCGACTTTGCAACAACCTGAAGATAGAACTAATGTTGCAAATAATTACGCCAATGATAAAAACCATGCTACTGAAATTCAAGCCTACGCAAAGATTGCTGGTCAAGATTGGACTTTTTATGTCAAGTCTTTAGCTGTTTCAATCGGAAGAAATACTGATAATCCCGGTGCTGCTAATAATTCAAACACTCCTTTAATTGATATTGACTTGGGTCCTGCTAAAGTCGTTTCAAGACAACACGCTACCATTACTTATAATATCGATTTGAGTTGTTGGGAATTAAAAGTATTGGGTCGTAATGGTGCTAAAATTGATGGCCAAAAAATGCCGGTTGGCATTCAACATGCAACTCCTTTACATCTGGGAGCTATTTTAGATATCGGTGGTACTCAAATGATTTTCATTTTACCAGATTCTCCTCCTGATATACTGCCTAAAATGTTATCTACTTGTTTATCAAAATATAAATCAAACATGAATAAAGTTAGAAAATCTTCTTCAAGTTCTTATTCTCATTCTGGTCCAGTTAAAAGCTTCCAAATGTTTGATAAAGCTCAATTAACTCATTCTCCTTCATCAGTTTCTGCATCTTCTTTACAAAATAATTTAGATCAAGATTTATCTAAAGTTGAAGCAAAAGATATAAAACCTCCTTATTCTTATGCTACCATGATTACCCAAGCTATTTTATCAAATGACGATGGTGTAATGTCTTTATCTGATATTTATAATTGGATTAGTGATCATTATGCTTATTATAAATATAGTAAAACTGGTTGGCAAAATTCAATTAGACATAACTTATCTTTAAATAAAGCTTTTGAAAAAGTTCCAAGAAGACCAAATGAACCAGGTAAAGGTATGAAATGGCAAATTAGTGAATCTTATAAACAGGATTTTTTAAATAAAATTCAAAATGGTTCTTTACTGAAAACAAGAAGAGGATCTTCAGTTTCAAGACAATTACAATTACATTTAGCTACTCATCAACAATTACCTGATACTCAAAAATATTTTGATAAAAATGAAAAGGCTAACTCTCAACCCCCTCAATCAACTCACCAACAATCTCAACCTCCTCAATTACATCAAAGATCAGATTCTTATGATTATAGATTTTCTCATTCAAGAAATAATTCTATACCTAATTTAGGCCAGCCAATGCAATATCCTGGAATCCCTAATAATCCTATACAATCAAATCCTCTTTCTTATCTAAATCAACCAAATGGAGGTTTCATGGGTATTCCTCCAAATGCTTCAAGAGCTTATTCTCCTTATCAACCAGTTGCTGCTCCTGCTCATTTTATGTATGGTACTTCAATGTTAAATCAATCTGCTCCTCCACCTCCAATCCAACAACAACTTCAACCTCAACACAATAATGCTAATATATACTTAGCCCAACAACAACAGCATCAACAACCTCAACCCCAACCTCAACAACCCCAACCCCAACCTTCTCAACAAGTTCCTTCAGCTCCTCAAAATTCATTGAATAAACCAAAATCTAATGAAGATAATCAAGCATCAGATCAAAAGACAAAAAGTGAACTATCGTCTCCAATGCGTCAGGAAAGTAACTTAAATTCAACAACTCCAAAGCTCCCAAAAGTGACATCGGGAGGTCATTTATTTAACCTCCCGCCCCCTTCTTCTAATTCTCATAACGTCGGTAGCTCAGCACCTCAAGCTCACCATTCTCGTCTGCATAGTTATAATAATAATACTAATGGTGGCCAAGATACTGGTAATTCTTTTGGAAATTCAACCAATAATCCAAATAGTAGTGAATCAAATCAAAATAATACTACTGGTCAAACTAATAATACTTCTGAATTTGGCATGGGTTTTACTAGTCCAAAAAAAATCGCTCCATTAGAAGCATTTACCCCAGAACGAGGTTCAAAATCAAATGGAGCTAATAAATTAGGAGTACCAAATGGATCTAATACTAATCAATCTTCTCCAGCATTTTGGAATTTTGTTCAATTTAGTACTCCAAACGCTCAAACTCCTTTAAGAAAGAATAGCGATGAACTGAATAGTCAAGGAAGTCCAACATTAAGTAGAAAAAATTTATCTAATGGTTTGAAAAATGAAGATGACTTAAATAATAATGATGAAGAGAATGAAAATGGAGTTTCTACAAATGATGATGGGTCACCATCTGAAAAAGCTGATGTTAAAATTGAACTGGATTCAAAAAGTGATTTAAATTCAAGAAAAGATGAACCAGTCAGTACTTAATAGAACTTCTTTTTTCAAGTTAATTCTTATGTTTTGTTATTATTAAATATTGTGAGATGTTCAAATCTTTCTGATGATCTCTGAAATGTTCGTTAACGTTCTTTTTTTATTCTTATAGTATGTTGTTTAATCAAATGATTTGTTTTGCTATTGGTCTTGTTTAATTTTCCTTCTACTACCTTTTCAGTATCATTATTATTGTTTTTTTTTTTAATTTTTTTACGTTGTGATATACTCAATTTATTTTCCTTTTACATTACTGTTTGTTTTATCCTTGTACTTATTCGTCTAAATAATATCGTGGGGTTTTCAAAATCAAATATTGCACACTTCCTAATTCAAATATCAGCTTTCCATGGTCATTAATTTCTATATTAACTTTTTTTTTTTTTTTCACATCCATTTATTTGCCTCTAAAATTTTTGTTCTACTAGATGTATTCGGCCCTTTAATTAACGTTATCTATTTATTAAGTATATTTACATATGTGCATTTATTTAAAATGCAGATCTAATTCGTAAATCAGATATTTTCTTTTCTATTTCTTTTGGAGTCCTATCCAAAGCTGTCGATATTTTAATTTTTTGAGAAATGTTTAGTTCGTAGAATTTTTCAATAAAGTCACCGTCAATAACATTTTTAACTGGATTATAATAGCTTCTAAAGGTTAAATGATCTTTTCCAAGTAAATTATAACCATTTTTATCTTTATCAAAATCATCAAAATTAACACTGAAAAATTCTCTTAACAAGGTTTCCAACTTGCTCAACATTTCAATTTCAGATTTTGTAATCACAGGCATTAACATACCAATTGTGCCTTGTAGCCCAGTATAAAAAATACTATCTAAACCTCCCACTGTCATACTTCCTTTAAAAAATGAAGTAGGGATATCTTGTAAATAAAATTCACAAAGATTTCTAGATCTTGATGATGATCCATTGAGATGACTCTCTTGATATCTCAAATTTATATCATCAGTAATCTGTTGTAAAGCACTATTTGATAATCTTGAAACAAAACAGTTCCCAAACTTATCACCTCCAATAATTGTATGAGAATCCAAGGTGGCGAGTGCAGTGATTTGTCTTTGCATTATATCATCACAAAAAGGGATGAATTGATTGGTTATAGAATCATATTTGATGAATGTAGTTGAATGACGTGCATCTCCACTAACAACTACATCTCCACCTTGATGAATTAACTTAACGATGGTCGTCAAATGTGTTATGGTTGAAGATGCCTTACGTAAAAGCTGACGTTGCCCAAGATCATATAAACGAAGATAATTTTTCACACCAACTAAAAGCTTACCCTTAAAAGGTATGATTGCAGTAGGTGGTCCCTCAATTGAGGTTTCATGAACAAATTCTAAGTTTGCTTGATCATGTTTCTTCTTTTTGATTTCAAAAGTGAATAAGTAATTCTTCGAAGTCAGGTTTGGCAAATATCTTTGATCTTCCGTCACTCCAATAATTAAGTATTCTTTATTAGGATGCGATTCAAAAGAGACTTGGCATAATGATGTTGCTGCCTGGTTATTTCCAAACTCAATGCTTTGGATAATTGAATTATTATCGTAGTCAATAGTCTGAACACAGGATGCCCAACTACCTTCCGATTTTTCATATCCGAAAGCTTGGTAGTAATCTTGGTCAACACCGTCTTGTTCCGTATCTTCCTTATTGGATTGAAGAATTGTCTTTGGAAAAGGTGATTTAATACCATACTCTGCTTCTATAACATGGATTAGAGTTCCAGATGTGGACTTATCTGTTATCATTCTCTTTGGAGTATATCTTAATGGTAAACTACTTACAGTGAAATCATTATCAAGATCAAATACAGCTTCCTCCCCAGCGCCGTCATTAAGTGTTAATATAGTAAGCCTTCCGTCTGAAATTCCAACTATACCATCACCTCCTAAAGCTTCGGAATGAATTGATACCGCAGTATTCATCGAAGTATCCATTAAGGGAGCTATATTATACGCTCCTTTATTATGATATCCTATCCACGGTCTTGAAGAAATCGCTAAAACACCAGTTTGATCTATTTGGGGCAATCCAATGGTCGATAATTGAACTGGCATTGAGCCCAAATATTTAATTCTGCTATCTGAGAGCTTCCCTGTGATATCATCAATAAGAGTTTTGACGTAAAGACCATTTTCCATACCAATATGGACATACGTATTACGTTCATGTGTTAAAATCTGAATTGAAGAAGAATTGGCAGAAAGTGCTTGAATAGTCAAAACTTCAAGCATATTATGATCTAATAATGATATTACCTGGACTGTTTCGTCGGAACTGCCAACAATTGCATATGGTGATTTACGATTACCAGAATCTAATATGGGAGAAATTGCCAATGAAGTTATATTACCACTAGATATTTCAAGTGTATCCCCATATTCTTTTAATTGGTCATCTACTGGGTCAACTTCAAAATAACGGATTTCACGATTTGACAATCCAATGATAACTTGTTCGTTATTCGTACCTGCCTTCAAGATAGATATACCTCCTGGAGTCACCCAATCAGTAGTTTTTTTTTTAATGATATCACCATCTTGAATATGTTTGATATGCCTTATACCATCTGCATGAACCTGTACTATGGAAGATTTACCAATTTGTTGAACTGCAATTGTATTTTGGCTTGTGACGAACTCAGAATCATCAACTAAATCAATATCTTCACCAATGGAAAAAACCAAGGTCTCGGATGATAAACTTGAAGAAAGAATAAGATATTGATCATCCGTAGATTCAAAGTTTATCTTTGTTGTGAAAACAGATGTTGGTACTAATTTAGGACATGGTTCAGATACAATGGTTGATGTGGGAAATCCATAAGTTAGCTTTTTCAAATAAGAGTGTGAAGATAAAGTGAGGATTTGATATGATGGGTCTGGGGTTAAGTTATTTTTTGTTTCTAATAAAGTAGCATCAATCACCGGATGTAAGGTTTCTATGAAATCAACTAAAGCCAAATTTTCCAAAGCTTTCACGTTGAATAAACGAGAATCTAAAGGATAATTTGCAATATCGCTATCTTTAATCCCCGAAGATTTTAAAGTAGTTTCATCGTCATCTTCTGCTAAGTCTTCGAATTGATAATAATGCTTATTATTATTGGACGAATTAGCAAAAAGGAAACCACTTTTAGATATGTTCAAAGAGTTGGAAAAGGGTATTGTATCAAAATATTTGACAGATATGCATTCAATCTTTTCTTCAGCTTCATTATAATCCACTGTGATCTTAAATAAGTCACCCAAGGAACTTTGACATAAAATGAAAAAGTTATTCTTTTTTAGCTTATGAGTGACATGCGAAGTTATGATAGTTTCACTAGAACCTTCACGAATTGGCAATGGAAGATATAATCGCTCTCTTTGTAAGTGATCATATATTAAAAATGACTTACAACTAACCAAAAGACCACCAATGTGACCTGGTAACGGAATGAGACAAGTGGAAGATGCGGGTATCAAACCATTTGCCTTCTTTTTCACGATATGGTTCAATCCTTGATCTAATTCATAATAATTCAAAATCAATGGAGAATTCTGTGGGTCATATCTATTGGAGGAGGAACCGTCTTGGCTTTCATATTCGCTATAGTCAATTTCTATTGCTGCGAACATTGGATTATCAAAGGCAGTATCAAGAGCACATGTTTGAAGAGTCAACAATTCTCTCGTTGATGCTTCAAGGGGTGAGGATAGTCCAATTTGCCCTTCGGCATTGGAGCTAACCTTATACACCAATTTATTCTTTTCAATTGCCGAAATCATCACGGCTCTATTATGTGGATCAATGCTTAAGTATTCACCCGGTGTTATTCTCCTGAATCCATTCTTAGAATGAGGCTCTTGGACTCTGGGAATGAAATTATTCGATAGTTCATCATATTCTGCAATGACAATATTCCCCGAGTCTGAGGTTATCACGAGAAAGTCTTTTTGGGACCCTGGAAGCCTCAAAGCACCCACAGACTGTATAATGCCCAAGGTGTTTTGAACCAATATCTTCTGGACTTTACCAGTGTCTGAATTTGGTTTCCATAATTCAATGAAGGTGGAATTTGCAAGTAGAAGTTCTTGAGATTTCTTGGTTCCTAAAAACTGACCAAGAAGTGAGTACTGGCTCAAACTAGGACTTCGCAAAGTGAGGTGGTAGAGGTATATGGAATCGTCCTCTATGAGCATTATGAATATGATGTCTTGCAAACAGAATGGAAGGAATTGGTGTAGTCTATTTTCTTCAAAGATGAGTTTATGTTTCTGATATAGTGTGCATACAATTTTCACGTTTTTTTTTTTTTTTTTCCAAAGTCATTTTCCTACAAACTGATACTACTTACTATTTCACGATATAATCTAAACCAAAATGGGTGCTAGGTATGTTTGAAAGTATATGGTAGGACGAATAAATGACTAACGTTTATTTTCATTAGTTGTAAAGATCAAAAGAAGGCTCTTGCTATATGCCTACAAAGATCACCATGCGTTCTTATAGAAAGAAATACTCCGGCCGACTGTCTTAACAAACCAGAGTTGAAGAAGGATTTACCAGAATTGTGTCTCGCCAATTTCAAAGCGTTCATGGACTGCAAAAGTGGTATTTTCGACATGAGGAAAAGAATGAAGGGTAATGCCCCATTATCCACTGGTAAATATGATGATACTTATGAAAAATTATCCACTGGTGATTTTGATCCGCAAGAAGAGATGAGAAAGTTGGATGTATTGAATAGAAACTTGCATAAGCAAAAGCAGCTTAGAGAAGAAGCCGAAAAGGCTAGGTTGGCCGGGTTAGATAACTAGCCATTTTGATATTCACTTCTTTTTGTTCTAATTCTTCTGGTGTCTTGTAAATACTGTAAATAGTCCCACCGGAATCTTTCCATAACACTCTGTTTTCCAAACTCTCTGCAATGATCTGAATGAAAGTCCATTTATATGTCTTTTGTCGTAAAACTTGTAGAATAATTAATCAACCTAAGCTAATTACTTAAAGAGGAAACTACCGCTACTTGAATTTTTTTTTTCTTTATTATGTGGCTCTTTGTCGCAATTCAATGAATTCATTTTGTCTTCTTGAATCAACTCCATTCTTTCTGATTGATAAAGTCTGTATAAGCATAGGAAGAGCAATGACGGTAATTAAGAGTGAGTTGGAATCGAACCGAGTTCAAGAAATCGACGATTTGCTCAAGTTGATCCACCCAAAGATCATCGAGTACGTTGAAAAATCGGATCCAAAATCTGCAAACTATGAGCTTACTTCTCTCGGACAGTATCATAGACCACAAACTTTGAAGGAAATAATCACCGAAAAGGATGAAGAGGAGCTGGTTGAAGGGATTCGTGGGGATAATGACAAGTTATTTGCCAAAATCGATCAAGTATTCAAGTATTCGGTTAACACATGGAATCCAGGATTTTTAGATAAATTGTATGCATCAAATAATCCAATTGGGGTTATAAGTGATATAATTTTATCTTTATTGAATACCAATTCCCATGTTTACACTGTATCACCGGTTTTATCGGTAATTGAGAATTATATTGGGCGTAAATACGCCAGCTTATTTTTCACTAATGATACTGAAACTTGTGGTGGGTTAACGTTTCCCGGTGGATCATGGTCAAACACTACATCTTTACATACCGCTAGGTCTTTATTATATCCTGAAACAAAGGAAACTGGTAATGGAAGTTTTAAATTTGCAGTTTTTGCTTCTGAACATTGTCACTATTCAGTAGTAAAAGCTGCTATTTTAATGGGACTTGGATCATCTAATGTGTTCAAAGTGAAGATTTTAGCAGATGGTAGTATGGATACTAAAGATTTAAGCTTTAAAATTGAAGAATCGAAAAAACAAGGTTTTACTCCACTTTATATAAATTCCACTGCTGGTACTACGGTATTCGGATCATATGATCCATTTGATGAGATTGCTGATATTGCTGAAAAAAATAATATTTGGTTCCATATTGATGGATCTTGGGGTGGTAATGTTATTTTTTCATCTAAGCACAAGTACAAGATGAATGGATGTGAACGAGCAAATTCAATCTCATGTAACCCCCATAAAATGTTGGGTGTCCCGAATACTTGTTCCTTTTTACTATTACCCCATGTCCTGAATTTCCAAAAGGCAATGTCATTAAGTGCCCCATATCTTTTCCATGGACGTGATGACGAAGGAGAAGAGAATTTCGATTTGGCTGATGGTACTATGGGATGCGGTCGTCGTGCTGACTCTTTCAAATTTTATATGGCCTGGTTATATTACGGATTCAAAGGTTTAGAAGAGCGGGTTGATCATGCCTTTGATATTGCTCGTGATTTCATTTTTAAAATCAGTCAGGATGATAGATTCGAATTGGTTTTGGGTTCTAAAGATGATTTGCCCAAATGTTTACAAGTTTGTTTTTACTATAGACCAAAGAATTATAAATTAGATAAAAATACTGAGATTACTAGATTTATATCTCGTGAATTACATAAAAGAAGTAAATATTTAGTTGATTTTTCTCCAAATACTTCTGGAGGTGATTCTGATAAAGGGGAATTTTTCAGAGTTGTATTTAATTCTCCAATTCTTACTGATACCGTGGTTGATGATTTAATCTCTAGTATCATTCAAGTTGGTGAAGAATTCGATAGCTAAATAAATTTTGCAACAAATATATATTATAACTACAATGTTGTAGAATGCAACGTCACTGAGATAAGAAACGGAATTATAATTCCCAGAAACACAAACTTAGGTGACATTCTTGTTTCCCCAAAAACAAGATACTCGAGATCTGCCACCTAATCTCAACGGTTAGTTCAATGTACAAGATATTATTCTAAATGCAACATCACATTTCTATTACAACAAGATTTTTCAGCTGATAAGTGATTCGGTGGTGTATGGGTGTGAAGCTACAAACAAATCGTCAGCATCAACGAAATAACAACTAACTAATACATCAACCAAGACACCAACTAAGATAACTAAGAGGCCAACTAGAATATCAACTGAGAACTTGGAAGAACATGCATTTATTTGAAGATGTAGAAAACCCTGGGTCAAAGGTATAACTGTAGGGTCTACAGTCCAAAGACGACCGGAAGTCACCAAAAACGATACCGGAATAGTCAAAATGTCGTTTTCCAATTTTCACGAAAGCTCCGGTTTTCCATTGGTCGAGTCATAAAATACCATCAGACTCCTAGTAGGAAGATAAACGTTACGAACATAACAACTTCTTTTCCTCGAACCATACATGACCATTAACTTTTTCTGTAATAGAAATACCAATTCAAATATTTAAACACTTATACCTAAAGATTGCTGGAAAACAACTATAAGCCATGGTTGCAAAATAAGGTTATCACAAGTACCGTAAAAGGTTCACCTTCCCGCGAACCAACGCTATTGGTCTAGAGCAAGTGCCAGGGTTCTCGCAGCCAATTATCAAGGAAGATTTTCCACTATAGACAACTAATTGTATCTTTCGTTCTTTTTAGACAAAGACAACCACCTTCATGTAAAGGTCGTCCTCGATTTTACAAAAAGTAGAAGTTAGACAGGTATGGAAGTAAAAATAGATTGGGACGATATCAAATAGAATAGAAGTGAATTTTTCACACTCCAAAACGATGCCATCGAGTAATACCTAAAAAAGGTATGTTAACAGGAGGGAATTAAGGTAGTTATCCATAGTAAATATAACCAAGTTTCCATAAGAGTATTGACGTAAATAATAGTTAGCTCGCTACTTCAGGCTTATTTCTTTGATTAGAGACTTTTTTAAGTGTCAATCGCCACTATAGTAGACTTTACGGAGTTTTAAGTTAAACCGCTAAGGGGGGGTTAATATAAGCCTTTTTGATGCAAATATCAACTTTGACAGATTTTGGTACGACTACCTTAATCTCCATGCTTCAAACGACATGGTTTCATACAATGAATGCCAGTGTCCTTCAGTTTTATGGATGTTTTAACCGAGCTAAATTAACTTCACCATGAATTTGCAAAGCACTGTCCTGCGGTTGCGATGTGATTATGCTAATTGTATTATAAATATGGCTGCTCCCGTTCAAAGATTTACGAACAAATAATAATGAAAGATCACTCTTGCACACTCCTGATGTATCTTGTTGAAATCTTCTTAACCTTAGTCTCCATCACGACCGATTATTTGAATTATAACTTGCATAATGCATTATTTGATAATTTTGCGGATTATGACTTGAGACGGATACTATGGCAATCCAATTGCATTCAGTTTTCTTCTTACTGAACCAAAGCAAATACGGCGATGAAGAACTACCCAACAAAGGAATGATGGTAAATCCCAAGTAGTATTAACTTCTTATATGGCATCCATAGGTAGAATATATGTTTTCAAATTCTGTGTTTGTATAGGATCGCAAAATATCTTACGTGACTAATGCAGTGATCAGCCAAGTAGCACAGTAAGCCATCATGATCTTCAATAACATGTCAAGGTTGCAAAATTGAAAAAATCCACTTCTAGACAAGTACAAACTCACAGCACGACATAAATAATGTCGTGGCAGGTATTCCGGGTACGCGAAACCCGACCACTTTTCCAAGGAGTTCCGGCCGCGTTTCAAGCCAAATCGACGGAACTATGTATATAAGATAGTGCCGTCCTTGAAGAGGGGTGAGTTTACGTTAAGCGAAGAATTAGCCAATGGAACCTGCTGGGCTTGTTGTACTCAGGGATGTTCCAAAGAACAACAGGAACAACAATTCCATTTTGGGTTAATGGGCACGTCGGACGAGGTTTGGTCTCACCCAATAATTTGGACAAAACAACTTTAATCGAATAGCTTTGAAAGGGACTCTTACACCAACTTGGGCTCCTGTATGTATACGGGAGGGTGTTCCGTGAAGTTTGTTTGTAAGGCATTTTAACATTCTCTGAACATTGACTGTGAGCACATACTAAATGTTGGTACATGGTGCTGGTACATGGTGTTGGTACATGGCGACTTACCCAGTAGAGTATTGTTATTTATCGACGGCTAAAGATTAGTTATCAAAGCAAATAAAGTTTAATTGTATCTTGAGCTTCTAAATGTAACCTTATTACAGTAGAACCGAGTACTAATTCTTTTTTTTTTTTTTTTGTTTTGTGTGTGTTGATGCGGATTCATTGTTATCTAGCTGATAACCCCAAATTTTCACTAAATCTATATATATAAATTCCATCTATATATATATATGCGTTGATTTCATTCAGTTATGAGTTTTTTCTATTAGTCTTCATTCCATAATGTCTATTGAAAAATCCAATACTGCAGTCGAGGTTGACTCGAGCAATCATAGTTTTAATACTCCCAATCACGAAGTGGTCGATGAAGAAGAACATCTTGAGTTGAAACATCATACCAGAGAAGAAATCGCTGCTTCAGGGAAATGGTATGATCAAAGCTACTTTGGCGGGCGCATACCCAGTTATTCCAATGCCATGGTTCAAATATTCATGATGTCTTTTGTCTTATTCATGACTCCAGGTATGTTTAATGCAATTAGTGGGATTGGTTCTGCTGGGATTTCGGATGTGTCCGTTGCTGATAATGCTAATGTAGCATTATATTCCACCTTTGCCACTATTGGGGTTATTGGGGGAGTCATTTGTAATATCATTGGTTCGAAATGGTGTCTTACCATTGGTGGGACCGGTTATTTTATGTACACTGCTAGTTTATTATGTTTCCATTATACTGAAAATGCTGGATTTTGTATTTTTGCCGGGGCTTTTCTTGGGGTTTGTGCTTCTTTAACTTGGGCTGCTCAAGGTCAAATTATTATGAGTTATACCACTGAAGATCGTAAAGGTCATGCCATCATGATTTTTTGGATCATTTTCAACATGGGTGCAGTTATCGGTTCATTAATTCCTTTGGGTCAAAATCTTCGAAGTAATGAATCAAAAGTAAATGCTGGTACATTTGCTGCGTTTTTGGTTTTAATTGGTATTGGGGTCTTTTTAGCCACTTTCATGCTTCCAATTGATAAAGTTTACAAATCGGATGGTACTAAAGTTACCAAAAAAAATTACCCAAGTATCAGTGATGAAATCAAAGGTTGGCTTCATGTCTTGAAGAATGAACCAAAAATATATCTTCTTTTCCCCATGTTTGCTGCCTCTAATTGGTTCACCACTTATCAATTTAATGATTTTAATGCTGCTAAATTCACCATCAGAACTAGATCTTTGAATTCGTTACTTTATTGGCTTTTCCAAATGATCGGGGCTCTTTTCATCGGTAACATTCTTGATTGGACTTATTTCCGTAGAAGTGTTAGAGCAAGAATCGGTTGGGTTCTTGTTTTCATCCTCGGTATGGCCATTTGGGGTGGTGGATTGAAATTTCAACAAGGTTACACTAGAGAATCAGTCGTTGACATGACTCCTATTGATTTTAAAGATAGCGGGTATGGGGGACCAGTGGTTCTTTATATGTGTTACGGTTTTTACGACGCTATTTTCCAAAACTTTATCTTCTGGGTCTTAGGGGCTTTATCTAATAATCCAAAGAAAGTTGCCTTATATGCTTCTTTTTATAAAGGTATCCAATCAGCTTTTGCAGCCATCGTTTGGAGGTTGGACGCTATGGAAAAAAGCTACATGTCTTTGTTCGCTAGTTCCTGGGGGTTTGTCCAAGGTTCTCTTGTGATTGCAGCTCCTCTTATCTTACTCTGGATCACTGATCATACTGATATAAAAGAAGACGGTATCGTTGATATCGTTGATCAAGGTGAATTGGAAGTAGTTAATTCAACCACCCAAGCTCCTGAAATTAAGGATGAAAAAATCGTTTAACCCTTATTTCTCCCACTGATATCATCCCTCTCTCTACTTTCCTTCACTTCTTGTATTTCATTTTGAGTATAGTTTATATAATTTATTTATAATAATCATTTCATTAATCGGTAGACCCGAACACCAGTAGTTGGCAAAGCGAATAAAGAACGATTTCTCGAAAATCATCTTTTGGAAAGTTAATAGTCATTACTGAAAACTAGTCAATTGATTGCATTTACATCACATTTATCTCCCGCATGACCATTACTTTTGTTCCTGGTGAGGTCAACAAATCACCTTATTCGGTCCTGCAAGCTTTATGGAAGTCTCATCACATAATAGCTTACGGATCAGGGAATAATTTGATATTATCAACTATAAGTAAAACTAGTCAAGATTCATCATCTAAGGATATTCAGAGTAATCATTTACAAACGGTTTATCTTGAGTCAGACCCTACAGCAGTAAGCATCAATTCAAATAATGGTCTAATTGCGACCGCTTTGAATAATAAACTTTTCATTTTTAAACCAGTCAATGAGTACATGTCAAAACCCCAATGGCTGGAAGCTCTCGTTATTTCCAATGGAAAAGATAACTCCTCGATCAATTGCTTACTGTGGGCTATAAATGAAGATGAATTGGTTGTGGGAAGCGATGAATCTTTGACCGTTTACCATATATTTATAGAATATGGAACAGTCAATTTCAATCAGCGTTTTTGCAAGCTACAATCCAGTCCTATTCATGACATTAGACTCACCTCCGACTCAGCTAGGATTATGACTTACAGTACTCGGAGATTTGATAATTTAATCAAATTTTGGTCCAGAATAAGTTTTAATGACGATCAGTCTCTATTTGAATTGACTTATTTGAAACACCCAAACGGATCTTGGGTGAAAGATGCAAAATGGAGAAATAAAAACCCAAATTTCTCTCATAATAATCAAATAGATGCCTCAATGGCAAATATCAAAAATATAAGAAGCTATATTGGTGATTCGAATAATGATAATGACATACTTTATACCTTGACCAATGATAATGTAATTAGGGTTTGGTCCACCTTCGAGTTCAGTGGTCGTAATCACATAAGGTGTTGGAACGAGCTCGACCTTCGAAATTATATGATCAGTGGTGAAGATGTTTCAGGAATTGAGATTTTTGATAGTTCCTATCTTAGAAGTTCGTTGGTACCACTACTTCAAAATACAGATGAGGGTCTTTTTAAATGCATAGATACCACCCGTGAGTTCGATTTGATATTTGTGACTAATAGAGCGGGACAAGTCTCAATCTTTGCTGTGACAGATCTTAATGGAAACCCACCAAATGGAATTAAGTTTACTAAGCTAGGTGGAAGTTTCAAGCTTGATGTGAACTCGTTCCCACTTTCAACTAAAATCTCAAAATTTGAAAGCATTAGTAAAGAATTTATCAAATCACAAGAATTCAATGTTAATCTCAATCCAGTCATTTTTTCACAAAGCTCAATATTTCATAATGATGATGTTTGTTTACTCGTTCATGATCGTATCAAAGATACTATAAGAGTAAATTTATTTAATTTTAAGCATTTGATAGAAGAAAAAGATGATTATATAGGTTGTCAACTCATAAACAAATTCCAAGGACATACTAAGTCAATAAGAAAATTGGTTACTTCGTCCTCATATTCTAAAAGTAACATACTTTTATCTATTCTGAATTTTCCGGAGCACAATTATATTTGGGAACCTTTACTTTTGAATCCTAAAAAGAAGCAAAGCATGTCTGTAACTAAACGGTTCCAAGTTGATGTTAGACGCGGAATATCTTCGGACCCTCACCAAGAAGGAATTTGGGATGCCATTCTAATTAATGATATCAGACCGAGTCTCAATAACAGAAGACGCCATTTGGTGATTACTTCTGAAAGGGGAGGATATCTCAGTTTCTGGAGCTGTAATGGTATTAAACATGATGATGAAGCGGCTCAGTTAGTACAGAGAGTTGCTATGTTAAATGATACTGGTGATCATATACATGAAGAACCCAAATCACTTCTATTGATCAACTCTCATGAAGATGAATATTGTGCAATCAGTATTTTCAATGAAAAGCTCATAAAGGCTTGGAAATTTAATGTCTCGGATGATGACGATGATATCAAAATAGACATTCAAGACTTGAGAGAAAATGTAGAACCTTTGGCCCACATATCATCAATCCACAAAATTTCCACAATCGATTCATTTACGTCTAATAATTTGGTGTCTATAATAGATGAGAAGGGTACCTTGAGAATATTATCTACCCATTTTGACAATAGTAAGGTCTATTGGAAGGAATTAAAGAAAATACATACTAATATTTCCAATGCCAGCAAAATTCATGGTTCTTCTATCATTAAAAGATTTGCTATTGTTGATGAAAAGGGTTCTAAATTGACTATTTGGGATACTAAGTCTGGGATTCTTGAGTATGAAGAAGAACTACCAGAAAACTATGGGCCTGTTCGAGACCTTGACTGGACATTCGTTGAGTCTACCTTTGATCAATCATCTAATGCCATTCTTTCTGTTGGTTTTGCAAGATTTGTTCTATTGTATACTCAACTAAGATACGATTATACCAATAATATACCAACCTTTGCTGTATTGAAAAAAATTGACATATCTGATTATACGTCTCATTTGATAGGTGACCTGATTTGGATAGATGATGGATTCTTAGTAATTGGTTGCGGTAATCAATTCTTTATAGACGATAAGTGGGTGAAATTAGGTTCTTCACAATCCATAGATTACCTCATAAAACAGTTGGTGGTCGGCTATAATAGCGGTTCAGGTAGCGATAATGAAAATTATGAGATTTCACATCTAGTGAAAATATTGAATGGTCCATTACCTGTTTACCATCCCCAATTTTTAATCCAAGCACTCTTCATGAATCAAACAAAATTAGTTCAAGACATTATTGTGACTTTGTTCAAAGCCTTACGAAAGGATGAGGCTATCAAATGGGACTTAAATATAAACATGGAAAAAGAAATCCTTAGCACAAAGGATAATAATGGATTAGCTTATTCATCAATGCATCAAAATACATTGGGAGATGTATTTGAAAATTTTACACCAACGCTACTGGACCTATTAATAGAAAAATTGACAAAGACTTCATTGCCTTTGTTAACAAGACATCAGCAAATCACCTTGATTCTGGTTATTACAATCTTGAAAAAATTGTATGAGAATAACTCCATGGACGAAAATGGGGCCAGATTTTTAATTGGATTCAAATTATTCCAGTCCAATCTGAAACAGCTTAAGCTTACCATGAGAGATATAAACTGGGCACTTCACAGTGATAATAGAGAATTGATTTATGGATACATTGAAGATCAATTTCAACATAGAATTACCTGGGATATCGCCAAAAAAGTGGGTATAGTATATTGGATCAATGAACGGGAAAAATTGGTACAAATCGTTGAAAAATGTGCTAGAAATGATTTTAGTACTAACCGGGATCCTTCAGGATTGATTACTCTATTTTTCTTATCAATCAGAAAGAAGCAAATACTTCTAGGCTTGTGGAAAACTACAACTCATCCAGAGAAGCAAAAAATGTTGAAATTTTTAAATAATGATTTTAGTCAGCCCAGATGGAAGTCTGCTGCATTGAAAAATGCATTTGTTTTGTTGGGAAAACATAGATATTTGGATGCAGCTTGCTTTTTCTTATTGGCTGATAAACCTAAAGATTGCTGTATCACTTTGGCAAATAAAATTGAAGATATTGAATTATCATTATTGATTGCAAAAGTTTATGATAACTCCAGTGAATCTTTGGTTAATATTATAGAGAATAATGTTTTACCAACAACATTAAAGGAAGGAAATAGATGGATCACAAGTTGGATTTTTTGGGAATTAAATTTGAAGCAATTATCGATACAGGCTTTAATTAAATCACCAATTTCAATAGTCAATGCTAATAAGGATAAATTTTCCGAAGATTTTTACAATAACCATTTGAAAAATCTAATCTTGGATAGTAGCAGTAGACTGTTTTTGCAAGATGATCCAGTTTTAGCTATCTTGTATAACAACTTGAGAAGACGGAAAGTTAATTATCTCGAAGGATCATTCTCTATTTCTCCAGCTGCAGAATTTGAATTTGTTATAAAAGTAGCCTCAATCTATACTCGAATGGGTTGTGATTATTTGGCGTTATTATTAGTAAGAGATTGGGAATTCAAAGAATACAATGACGGTAAAACGAAGGTTGCAGATACTAAAGACGATGATAATGATATTTTCAAAGAGTTTAAACCAACTCTTGCTCCACCTCAGCCAACTACATTTGAAGAACCCGATATTATGAGTTCATTTGATTTTTGAATAAGTAAATTATATATTCAATGCATAGTATAGGACTAAAAAACGTCCACAGAACTCTTTAAATCATTCCAAATATTTTCAATTAGGAGAGCCCATTTATCACCAAAATGTACTAATATTTGTATTAGAAAATAAAATTGTAGTCTTGCGATTATAAGTGATCTTATAGAACTGAAAACCGAAAAGTTGAAAAATCCAATTAATAAATAGGCTGACTCTTCAAAATTTTCATCACTGGTATCAACCAAGATTTTCTTTAACCAAAACCTTCCAAAGTATTTAACGAAAAATTTATCAATGCTATCAAAGAAAAAGGGTCTAACGTATATGAAATCTTTCAAATCAGACTTCAAAATAAACGAATCATTGATATCCTGATCTAATGACAAGCCACATAGCTCTGGTTGATCTTCACATAGGGATTTCAGTACTAGTATTATATTAAAATTTCGTTTAAACGATTCCATATTGGAAGGATTTACAATGTATGGGGTAATAGCGATAACAAGAATAACAGGTAAGATCACTTTGACAATAAAGTTAATATTTTCCCTTAGCTCATTTCTTCTGGGCCCTAGAAATGGCATTTTCGTAGTTGGTGATTGGTAATCGCAATTTGCAATAAGTTATCATTGATCATGTATTTAATGTCTTAGATCTTTGAAATCGGTATATTTAAATATAAAATACTGCACACTTGTCTTAACTCCAAAGCAAAAAAAAAAAAATAATATGACTTTTGGCAAAATAGCATTCCACCCGGGACTCGAACCCGGAGCCTTCCCCTTAGGAGGGGGACGCGCTACCGTTGCGCCAGTAGAACAGTAAGAGATAGCATTTCCCGCTTGTCTGACGACCATGCCAAAGGGCAAATTTTCCACTTTTTTGAAAAATATTCAACTATGAAGGATTGTCTGTGGTCAGATAATTTAAAGAAACTATCAATTTTGGACCCCCTTTTATATATTTCTATCTACTCTCTTTATCTCTATATAGTTAATATTTAGATCAAATATATAAAACTATACGTGAAAAAAAAAAAAAAAATTTGGGCAAAAATTGTCAGACCATGAAGGTCTGGCGATGATGTCCGGGCCTGACTTATGCCAGGATCGATTTCATACATCATCAAAGCCGAAGTCCAATAAAGATGTT